CCAGCGTTCCGATCGAAGGGGTAAATACAGTAACATTCAGAGCAGCAAGCGTATGATTTAGACGGAGGACTCAGGTATGGCATGGCGTTCATGACCGTACGGACATCTTTAGGGAGCTCCGTCGCCAATTTCATCAAATCCGGGTCCCCTCCCTTGGTGGCAGCGATCTTGACAATGCTCCGAACGCCTTTCAGAACATCCCCCACTTTCAACATGGAAAGCCCGCTGAGTAAGTGTAATGACGCAGCGAGCAAGAAAGTGATCATCAAAATGGGATTCCAGGCGAGTCGGGGGGAGAGGAGGACAGCTATGGTAAGGGGTCAAATGCTTGAAATATAGCCATCCGAGAAATAGACTTACATGTGTCAATAACATTCTTGAGCTTGTCTTGGTCCAGCTCATGTTGATGCTTCATCCAGCGCCGCTTCCAACCGTCAATGTCGATGAACGATCGCTCAATTGCACGAAGCACCAGAGTAGAACGTAGGCTCGACGCGTGAGTCTTTCGACGGAGAGGATGGTGCTGAACGAAATTCCGTACTTGAGGAAGCCACGTTTCATATTGGAGGAGGGGAGAGTTCTCAGGTGCCGATGGATCAAGCTCAAGTTGAGAAGGAGCATGTGACGGCGGAGCTGTGGCTTTGAAAACAGGGCGAAGACTGAGCGCAACATCGTTAATTTGTTCAACGCGGGTCTGAAAGGAGCGAAGCTGCGAACAATACGCTTCTAACTCCTCGTTGCAGTAGATTTTGGGCGCTTTAGCACGCCTAACATGTCGCGGTCGGTCGTCTTTCTTGTCCGTTTGAGCGCAGTTCTCGACAATCCCTGGGGCACAATCGACGGCCTGTTGCCAGCACACAGCAAGTCCCGATTCCATGACGGATAGTTGGTGTTTGGAGTACTGTGCATAAGCCAAATATCGTCCCCGAACGAGATCGGCGACGGTTCCAGGAACAATGGTTTCATGACTTTCGCAGTCCCAACATTTACAGAGGTACAGCTCGCCACAGATGGGTGCGGGGCGGTGAGGGAGGGGGTTGGATCGGATCGGTGGCATTGGGATGAACGTTCGATAATAGTCGAAACTGGCTGTCAGAGGGATACATATATACCGTGCGTGCGTGGACCATCGAATCAAAAAGCAAGCCACCCATGGACCAAGCCACTCTCAACTAAAGCGAAGGCTTTCTTCGAGGGTCAAAGGTTTCGGAGGTGAAAGGCTAAAGCGCATGGTCACCGAGTGAGATGCAACGTGTAGATCTCTACACGTTCAAAACAAACGGTATAAGGTAGTCGTCTTAACTGCGCTGATTCCGTCTCTTTGAGCACTTTCGAGATGGGAAGCGCCCGGTGGCAACAACGGGCCTCTTGCTTGTGACGCTTGTCCTCGCCATAACGTCTGTGGAAACATGAGGCAGACGAATGCGACCCTAGCAGTAAAGTTCGGTATGGGCGGACATTTGGCTTGCGGTAGCTGTCTCGTTAGTTGGTTTAAGAAGCAAAGTTCAAGAAACGTGCCATCCAGTTGTCCTTCATGCCGCCTAGTGGTGGATAAGAGACCGTGCGCAATGAAAAGCCTGACCAAGCTATATGCTTTGGCTAACAGCGGCGGTCCGAGGGGTACAAGAACGCGGAGCTTGACGAAACAGTGGGACTGCCTGTTTCCCGTGTTGAGTGAATGAACGAGCGCCGGAAGGAAGTAGAGACAATTTGTTGTACAGACAGTAAAACACTTGTTTGAATCTTCTATTCTGCTACAGGACGCGCGCAGACATCTAGCAGAAAAACCCAGTGAACAATGGATCATTTCGGGTTGCCGAGCACGCACCTTGAGCCATGTGCCATCCTTCGCGCATGTCAGCAGGATGTGCCGAAGGTCAAATGCGGGCTCCGTGGATTGGAAGAATGCAGCCTGACATTGCCTGCCGAACATCGAGTGGACTTGGGAGGATACCGGAAGCGAGGACCAGAGGACTGCCAGAGTCCACTTGATGGCGAGGGATATCAGAGAACAGTACAGCGATTCCAACGCCAGTGGACTGCCAGAGTCCAACCAGCTGCGAAGGTTACCAGAACCCAGCGCAAATACGGTTGCGTCGAAGTTTGCCAGGCGATGTGGGTTGACTGTGAGACGAAGTCTCGGACTGAAGTACAGTACTGACCACGTGATTGACCACGTGCCCGGCGCCAGGGGTCATCCATACATATTTGTTGTCTCAGTGAGCTTCTAGTATACGTGGACAGCCAATGATCTATACGATACGCGTGCGTTCGTGCCATCCATTGACTTGGGAAAGGACTCAATGACGAAATATTCAACGCACGTTGAGCACGACTGCTCAAGGCAATAGATACAACGTAGAATTGATGCAAAAGCAGTACATGTCGTGGATGATACAAGGTAGAAAAGGGAAACAATATAAGGTGACTTGGAAACAGCCTAAAGAGAGGGATCGGACTCGGTGGCCTCAATAAGAGACACCCCGGCCTCTGCCCCGCCGTTAGCGGGTTCCTTCCGGGCCGTCTGAGGAAGAGACGGCTCGATGTTTACGGGCTGCGAGTCGGTGATAGGGATATTCTTCTTGGGCGTCCCATCAAGAGGCGGCTGGAGGTTCGCAGGCTGCGTGGCGCTGGTAGCAATCTCCTTCGGGGACACCACATTGAGAGACAGGTCAGATTTTGCGACCCTCGAGTTGCCAGGAGCTGGGCTGACAGCCAGTTCGCGCACATTCCATAGCTTAACTTCTATAAAGCGAGTCAGTCGCAGATAGTATCATCCATGGTATCAAACTCACTAATACGCAGTGTTGTATCCTTTGCAATCCCAGACAAAAAGGCGGCATTGGGCACGTGGGTTGGAGGAACGAAAATCAGGCGCTCTCCTCCTTTGGCCATCCCATCCAAATGGCCACTTAGCCCTATTATCGCTGAGCAAAGGTTGGTAGAATGAATGACGAGATACTAACCGTACAAAGCAAAATGGTCACCGATCGTGATACGCAGCTGGCAGTCCGGAATCAATATCAGGATAAGCAAGTGTGGGCGGGGACTCACTGGGGGCTTCTCGAAAGTGAGGGAGGCGAATTTCCTGAATGAACCCCCTTGCCAGACCTTCAAAACATAATAAACGTCTACTTTCGACCCGATCGTGATGGGGGCCCCGGTTCCTTTCACTCTATCCTCCGATTCGGGTACATTGAGACCCCCGGTATTTGCGATGCTCTCGGGGCGAGGGGTCGATGAATCCGCTAGCAAAACAGAGCCATCGGACTGGAGGCTCGTTGCCGTGTCGACGCGTTCCAGGTCAGGAGCGCCAGCCGCCTTAGTCTGCCTCCGTTTTGCGCCCTGACTCCTCAAAGGATGAGGTTCTTCTTCGTTCTTGCGCTTCTTCTGCTTCTGAGATGGCTTGGCTACGGCTGAGGATATGCTATTCGTCTCGCTAGTAGTGTCCGCAGCCTTTCGCTTCCTCGTTGCCTTATCAGAGTCGTTCGCTACCTTCCTGGTCGGCGCCTTGCGCCCCCTCCCGTCTTCCTCATCGTTGATTATGATGCTAGTTCTCCGGGCCTGTCGCGGAGGGTTTGCGCGGGCTCCAGCAGCCGCAGCAGGCCTGACAGGTGCAGGCTTCCTTTGTACATGGTCACCGACGCCATTGCCGCCATCAGCTACAAAATCATGCGTGAGTATAGAACAGAGCACGTTCACTCGTGCGAAGGAGTAGACACACCGGCAGGCATGGTGGTGATATTTGTCTTCTCTGGGGCGGAGTCACCAGCAGTGGTGGCAGTGGCAAGGACGGTGTCCACATCAGTGTCTAAAGTGACGACATGACAGGACAGGATCAGGGAAACAATACCAGGGAGACGCACCATAATGAAACCCAGAAACTGATACTGGACTAGAGGAATCAGGTCATCAGGTCAGCAAGGCCGCGGCAGGATATAGACGGCAGTGGCGTACTTGGGTCCGTCGTTAATGACACTGTAGGAGCCTTCAGCGCGGATTATATGTTTGAATCGGATTTGCTCGGTCTAAGAGACGGTGAGTTGGATGCAAGAACAAATGAAACAAAGGGGGCTGACCCTTCCTGGAGCCAGCCTTCCTAGCTCGAACGTTTGTAATACTCCCTCGTCATCATTGAACTGTAGAGAGAGGACGGAAATCTCTTTCCCCGAAGGTTGATCAGAATATTGTAGGGAAGTGATGTACCCGTCTTCTTCAAGGACGACGGGGGTCGTTGAATTGGCTTCGCTATAGCGAATCCTAGGTAGGAATGTTTCACATCAGTTGCATCGACAGACCAGGTCCAAAACGACGCGTACCAAAGTTTCTTGGTATTAGGCATGGAGAAAGTGTATCGGTGGCGCTGTGAGTTGGTGGAGGAAGGGTGATATGCTACCGGTTCCTTGCCTGATTAAATACACATTCAGCGAACAAAGCAGCCGTATAAAGACCTCTTGTGCCAGGTGGTCGAGGGCACACGCACGATTGATCGGAGGGCTCAAAACAATGGCCCCCTTGGACCCAAAATACTAAGTCCTCTGAACAACCGTCTTGACCAGCATGACCGCGGGTGCGCAAAGGTGTGCCGGGGGACCACAGCGAGAGCGTTGACCAGATGGATCCAGCGCGGACACCAGAACGCGAGGGTCACCAGAACCCAGCGCACCTATTTGAACGCCAATAGACTACCAGAGTCCAGCTGGCTGCGAGGGCTACCAGAACCCAGCACGAATGGTGTTTTCGTAAAGTTCGCCAGGTAGAACGCAATGATGAGATCGATCAACTTGAAAAGGAGCACGCAGTCATTGACACAAGCGCCCATCACGGGACTCACCAGGTGGAAGTGCAATGTGACAAGCGCATCGGACTACTCATTCAATCTCCGAATGAATCCTGACGGGTTTAGCCCAAGCTCCCAGTTGGCTCAAGCCTGACTCCTCCCCTGACTCCTGTCCACAGGTCCAATCCGTCTCACCAATATACACCCTAGCATCACAACGATGTCTCCGACTCCAACAACTCCCACCACTAGCTCCTGCGACGAGTATGATGAACTTGAAAGCGAACCAGACTCGCAACAACAGCAATCGCCTCAGAAGACCAAAACTAAGCAACGGCCGCGAACGCGTCGCTCAAACCACACCGTACTTGAAAATGCTTCGAAACAGCAGTCTAGCAAGGGCGAAGCTCATCAGAGACTACTTCTGCGATTGAGAGAGGCTGCGAGTGCCCGACGCAAAGCCAAGAAGACGAAATCCAATAGACATAGACCCGCTCTTTCCATTCGCCAACATAGACAAGAAGCTTTGGCTCGTATGCATCATCACTCTACGTCCAAGGCAGCCCCCTCCAATGTTCATGACAAGACAAAATCAGCACCTAATCCTCGTCAGTTCTGCCTCACATTGTCTATGTCAATGCTAACTACTTCTCAGCACCCACTTCCCATGGCAGTCTTCGAAGTGATGGCGAAGCTGTCACGCTAACGCACGACTATGTTGGCGACGATGGCTATCCGTTCGCGTCCACAAATACTACCCCTATGCGGCAGACGGCCAAGGATTCTCCAGTTGCCCATAATGACCTTCCCCGTAGCCCTGATGCCATTAGTCGCAGACTTCATTCCACCAGTCCAACACCCCGAACATTTCTTGCCGCAAATGATAGCGGGTCTCAACCCAGATCTCCCCAAACACCTGTCAGCGAATACGTGAACCAAGCATCCGTGACTCCCTCCCATGAAGTCCAACATGAGCCAAAGTTGCTGAATTCCACCATATCCGACCTTTTGACCTCGCAAACATCACTCTTGGAGTCCCCAAACACTGCAATCTCTGTCCTCAACCAAGTCTTAGCAAGCCTTCAGTCATCCTCCGGATCAACTCCACAAGAACTCTATTCAGAGTGGGCCAGCACATACGCTGCGTCACATGAATATGAAGCGGAGACAGTGGATTCAACATCCTCCCGCAGCAACCTGTCAAGCGGCTGCTGTTGGAGCAACAAACAGGAACTCAATCGAGCCATTCGAGCCACAGTCGCCGTTAAACGAGATACAATCCGCACACGCTTGGCCGAGCGAGCAACCTTGGCGGGACTCGTTTTCCCTGCTTCACAGTTTCCTTGGCACACCATGCGCTATACGCTATTTCAGCAAGGCTATCAAATGCTGAATATTCCTGACGAGGTCCCATTTCCCGGTCAGGAAACGCTAAAAACTGGGTATCGCGGACTGCATGGTCTGCCTACGAATTTATGCACATCTTGGATACGTTGCCTTCCAAGTGATACATCCCTTGGAGTCTCCTTTCATAAGCTTGAACCCGCAGCCGCCGATCGTAAGCTTTGTCATATCTACCAACTTTATGCAATTGAATTCTGACAATTGCATTCAGTCATGCGCAGCGGTCGCAAACCCGTCTTTGTTTGCGCGCCTCCCCACCCTGACTCTCTTCATCCAAATGCTAAGCAACTCTTCATCACAGAGACTCGGATGTGGCAGAACCGCAACGGCCCCCCGAGACGCATCGAAATGAATGAAGAATTGCTTGGCACATACGAAGCCCCCGCTGAGTCTGACACACAAATGGATGCGTTGTTGATGAGACGGAGTGGTGGATCCAAGGGAGTGTCTCACCTACACGGAAATTCCGAAGAGATGAGGGCCTTGTTGCAGAAAATCCTTGCGGCTCGCCCAAAGGCCAAGACTTCTGGAACATTCATTGTCAGTGACGACTCTACGGATGATGGGGTGTCCGATGAACCCAATAACGGAGGGTCCGATGAAATCGATGACGAGGGGTCCGATGAAATCGATGACGAGGGGTTTGACGAACTCGACGAGGAGGGGTCCGAGAGCCATTCCGCATTTTCAAGTGCCTCCGTGTCCCGCCAGCTTCTGCCTCTAATCAACACCCCTCATCCATCTCATCTCATCAGCCATCCTCGAAAGTCCCACAAACAAGCTAGCACTTCGCTTCAAGATGAGAATATGCCCCCTCCACCCTCAAAGAAGAAAAAAACCTCGCATCGGCTTTAGGATCATGACTGAGTAGCCCTACATAGTTACGGAACTTTAGCACCACACATAGCCTTCACGTGATTACCAGATTTGAGTACCACATTGAACTTTATGTTGTCATCAAGCATACCTTTCGTCTCGTCTCTTCAATATGGTCCGCTTATCTACCAGCGCTTGTAGTATTGTAAAGCGGGCCCTTGACTAGATAATACGCAACGACGGCATTAGCGAAAGCCAGTCGAAAGATATTTATTAGCATCAATATAAGGGGACTGAGCGGCCACACGACTAAACCTAACAAAGGTCCGTACAAATCTTTACATAGAGTCGCTTGTACGTGCAATCGGTAGTTCAAGCAGTAATTTGATCGCTGGTCATGACAATAGTTGAAGGCGAGTGCTTTCGAAGTCGCGAATGAGAGCTGAAAGCCTGCGCGCGGTGACATTGCTGGGGAGATCAACAGCAAATGTGAGTTCAAGCTTCTTGCATATCGTTGGGACGATAACATGGACAACGATACGGTCTGGGAAATAGGAAGACGCTTGAAAGCAGCCCCGTGCGCGTGCGGGGCACCCGCGGAAATCGATGTCGACACGCAAGGACGAGTGCGCCGTGAATCCAGCCCAATCAGCCATCAACTCATCGTGGTGTAAGCGGAGGAGGAATGCGGCGAAACGCATGATATGTTCGCGATCATCTCTGGGTAAAACGTGGGGGGAGAGGTCGGGGGTCGTCAGCATGTATACATCTCGAGTAACTTGGCAATGTCGATGGTGTTGTTCCCAATCGCGACGTTGACACTCGTGCGAGCAGTAATATACTGACGAACATGCTCCGCAAAGCCATAACGACTTGTTGTTGCGACGTGACAATGCCCTGCACTTTCATTAAGTCAGCGGGATCGTAAGTCCAGAGATAGGGTTCACTCACAGTATTGCATCTGGGGTTCACTAGCTCCTTTGCGATGAAGGTGTGCAGTACACATTGCCTCGCAATGTCAACGACACGAGCGCTACGATAGTCCGATGAGGAGACGACTTCTAAGGCAACACGTAAAAAAGGAAGACGCGTGCACTGCGTCACAACTTCAAACAGAAGTATATCCAGCGGGGAGAGCGTATCATCCTGATTGGCTCCTATGCCTTCATCAATGAGCGAAAGAAGATTCTTCATCCCTTGCCTTCGACCACGCGTGCATAACATGAGGATATCGAGGCAACTTCGGAACCCAGAATTGGAGTAGCCACGATCTAGTTGCGCAGAGTAACAGAACACCATCGTATGCATCATAAGCCGCATGTTCTTGTAGCGTGAAAAGCTAGAAGACTGTGGGAGGGGAGTCGAGACAAAGGCGCGTCGAATCAGCTCGACCAACTTGAAAACGAAACTGCTTGTAGTGTAGTCTACATTCGAAGAAGAAGGAAGAAGATTCTTCAGCGCTATCCAGGCGCAGTTGGATAGACGCTGGGGTACCCGCTGCGAGTCGGAGGAAGTATAGCTAAGGATCGCGTCGATCAGGCCGACAATTTGGACTTCGTGGAGGTGATTGTTGAAGGTATGACATTCCCATACATCGACCGCGAGGGGTAGGAACGAGCGGACGGTCCGCGCTCGACTGGTGATGCAAAGGGTGATGTCGGCCTTTCCACTAGTAGGATCAACGCATCCTTGGGATAGAAAGGTGTTGATGAAGTCCATCGCAGTCTGGAACCGACGTTGCGAGGATGAGACTAGAGCATGGCTGGGTTGATTAGGGGAGAAGGTATGAATTGGTGAAAGATGGCTGGCGTAGCATGAGCTGATGAGCTGCTTGGTCATGGCAATGAGGGCGGGTATATGTTTCGTCAACCGCATCGCGAACAGCCTACAATAAGTGACCTCCGAAGGGCGGGAAGAAAGCGGTCGGCGTAGAATGCTCGTGGCGAGAAGAAGCCTCCCCGCCACTAGCATGTCATTGTCTTGATGTTCAAAGATGCGAGAGAACAGGCGTAAGACAAAAGCTCGATTGGTCGGATGAACATTGCGGGCGACAGAAAGCCGTCTTTGAAAACGAGGGAATTGATGGTGACGGCTGGCACATTTTGAAACGATGGTGAGTCGCACCATCTCGAAGCGGGGGTAGGTAGAAGTGGGATTCAAGTGCCCAAGGTCTTATAAAGCAGGTGGGGACAAAGGACGCCTCGTGTTCGTGGCGGAGGGTGTCACAGCATTGCAAGCTGGCGCAGACGAGCCACTTGGTAAAGGACCGATGAAGTTATGCGAGGCCGAAGTCCCGCCGATTCGAGAGGTAAACACAGCCCGGTGATAAAGTGACGCACGTCGCGGCGCGTCGCCGAGCAATATAAATGGACATGTCGTTATTCAAGCGGGGGGAAAGTACGGAACAAAACGCTTAAGCCGCTACACTAGTAAAACAAAGGGAAGTCGAGTGGCCATCCCACCTTCCCAGCTTTGAGCTTTCTCAAGGATGGAACGCGTGCCGCGACGGTGATAGCTCTCTTCTTCCCAACTCTTTTCCGCGCCGCAGTCGCCTCTTGTGGGACCGTTGAGACCTCCTTGGTCACAATGCTCGAAGGGGTGCTGGAGGGGGGTCGCCCCCACACCTTACACAGTATCTGGTCGACTCGCTGGTCCCAACATCTGGGGAATCGACAGTTGTCAGGAAATGCAGTCAGAACGTCAATAGGACCGCACACTTACTGAGGTTTACACCAGCGAGACAAATGTCACTGTTTTGAAAGATCAAAGACACGTCGTGTATGGCAGTGAGGGAACACTTACGAAGGTCCTTGAACATGAACGGAATATACCTTATTGCTAAAGAAAGGGAAGTACACTTCGATGTGCTCTCTCTGTGGATCGTCAGCACGTAGATTAGGCCGAGGAGCATGACGAAATACCTCGTGAGCTAAGAGGGTGCCAACATCCCAAATACGTTTCTCGCCAGAATCTGCTACGAAATGAATGGTGACGGACGAGCTTGCGGAAAGCAGTTTCCCCGAAAATGCGATATGAGTGAGCAACAAAGACTCAAATTCTATGTCGTATACAAGATCGCCAGGGCACACTCTGGCCCTAGTTACGTTTAGAACAGCCCGGGGCATGGGAGAAGAGGAAGAAACTCACCAAATCGAGTTTCTAACGAAGGAAGCCATTCGAGAAGTTGAGGGAACAGAAACAAAGGACAAAGAGGGACGCGCTTTATACATGAGCAATTCGGGCCACGTGAGCAAACATGAGGCAGACGAATGCGACTCTAGCAGTAAAGTTCGGTATGGACTGCCGAACACGCCCGCGCAGCTACGCAAAGAATAAAAATGACTGGATTCTCTGTCGAAGTGAGGTCCGGTGGGTTTTGCCGAACGAGATCCTAGGAGAGCGGGCACCCGACGAGTAACAGAGACCAGGTGTCAGCGAGGGCTCGTTCGTCGAGGCTTCAAAGTCTCCGTGGCGAAACGACACATATGTGCAACGTAGTGGAGGTCATTTCGATATGAACGGCGTCGAGACGATAAGAGCATGTGGCAAGGGTTACTAGAACCCACGGTTCCAACGCCCGAGGCGTCTGGCTAACTGATAGGGTAACTAAAGACTACTCCGGTGTCGCCGCTACTGGGGAATCAAGGCAATGTCGGATGAATAGCGTCGAGGCAAGGCGAGAAGGGACAACGACACCCCCGAGTCCAGCCGGCTGCGAGGGTTACCTGAACCCAGCGCAACTATTGCGTCGCCAGAGGACCTCCAGGGTCCAGCTAGCTGCGAGGGTTGCCAGAACCCATCCCGATGTCGCTGCGACCGAGGCAATGGTTGAGGTGAAGTCGGGATGAGTGGCGGCTTCAAGCGCCCATTTCCTCATCAACCAGTGTGACGAACCACGTGTCTTTCTCGGTCTCGTGCCTCCTTGTGCTCCTTGGTTCAACGCGCCTTGAACGCGATCGAGTGTACAATGGTTCATACACCAATACGTAGAATAGGTCGTCCTCGCGGCGTGCCTACAGACATCCAGCGGTTCGTGCAATGGTTCATGCAATGGTTCGTGCAACCTTTGGCATGTGCGTACGCACATCCGGTGGTTCGTACAATGGTTCGTACAGACGGATATCCAGTGGCTTGTGCAAGGGTTCGTACTCCGATGTACAGTTGTACCCTCCGCGTGTGCGTACAGACCGCCAGTGGTTCGTACATTGGTTCGTACATGCAGACATCCAGTGGTTCGTGCAAGGGCTCGTGCAGCGTTTGTGGTTCGTACATTGGTTCGTACAGGCAGACATCCAGTGGTTCGTGCAAGGGCTCGTGCAGCGTTTCGTGCGGCTGTTTGTACATTTACAAAGGTGTCGGGTGTGGCGAGCTTGACATACGAAGATTCCAATTAATTCGACATAAAATGCTCCTGGAATACCTCCTATGGGCTAAGGGGCTAGCTCGCTTTCCGGTGGCGCCTTGAATTCAAATCTCGACAGACAACGAATGCTCGCAAACATGTAAACAGTATGAATCTATCTAAATATACCTATCCGTCACATTTCCCTTTCCTTTTTGACAGCGAGCGATCATATGTCTCTTTCTTAACCCAGCTAGGTTTCCCTTTGCTCACGGTCAAGTAGCGAAGCCTACCATTAATGAATGTAGAGAAACCTTGTTGCACCGGTTTCCAACCTTCGACCCAGATCCACATATCGGTCTCCGTCCCAAAGGTATGGACAAAGAGGTCGTATTCTTCGGGCGATGCCTCAGAGTGGAATGTATCAGGTGGGTGAGGGAGTGGTAGGGCACCACATGATGCAAACCAAACCGTCACGACGTCAGGACACTTCGAATGATGTCTACGCTCAAAATATGCCTAGTCTCGTGAATAAGCAGGTTTCAGAACAGAGCGGCGACACTCACGGATCTGTTCTCCGAAGCTGGGTCGCTAGGAACCGGACCAACTGGATCGGTGGCATCGAGGGAATGGGTGGGTGTCAATTGCGCCTTTGGCTCGTAACCCTCCTCGTCGACCTGCACTTTGAGGCAATCAGAGACAGGCGTGGTGGGCGCGGTGGGTTTGGTTGTTGTCGTGGATTGTCCACTTGATGGGGGAGTTGCACTGGTGCATGATGAGTACCTTGGTGCCGTGATAAAGCCTGAGGGGATGAGTGTTAATACAGTTACAGAATGCACTGGTGCACGCGGCAGTGATACTGCATAGCGACGTTGAACGACAGTTCGGTAGGGCGGCATGGTGGACGAGAATGAAAGAAGGCCACTGGGTGCTAAAGCTCTCAAGCTTAAAGCGCTAACTTGCTGTCCGGAGTATGTCACGTTGCAGTTTAAAGATCCGACAAGTGGCCCTAGGAGGGAGTCTGGTCAGCTGCGACCTTTCCGCCTGTCGTGCTCTCTATCCTGGGCAAGTGTCTCTTTCTAAGCAAGCCCGAAGTCACCCCTGGTATTCTTTGAAACAGTAGATGACTGTCAAACGTCTTCCTGCCGTCTGTGTTATCACTATTAACTGTATTATTAACCGTATTATAAACACTATGTCCCCATTTCGTTGGCTTATGTTTCGCCATGCCTCACCTTTTGTTCAAGGTCGAAGCGAAGCGAGGCTGGGTTGATACCATGCGGATGCGGACGCCAGGGAGAAAGGAGGCAAGCGTAATAATGTGAAACACGTCATCTGCGTTGGACAATTACAACATCTTTTTCCCAGTCATGTTGCCACCACTGACCATCCTCGCACAACCATTTCACCGACACTGCCTTGCTCATTGCTTCCCTATAAAACCTGTTGCCATGACCTGTCGATCTGTGCATAAATTCGATACATTCGAGGTGGGGGATGGAGTGAAATAAGTCCACTAAGAAACTTCGCTCGCAGGCGTAACTGCGACGGATAAATCGAAGACACCGCACACGAGTAGATGCGATGGCAAGAATCACTTGTCGGCTGGAATTCACCCCGTCAAGGGCCAAACCATCCCCATTGAGTTCCCAACAATCAAGATTCTTCATTATCGGGGCGAAGCGGACGATCGACCGCAAGGTACAGCCACTTGACAGCACTTCGATGTTTTGAAATAGAGAACATGACCGCCGCGCGCTTCGATTAGGGCAATATGCCGTATCACCGATCCGTAGATGGGTGATGGTGCCGACTCCAGACTGGCGATCCAGTAGTACAAGATGTGGCACTTGAAGTTTCCGCAATGTGGTGGGTAGGGGAGGCGGAACACGGAGTGATATGTTTTGAACCGCAGGATGCGAGAACACGAACGAGTGGAGATTTCTAAGTCTTTCAAGTAACACACTGATTGAAGACAATGCTGGCCAACAAGTGTCTGCTATAATGACCAAGTGCGTTACAAAGCGAGCGCGATATCCACCACGAGCGCAGATGCTATAAAGGATCCTATCCACGAATATCGGCCGACGAAGTTCGACACGTTGGTATAGCAAGGGGTCGGCAATAGTAAGACATTCAGTGGATGCGAGTGATAATGCCCTTAATGTCGACCGGTCTGTCCAGTGAAAGATCGAGACAAGCACGTCGTGAGGAATCGAAGCACGCATAACCGAATGAAGTGAGGTTGAAAAAGCTCTGAATATGTATAACCATTCTAAACGCGAACGTGTAAGTGGCACTGGTCATACATTAGGTTTATTGGGCGTAGAAGGGGTTTGACAAAAGCGAAAGTCACTAAAAAAGCTGATTGTATTATGAACCTATGCTGCAATTATCATCAAAGGGATCTACTGTTGACGAAGTAAACGAGAGCCAAGATAGCGGGGAACGGTTGGCACGCGGGCAAAGCGATCAAAGAAAGACTGTGAATAGAATACTGCGCAAGTGCGCTCTAGGTCAGGATCAACAAAAGATATGGAAGTCGCGGATTGCCCCGGGACACGTGTCCGAATAGTGGGAGGGGCGCCGCGCCATGAAGACATGAGTTGAGCTAGCGCCAACACATAACGTCTCCGATCCTCGAAGATCGGAGCACACAACCCGGTCGACCCGTCATCGGCAGACACGGTCAGCACGTCCCCTCCAGCTACGCCGGGAAGCCATCCTGGAAAGCAGTAACCAAGTAATGTGTCACGTTCAGCGGCTTTGCGATGTGATTCGTGAGGAATATGCATATACGCATCAAGTGCGCGAAGTTCGCTACGGAAATTGAGCTCGCAAAGTACGTATACGACCATGCGAGCGATATCGGCCGGTGGGAGGGAATCAAAAGTTAAGGTGTAGCCGTGCACTTTGGCAGAAGCAGCATCGGGGATGGCCATCTTGATATGGTGTTTGGCGATCCATTGGTGAAGCAAGGTAGTCATCTCGGACATGCGACCTTCCGCGCCACTATTTGCTTTGAATGATAAAAGGCCTGCTTCCTTCATGGAGAGCAACAAGAGCTCACGCCACCGCGTTGTAGTATGAGAAGAAGAAGTAGGGGAGCACTGGGCTAGGCGTATGGCATCTTCATAGTTCAGCCACGTGATGAAATAGGAGCTTATTCGTTTATTGACCATGCTGGTGGTTGGGGGGACAAAGAGATGGGGATCGGGGAAGCGATATCCGCTGTCACCAGGTGTCCATTCGGCAACAACACGAGAATTTGAATGATCGACAGCTGCAAGGGCATCGCGCCATGCTGGAAGGATAGCGGGCCAAAATGGGTGGTCCGTGGGGTGAAACTTGGCGATGTCTTTGTCGTTTGGCGCCGGTAAAGCTGCATGAATCATTGTCAACAATAGTAAATGTATCTTCTATGTGGGCACATACGACGAGACCTGGATACGGAGGGAGCTGTCTGGATCTTAGCTCGCTTGGCCGGACGTTCAGAGATAGAGACGTCGACTGGTCCGAAAGGCGATTGAGGCGCAAGCCCAGATTCGTCCGCGGAGAAGTGCTGACGACTGTATTTGTAGATTGCGTCGAGCTTCAGACAGCTATCTGAGGGGCCGACAAAAAGCGAACGGGATATCCCTGGAAATGGCTGAACGACAACAGACTTGGTTGTCTCTTGCAAAGGGGCGAGGGACTTGATGCGAACATTTGGGGAGAACTCGGAGAGGTCTCTGAGAAGCCACACGGGGATGCCTGTCTGGGCGAACTCCTCAGCAACCGTAAGATTGTAGGTAATGGCGCCAATAAATGGATGGCACGGCGGAAACTTTGTACTGAGTGGGCGAAGCTTCGAGAGTTCCTTTTTGACAAGGACCATATAATCGATGTAAGCACGGAGGTCGAGCCAGCGGCGTTGAACTTCAGCAACTAGGAAAAGGACGTTCGGGAATATAGTGGCGAAGGTTGAAAGACGGTTAACCCAGATCTGGAGCTGATTAACAAGCATGTTAACCCATTGAGAGTTCGCTTCCGTTCTCAAGCTATCCTTGTCCTTAGAGAACTCTTCAACTAGCCTCGAAACACATAACTTGAACGAGGTAAGGTGAACGAATTTGACACTATACCTCTGAGGTACAATTGGGTCCGCGCTTAAATCAGCTTCCTTCGGCGTCCACCACATTATCGAACGAGGATCGAATGGATCGTCGATGCGCTTCAAGACGCAAGCATGGTGACAATATTGCTGCTGGTACAGCTGAGGGCACTGAAACGGATCGTCTGGGCCCCAACGCCCATCCTGGCGAAGAATCACATGCGAAGTTTGTTCGGGCGGGGAGAAGAGCTCTGGGGCATTCGGGGAGGTGATAAACTGGCGACGGCCAGGAATGACGGCACCGACAATACCATCCCATGCCTGGTACGCTGAAACAGATACTCAGTGGACTTGGAATTGCACTGGTGGAGATGCACGTACGTTTATCGACTTCCCAATCTTTATACGCCGTTAGCCTCGACGGAGACTCGATAAGGAGTTCGGGTGTTAAGGCTAGAGAAACAGTTAAGTGGCAGGGATGGGACAACGGGATGCCATTACACGTACAATCCGCCATCGATTCGATGCTATTAGGGCGTACGGGGACAGTTACGACTGAGAACTGACAGCTGATGTCAAAATCGTAGACACTGCCCGAAAAACCAGACGTCCGCCACCTGCCATTTTGGGCCGTTCGGCATGGAGTGCCGAGCCTCCGATCGTCAAACTGCCGCCTTGGCCTTTGGCTCGAGAGTGTCGTAGAAATTCTAGGAAATTCACAGAAATTTAACAATGAGTTTCTTCTGCTCGGGGTGAATGAAGCAGTAATTCCCCATGACAGCAAGAGAATGTTGTTGCACATTGTGCGGCGCGTTGTGCTTGGACGCGTGCGGAGTTCAAGTTTGCTTATGTCATTTGCCCAAGATGGCAAGTGGCTGGATGTCCGGTTTTCCGGGCACCAGTGTCTACGATTTTGACATCAGCTGGAATAGGCGACGGATGAGACCAACTGATCCGCGCACGGACCCTTTCATCTCAGGGGGATAGGAGCCAATTTTCGTAATAAAGACAAGCCCGAGTTATCCGATTTGTATCTAAACAGGCTACCTGAGATCTTCAAGGACATCCAAGCGCAATTCGTTGATATAGGATTCGTCCGCCTGCATCAATTTTCCAGTCATATACGCCGTGAAAAGGGCTACTAGAACGTAACAACATGCCGGCAAAATAGCCGCCAACAACACAGTAGAATAAGATTGAATGCAAGTGTGGAGCCATTGCAGTATTGCGGGCGGGGCACGTACAGAGTTACGAATTGAGCGATGCTCGTTGCAAGGCGGCGGCGATGGAAATGACTGGTGCTTGTCTTGAGGATCGGCACTGGGCAGGAGTGGGTTGCTACCAACCGGGAAGGATGACGGGGATCTGGAGCTCAAAGCTGGAATGTCGACAGCGATCGACGAGGGCTCCTCGCAGGCCAACGTATCACTTTCAGGCACAGTTATGTAGCCCACTGGGGAACCTTGGGCGGTAGAGTGAGGGCGCGCGTACTGGGCTGCTGGAGGGTGGTGCGTTAACTGTGCACGTACTACCGGGGCTGACCTGCCAACGTTGGGGGAGGCATACAGTGGAAGATTCTCGAGTTCGTGCAAGGGTGTTGACATCAGCTGCGTAGAAGCAGAAATTCGAATCGGGCCTGCGCCTTCATCCTCGGAGTCACCATCAAGAGGGGGACCAAAATCGCAATGTGGCGAAGAAATGGGGGAAGGCGAGCTAGACTCGAACATGGGAACAGGGTCGGAATTTTGTGAAGGACTCCCCTCAATCGTCGTTTCGGTGGCGGAGAAGGGACGCCTGGGTTGTGGCGGTCGCTTCGGCAAAAACCTGGCCGCCTTCTCGAAAGCAGTCAGCCGCAATAAGATCTCAGCATTCGTCTTCTGCATGACTCTCACTGAGGCTTTCTGGATGTCCTGACATGAACAGTAAGCAGCAGAGCTACACAAGTGCCATCACACACACTCACGACATCGGCTTGTGCTCTCCGTGCAATCCTTGAGGCCACATTCAATTCGTCCTTGAGGTTCGATAGTTGGGCAGCGGCAGGATGTTGCGCGGGTGGTTGGTCAAGGTTCTTCATGAATGCGGGGGTACAGAATATGGTCGACGGATGACCGTTACGGTCAGGCCTTTCGTTGTGGCCAATCCTTTGTGCCCTCAACACGTGCCGTCATACAAGGAGAGTCGCGCACTGAGTAAGTACTGAGCGCTGAGATGTAATCTCGTCTCGAGCTTCGGGGAGGAGCCGGGCAGACTTGGAAGTCAGGGTCAAAATTTCGAGCGCAAGTCTCGTTGAGCTAGCAAGAATCAGTCACGGATCTGAAACGGCGACGGTCTCGCGCGGACTACAAGGACTGGAGTCGAGACTAGCTGAGATGGTTTATTACAAGGGTAGACTATGACAGAAATATTGCGAGACATGACAACGAGCACAGTAACTCATGCAGCACGACTCACTGCTGTTGATGCCCTGACCTCTGGCAACGGGCGTTAGGAAAATGGGCTCGGCAGGCGAAACAAACGTACTAAGCATCCAAACTTTCCGAGATCGTTTGCCTTTCGTCTCTAGCACACCCGAGGGAATGAAGAGTTTTCGCACACCTCCTCCCCTCATACCTTCCAAGTAACGGCTAACTCCTACGACTGAGGTTTGAGCGCGAGGGAAAAGCTAAGGAACAATATTAATTACACACCGAAAAGCGCTGCTTCGTCACCGATCTTCACCGTAGTCTATGCTCCACGGTAAAATGGGAGGGATTCGAAAAAGTCCCTACTTACAAGGGTTATGGCCTCGCGTCTGATAGTATACGTCCCGTCTTGGTTCTGAACCGAAAGAACGTATCGAACGTCGACCTCATCGCCGTGCTGGATGACAAGGCCAGTACCTTCTTGTTCGTCTTTGTGTGTGGGTGCGTCTGCGTGACCTTCTTTCGCCTGCTCTTTCTTGTGTCGTTTTGGAGATTCGGGGAGGTCTGCGTTGGCGACGGCCCTCTTCTTCGGATTAGGGGACTCCGGAATCGTCGTTGGAGGGTTGCTCGTTGGAGCCTTGGTTTGCGCTCGAGGGGTCTCTAGTTTGACGGTCGCCGCAAGCGTCTTGACAGGTGAACTCGTCGACTCTGCACGGTCGACCTTGGGTTTGCTCGTTGGAGCCTTCTTTCGTGTTTGGGAAGGTTGAACGGTCTCTAGCTTGATAGGCACGGCGAGCGTCTTGGCAGGCGAACTCGTCGTCGGCTCCACTTGTTCAGTCTTGACTTTGACTTTGCTCCCTGGAGGGTTTTTTTCTGTTTCGAAATGCCCTCGTGAAGTCGTACGGCGATGTCCGATCTCGCTTCTTGTAGGGCTAGTTTCGTCGTCTTGTTCATATTCGGACGTCACCCTCTGAGCGTGATCCTTCTGCCAACCTAAGAAATTCGTCCACTGGGCAGAGGGCACGACCCTGGTATCGTCGCCACTGAGCACGATCTCGGGCGTTATATCATCCTCTTCAACCGGAGAAGTGCCTCTCATTGCTTTAACCAACTCATGTTTGACAGGACTTTTCTTCATCTGATTGGATGAAGGACTTGAATCACCGAACAGCTGCGTTTCAGCGTAGAGGTCCGATGCTGGGCGATGATGATCCACTGAGAATAAGGAGGATTTCATGTCAGCGAAAGCGGTGAGCACTAGCGGTCGGACACCTACACAAATTGTAACCCGCCAGGCATATGTCCCTGGTAAAATCATCAAAACGACAGCATGCTTGATAAATGCTGAGCTCACGATTCTCCTCGAACGTTTACTATGTATTCTTTATCGGAGATAAACGGAAGACGAATATAAAGTTGCTCCTTCTAGTTGCCTTCAGTGGCATATCCGCAAGGAAAGGACTTATGCTCACAAATCCACGAATCAATGTGCCGATCGAGCAGCAGATCATTTCATGTCTTGCCCCCTCATAGAGTATGTCTACACGCGTCTTCGCACCACTAGGAGGGCCGGCGAACGCGACGTGCGTAAGCATCAAAGACATTCGAGGGAGTGGAGTAAGGGAGTGGGCTTCGAAGGTTTGCGACCTGAAGAAACAATGACAGTACGGCGCACAAAAGTAATGCAACTTGCATACCATAGCATACTCTTGATTTTTCTGTTGTCCATAGGAAGGAGGAAGGTGTCGAGTACAAAGAGATAACCAGTCCAACTAGCGCTTCATTAAGCTTTGTATTTATTTATAAACAGCCTGTAGGTGCACGCCGACACGTGAGCATCAGTGCTTGTGATCATAAACGTTCCAGCGTCCTTCAAGATCCTTCAGCGCAAAGTGACTCACGATCGGATTATCATATATCGATAATCATACTGACTTGGGAATGCGGCCTACACGCGCAGAATCTCCTACACTGTCTATTCTGGAACCTACGTTAACTGGACGGACTCCCCTCTTTCTTCAGCATCAGTACCCCCATCTCTTCGGCAATTCAGCTAAACAAGCCCGCAAGCGAAGATCCTCTATGGCGCATTCTACTAGCTCTCTTTGCTCGTCATCAGCAGAAGATGAACTGATTGACAAGCCTACCCGACGGCGACATGCGGCTACACCTCCCTCAGCGCGGGTGGCGGATGCATCCCTAGAGACAAGCCGCGCGATTGTGGCGACCGTGAAGCGATTGACTGAATCCAGATCAACCAAAGCGGGAGGTGTCCGCACGCAGGCGGCTTTGGCTGTAGTGGAGAAGAAGCTGAGCTTGCCCGAGCTCACCGAGCAAGTCGAGAGGTTGGTAGCCTCTGAATCGGCCGACGCTAGGGACGAAATCGCGTCTACGTTGGCAGGGATGTTGGAAAAGGACAACGCCGATTTCACCGCAGAGCTCAAATCCTATAATATCGACCTTTCAGTAATCATTAAGCAGGCTGTTGAAAATGTCGAAAGCTCTCCGGCCTCTGCTTGGTATCTGAAAAAGGCGCCTTCCGAGACATCTGCCGATACAGGCTCTCCTGACCGTTCGCGTCAGGCATCGCATAGTCATCACCCCCGATCGCTTTCGTCGTCTAGGAAGTCAGACTTTTTCAGTAGTAGCAAGAATTTCGCGTCGTTTGCCATCGACACCGGCGGACAGATCAAAGAGCTCAAAGCAGAGCTCTCCCAGGCCCAGAATCTGTTGGCCGCAAAGAAAGGTTTAGAGGAGTCGTGGCAGAGGGAGAGAGACTCGTGGGAGAGGGAGAGGGCAGGATGGGCGAAACTTGAGCAGAGGTTGCAAGAAGTGGCAGATGTGTTCAAACAGGATAAGGCCGACTACAAGCGGGAGAAGGAGAATCTTATCGAGAAGTGGGAGAGCCGTCACGCCGAAGCCAAGGCCGAATGGGAAAAGCAGGCGAAGAAGTGGGAGGACCGGTATGAGAGTGAACTCCAAAAGCGGGAGGTACTTGAGGAAGAGTTGAAGGCCTTGAGGGAGCGGCTTCGTCCTAGCGCGTGAGTGGCATGATATCAGATGGGATAGGTGGAATTGCAATGGGGGGTTTCTGATTAGCCGGCGTAAGAGGTCATTGCTCATTTTTCACCGTTCTTCGACTCGGTAGCCCTTGGACTACTCTATTGTGTTTCTGTATGGTACCAAAGTGTCTCTGGCTCATGTTATGAACAATTGAACCACGTGAACTTTAGGCATGCATCGCGACATGAAAGAATCACTCGACCTAGGCAGTCTCTAGGCAGCTCAGGAGTCATGTTGTGCTGGGGGTTGTCACACAATGATGCCTGCGTGGCCGAAGCATGTTCATGTTATGCAGAGAGGAGATAAACGGAAGACATGCAAGGACAGGGCAACATAATAGGCAAACGAAAAGTCCGATTCATGTACATCAACGAGATGAGAATAAGTGCGATATGGTACGCTGGACCGCCGTTGATGCCCTGACCTCTGGCAACGGGCGTTAGGAAAATGGGCTCGGCAGGCGAAACAAACGTACTCAGCATCCAAACTTTCCGAGATCGTTTGCCTTTCGTCTCTAGCACACCCGAGGGAATGAAGAGTTTTCGCACACCTCCTCCCCTCATACCTTCCAAGTAACGGCTAACTCCTACGACTGAGGTTTGAGCGCGAGGGAAAAGCTAAGGAACGATATTAATTACACACCGAAAAGCGCTGCTTCGTCACCGATCTTCACCGTAGTCTATGCTCCACGGTAAAATGGGAGGGATTCGAAAAAGTCCCTACTTACAAGGGTTATGGCCTCGCGTCTGATAGTATACGTCCCGTCTTGGTTCTGAACCGAAAGAACGTATCGAACGTCGACCTCATCGCCGTGCTGGATGACAAGGCCAGTACCTTCTTGTTCGTCTTTGTGTGTGGGTGCGTCTGCGTGACCTTCTTTCGCCTGCTCTTTCTTGTGTCGTTTTGGAGATTCGGGGAGGTCTGCGTTGGCGACGGCCCTCTTCTTCGGATTAGGGGACTCCGGAATCGTCGTTGGAGGGTTGCTCGTTGGAGCCTTGGTTTGCGCTCGAGGGGTCTCTAGTTTGACGGTCGCCGCAAGCGTCTTGACAGGTGAACTCGTCGTCGGCTCAGCGCGTTCTTCTTGGGTGGCAGTAGAATCATCAACCTGACTGGTACCTCCACACCCTGACCACAGCCCAGTAAGCTGGTCGTCATGCTCGTCAACTACGATACCGAGAAGGGCCTGGTAGTTGGTGAAATCGCTGGAACGTGAGTAGTCGCACACTTACGACACTTAAAACCGGCAAGGCAGACGGTCCTTTCACATGGCCAGTAAATCATTGTGCTCACGAAGAAGGGCATAAAACGTACGAGGACCCCCGTACATAAACGACGCATCCGTTGTCAGTGATTAAAGCCAAGTTCAACTCGATGTGTTCTCTCTATGCTGAGTGAGCGTGCGTCGAGGAGACGAGGCAATAAATATATCACCGAACCAGCTAAGAGAGCACCGATGTGTAACACCCGTTCATCTCCACAACGGTCGCTGTAATGAATTTCGATGGACGACCTCTGACCCAGGGGTTTACCGACAAACGCCGCGTGGGAGAGGACAAGAGCAAGCTCTGGGACAACATTGGTACTGTTGCCGATGAAGGTTTTTGACCTAAAGAAATTTCAGCAGGATGATGAAGAAATAATGGGAAAAGAAAGCGTCACCACATCGAATTCCCAACGTTGAAAGTCGACATTGACCGTGACGCAGTTGTTGAACAAAGAGGTGAGTGCCTCTGTTGACACAGGAGGCTTGCCACGTGATTGCGCACACATTCAAGGGTACGTCGACTTAATTGGAAAGTAAGCTCGCCACACCCGACACCTTTGTAAATGTACAAACAGCCGCACGAAACGCTGCACGAGCCCTTGCACGAACCACTGGATGTCTGCCTGTACGAACCAATGTACGAACCACAAACGCTGCACGAGCCCTTGCACGAACCACTGGATGTCTGCATGTACGAACCAATGTACGAACCACTGGCGGTCTGTACGCACACGCGGAGGGTACAACTGTACATCGGAGTACGAACCCTTGCACAAGCCACTGGATATCCGTCTGTACGAACCATTGTACGAACCACCGGATGTGCGTACGCACATGCCAAAGGTTGCACGAACCATTGCATGAACCATTGCACGAACCGCTGGATGTCTGTAGGCACGCCGCGAGGACGACCTATTCTACGTATTGGTGTATGAACCATTGTACACTCGATCGCGTTCAAGGCGCGTTGAACCAAGGAGCACAAGGAGGCACGAGACCGAGAAAGACACGTGGTTCGTCACACTGGTTGATGAGGAAATGGGCGCTTGAAGCCGCCACTCATCCCGACTTCACCTCAACCATTGCCTCGGTCGCAGCGACATCGGGATGGGTTCTGGCAACCCTCGCAGCTAGCTGGACCCTGGAGGTCCTCTGGCGACGCAATAGTTGCGCTGGGTTCAGGTAACCCTCACAGCAGCTGGACGCTGGTGTCCGAATCATCCATCTGCTCGTGTAAGGGATGCTCCCCGGCATCGGTTCAGTTCCCGTGGTCCCACTGGTCAATAGGTTGGCCTTCGTTGGGCCTTCGGGTCCACGATTGCGATCCCAATCAATTGCGCTCTGCCCTTACCACCTGGCTTGACCACCTGGCTTTGGGCGGGAACAAACGGACCTTTTTCCCTGAGCTTCGTGACCATCGTAACGCACTAGCGTCATATGTGGCTGCTCTCTCAATGTTGTATTTAATCAGGCAACTAATCAGTAACACCAGCGTCACACTCCTTTTTCCATCAACTCAAAGCGCCACCGATAACCTATAGTAGACGTTTATTATATTTCGAAGGTCTGGCACGATGAAATTCGCCTTCATCACTTCCGAGAAGCCCCCAGTGAGTCTCCGCCCACAATTGCTTATCCTTCCGGACTGCCGGCTGCGCATCACCACCGGTGACCATTACGCTCAAATGATACAACACTGCGTATCAGTGAGTTTGATACCTTGCATTGTATTATCCACGACTGACTCTCTTTATGGAAGTCAAGCTTTGCGGTGTGCACAGTCCGTAAGTCTGGACGGCCCTCTGGTTAGTCTGCTTCAAAATTTCCTCCCATTGTTCTTCATCCACGAAATGTATTCCCGATTTTTTGCATTAAGTCTATGTTGTATGCATTTGCCAAGTCTTGTGAAACAGCCGTGCTAAAGTCTCCGTTTATCTATTCATCTCGCGAGTCTTTCTTAAGTCCCTGGGATTTCGACAACTCTTGGCTCAGCTGCCCTATTCGCTGAACATGCGACACATTGCAGGTGTTACGGCGGCCCCCAGCGAGAACAACACCGCCAGAACGCAAAAGTCATGATGACGCCTACGAACTAGCTTGCTCGGATGATCACCAGTCTCCCCAATTCTATGTGTTTCGAAAATCTGGAGGCGTTGCGACGAAGTTGTGATCGCGATCAGAAATACGTCGCCTGCCTCGTCGTAGTGTTGCTAATGAACACGTCAGTAGGTAGCCTACCGCTGAGAGATGGGAATTGTTCATACCGCTAGGCAGACAACATTTTCTCCTTCTGAGACGGCGTTCCATGATTTGCACGCAAAATGAATACCATGCAAACGTACCTTCTAGTGATATATCTGGTCCCAACAGCCTTGAGGTCTCAAGGTCCCAGATGATGCCACTCCCTCTACGCCCTTCCAGCAAGGCCCACCCATTATGAATGAATATTGCGGGGCCGCACTCACCGGAACTATCCTCTCGATTGAAGCTTTGCTGCCGTAGTCCGTGCGGAAGTGCGTAAACAGTAGTGCCTTGACGAGAGAAAGCTGCAAACAGTTCTCCGTTCGGGGAAAGGGAGCCACCCGCACTTGTCGCCAGAAGCTTCAGTTCGAGTTTAAAAACTATGTTGGAGATTACCTACTTCTCGATGGCGTGGGCGAAAACTATTGATTGGGTGCTGACATCCCAACCGCTGGCGGAGAGGATTCAATCATACGGATCGCTGGATGAAGCTAGACGACGTACACAATGCCATGGTGAAGGTAAGACACGACCAGGGTCGTCGTCATGCCCTTCCATGAGACCGAGGTGATCTCAACGGGGCCAGCGACGTTACCATGCGATTTGGGCGCGGGGACATCGGCGAAGAAGCTTAGGACTTTGAATTTAGAATCTTAATCACAGGTGAGCGCTATGTGCATTACGAACGAACTCGTTCTCGTTTCTTACCTTTCGCAAGCCAAACAGAAACAGAAGTCGTACTTGAGATGGCGAGCAAGGAGCCATTGTGATGGAGAGCCAGGATAGCGACCTTTTCTTCGAGCACCGGCAATTCCCAGAACTTTGCCCACTGGAACATAAAGTTGGCTACACTGTCGTTACATCCGCAGGGAGCCTTACATCTTTTGGGTCAGGACGATCGATCCTCGCAACCATGAGGATCCCAGTAGACCATCCGCTGACGAAGAGACCAGGAGCCACCCAAGTAACCGCCGTAGCCTCAGCCCCGACCACGGGCATCCTGCAGAGTTCATGGCCGGAATGACATTCAAACACCCTGATTGTATCTCCACAGCAAACCGCCACAAGACGGCCGTCAGTCGAAAACGCCAGACCTGTGGGAGGCATCGAATAGTCTATATTTTCAGTCATATACTTGTCATGTTTGAGAACATAGTGGAGCATCGCGAAGAAGGAAGTGGAGTGGCTCAGAATGAACCAACGGGAAGGGTGAAAGAGATAGGAGATAGGGGAACACGTGCCTATCTTGTGAGCCGCTTCTCCGATGATAGCCCAGTGAGTTTCATTTGCTGCTGAGTCAGCCCGAGCGCCTTCGCAACTTTGTCGGAATCACATACCTGCTATACCCTCGCAGCTAGCTCGAATCTGGCAGTTCTCTGGATGACCCACCTCAAAAACTAGTTCGCCTGGTAATCCTCACAGCTAGCTGGACGCTGGCAGTCCTCTGGATCTCGAAAACCAATTTGGGCGGTCGGACTCTGGCAGTCCGCTGTCGGTTTTCTCCTCGACAAAAGTCAACTCTCGGCCGGTAACTCACTTCGACGTACTCAAGCTCCCAGATATCACCGTCACATACCAGCTGAATCGCTGAAGTCCTGATCTCGCCCGTGCCCTATTCTTTTACCCCCCGGTGCACTTCTGTGAGGCACACGTCACCTACCAGTCGCGGTCTTGATCTCGCTCGTGCCCTAGACGTCGGTCGCGCTTTGCTGCAAGATGAGTCGCCACGTGTAAATTCCATACCCCGTTTTCGTTGGATTGCCTCATGTCGGTGTGGCTTTGGTATTTAAGACAATGCGCGCTGGTGGCTCAAAGTGGCTCTCTTCTTTACACTTCTGACCATTGCCTCGAAACGCAGATCATCTCATTCCAAACCATCTCATCCTGACCCCAGTCAGCCGAAGGGATCACGGCGCCTCAGACGTGCTCAGCTACTTATGGATGGCAAACAGAAGAAAGATGGTGGCGACGAATTTGTAGAGGTTGTCATGACCAGCGATGAGGACGTCACATCTGCTGTATCTCACGACGATTCAGACCACGACGATTCAGACCCAGGTAATGTGCCGAGTAGCTTGCTCTTTGTCTTTGTCTAACTTCGTATTTCTTGTCAGGTACCTCTTTGTCGGTAGCGATGTCCGCCGTCGAATCTTTAGGACGACCTACACCTCAGCAAGCTATCGGTTGGTCTCCTGACCACATGCTCGGCAGAGACACAGACACTGGCGACATTATCCCTTTCGGATCCCCCTCTCCATCGCCTTTTCCCGCGATCCATTTCCCTTCCACGACCGTAGACTCTATCCTTGGGGTCCCTGTCCCTGTGGCTCTGGGATTTGAGGACCACAGCGGAACAGGAAGCTCAGAGGACTATGTCTGGGACGGCGACAGCGATGACGAACGGCAAGCGGGATTTCTTGCAAGTTACCATGCCCAATGGGATGGTCAAAGCGCGTCTGAGACGACCAGCGAGACTGAATGGAGTTCGGGACTCTTCGAAGCGCAGTCGCTAGGCGACGAAAGCGAAAGCGAATGGGATTCGATGTTGATCGCCCACTACGAAGCACACTGGGACCGGGAGGAACAAAGCGAAAGGGACGTGTTTGCGTCGTCGCTCGCAAGAGACGAAGAGATGTGGGATGGCCTCAGCGATGACGAATACGAATTTGCGTCGTCGCTCGCAAGCTACGAGGAGCTGTGGGATGGCCTCAGCGACATCGAATGCGAATTTGCATCCCCGCTCGCAAGCTACGAAAGGCTCTTTGACGAGGTTGAATACGAATTCCCCGTCCAGCTCTGGGGTAGGGACGACCAACGCGAGTGGGATTCGGGGTCTCATGGAGGCGATTCAGGGAGTGTGTATTACGGTGACGATGAATTGGCAAGTCGAGACTTGGAGGAAGGGAGAAGTGCAGTTGGTGAGACAATTGACTCCGACGAAGAACGCGACATGCAGACTGTCGCTTCCATCCTTACCTCGGCAACCGCACTGGAGGACCTTTGAAGTAGAACTGAAACCAGATAGATACGTAACCCTAGAAATTTATGCCAACCTACATACATGTGTACTCGCTGTTGAAAAGAATGCATGAACCGTCGTAAGAGGATGCATGGGGCTCGAGGTCGTATTATTGACCCCTGTGAGTCCCGTGATGGGCGCTTGTGTCAATGACTGCGTGCTCCTTTTCAAGTTGATCGATCTCATCATTGCGTTCTACCTGGCGAACTTTACGAAAACACCATTCGTGCTGGGTTCTGGTAGCCCTCGCAGCCAGCTGGACTCTGGTAGTCTATTGGCGTTCAAATAGGTGCGCTGGGTTCTGGTGACCCTCGCGTTCTGGTGTCCGCGCTGGATCCATCTGGTCAACGCTCTCGCTGTGGTCCCCCGGCACACCTTTGCGCACCCGCGGTCATGCTGGTCAAGACGGTTGTTCAGAGGACTTAGTATTTTGGGTCCAAGGGGGCCATTGTTTTGAGCCCTCCGATCAATCGTGCGTGTGCCCTCGACCACCTGGCACAAGAGGTCTTTATACGGCTGCTTTGTTCGCTGAATGTGTATTTAATCAGGCAAGGAACCGGTAGCATATCACCCTTCCTCCACCAACTCACAGCGCCACCGATACACTTTCTCCATGCCTAATACCAAGAAACTTTGGTACGCGTCGTTTTGGACCTGGTCTGTCGATGCAACTGATGTGAAACATTCCTACCTAGGATTCGCTATAGCGAAGCCAATTCAACGACCCCCGTCGTCCTTGAAGAAGACGGGTACATCACTTCCCTACAATATTCTGATCAACCTTCGGGGAAAGAGATTTCCGTCCTCTCTCTACAGTTCAATGATGACGAGGGAGTATTACAAACGTTCGAGCTAGGAAGGCTGGCTCCAGGAAGGGTCAGCCCCCTTTGTTTCATTTGTTCTTGCATCCAACTCACCGTCTCTTAGACCGAGCAAATCCGATTCAAACATATAATCCGCGCTGAAGGCTCCTACAGTGTCATTAACGACGGACCCAAGTACGCCACTGCCGTCTATATCCTGCCGCGGCCTTGCTGACCTGATGACCTGATTCCTCTAGTCCAGTATCAGTTTCTGGGTTTCATTATGGTGCGTCTCCCTGGTATTGTTTCCCTGATCCTGTCCTGTCATGTCGTCACTTTAGACACTGATGTGGACACCGTCCTTGCCACTGCCACCACTGCTGGTGACTCCGCCCCAGAGAAGACAAATATCACCACCATGCCTGCCGGTGTGTCTACTCCTTCGCACGAGTGAACGTGCTCTGTTCTATACTCACGCATGATTTTGTAGCTGATGGCGGCAATGGCGTCGGTGACCATGTACAAAGGAAGCCTGCACCTGTCAGGCCTGCTGCGGCTGCTGGAGCCCGCGCAAACCCTCCGCGACAGGCCCGGAGAACTAGCATCATAATCAACGATGAGGAAGACGGGAGGGGGCGCAAGGCGCCGACCAGGAAGGTAGCGAACGACTCTGATAAGGCAACGAGGAAGCGAAAGGCTGCGGACACTACTAGCGAGACGAATAGCATATCCTCAGCCGTAGCCAAGCCATCTCAGAAGCAGAAGAAGCGCAAGAACGAAGAAGAACCTCATCCTTTGAGGAGTCAGGGCGCAAAACGGAGGCAGACTAAGGCGGCTGGCACTCCTGACCTGGAACGCGTCGACACGGCAACGAGCCTCCAGTCCGATGGCTCTGTTTTGCTAGCGGATTCATCGACCCCTCGCCCCGAGAGCATCGCAAATACCGGGGGTCTCAATGTACCCGAATCGGAGGATAGAGTGAAAGGAACCGGGGCCCCCATCACGATCGGGTCGAAAGTAGACGTTTATTATGTTTTGAAGGTCTGGCAAGGGGGTTCATTCAGGAAATTCGCCTCCCTCACTTTCGAGAAGCCCCCAGTGAGTCCCCGCCCACACTTGCTTATCCTGATATTGATTCCGGACTGCCAGCTGCGTATCACGATCGGTGACCATTTTGCTTTGTACGGTTAGTATCTCGTCATTCATTCTACCAACCTTTGCTCAGCGATAATAGGGCTAAGTGGCCATTTGGATGGGATGGCCAAAGGAGGAGAGCGCCTGATTTTCGTTCCTCCAACCCACGTGCCCAATGCCGCCTTTTTGTCTGGGATTGCAAAGGATACAACACTGCGTATTAGTGAGTTTGATACCATGGATGATACTATCTGCGACTGACTCGCTTTATAGAAGTTAAGCTATGGAATGTGCGCGAACTGGCTGTCAGCCCAGCTCCTGGCAACTCGAGGGTCGCAAAATCTGACCTGTCTCTCAATGTGGTGTCCCCGAAGGAGATTGCTACCAGCGCCACGCAGCCTGCGAACCTCCAGCCGCCTCTTGATGGGACGCCCAAGAAGAATATCCCTATCACCGACTCGCAGCCCGTAAACATCGAGCCGTCTCTTCCTCAGACGGCCCGGAAGGAACCCGCTAACGGCGGGGCAGAGGCCGGGGTGTCTCTTATTGAGGCCACCGAGTCCGATCCCTCTCTTTAGGCTGTTTCCAAGTCACCTTATATTGTTTCCCTTTTCTACCTTGTATCATCCACGACATGTACTGCTTTTGCATCAATTCTACGTTGTATCTATTGCCTTGAGCAGTCGTGCTCAACGTGCGTTGAATATTTCGTCATTGAGTCCTTTCCCAAGTCAATGGATGGCACGAACGCACGCGTATCGTATAGATCATTGGCTGTCCACGTATACTAGAAGCTCACTGAGACAACAAATATGTATGGATGACCCCTGGCGCCGGGCACGTGGTCAATCACGTGGTCAGTACTGTACTTCAGTCCGAGACTTCGTCTCACAGTCAACCCACATCGCCTGGCAAACTTCGACGCAACCGTATTTGCGCTGGGTTCTGGTAACCTTCGCAGCTGGTTGGACTCTGGCAGTCCACTGGCGTTGGAATCGCTGTACTGTTCTCTGATATCCCTCGCCATCAAGTGGACTCTGGCAGTCCTCTGGTCCTCGCTTCCGGTATCCTCCCAAGTCCACTCGATGTTCGGCAGGCAATGTCAGGCTGCATTCTTCCAATCCACGGAGCCCGCATTTGACCTTCGGCACATCCTGCTGACATGCGCGAAGGATGGCACATGGCTCAAGGTGCGTGCTCGGCAACCCGAAATGATCCATTGTTCACTGGGTTTTTCTGCTAGATGTCTGCGCGCGTCCTGTAGCAGAATAGAAGATTCAAACAAGTGTTTTACTGTCTGTACAACAAATTGTCTCTACTTCCTTCCGGCGCTCGTTCATTCACTCAACACGGGAAACAGGCAGTCCCACTGTTTCGTCAAGCTCCGCGTTCTTGTACCCCTCGGACCGCCGCTGTTAGCCAAAGCATATAGCTTGGTCAGGCTTTTCATTGCGCACGGTCTCTTATCCACCACTAGGCGGCATGAAGGACAACTGGATGGCACGTTCCTTGAACTTTGCTTCTTAAACCAACTAACGAGACAGCTACCGCAAGCCAAATGTCCGCATCCGACTCTGTATGTATTGCATCAGTGAAACGGTCTATGATTGTAGCGCGGACGGTACTTACAAGTGTGGATTTCGGACAGGCTTGCGACAAATCGGACATTCCAGTTCCGACTTCAAATCCCTTAAAATCTCTTTGATCTTCGCAGCATCCTGCTGAGTCGTCGTGTCCCCACTTTCCTGTCGGTTGTCGGGTTTCTTGACGTGCTTTCCCTTTGAGAACTACAGTATGAGCGTGTCATAAACCTTCTTATTCAGCTATCGGGCTCACTTTTTTTGGCCTAGCTTGCGCAGCGGGAGCGCGAACGATCTGTGATATGCATGAAGTGAAGCTGACCTGTGCTCAGTGACAAAGGCGTACCCTCTGGAGCCTTTCTGCCTCTTTGTTTGGGACTCCCGTGCGATGTCGAAACCGATAGGGAGAACAGCGACGGTCGTCCTTTTCCGATGGTTGCTTATTGCGCGAGCGCAAGTTGTACGAGTGTGGGATCAAGAGGGCCATATTGGAGGATGCCATGGTCAAGAGGCGGATCTGTACATGGCTCGTTCCCCTATTTATATGGCCTTTGAGGTATTAAGCGCCGTTCTTCCTTTATATCATAACGAAAGAGAGGCGCGTCTTCTTCATTCCTTCCTCATTCCTTATCCTCCGAACGTTGAATTCTTCCGAAGATGGTCGTTGTTGTAATATGGTGAGTATCACCCGCATTTGGTGGTCGTTTCCTGATTCCCAAGGTCTCAGTTTCAGGCATCCCTCGATGACTATCACGGTCTCGCTGTTCCTGGAGGAAGCTCTACAACTCAGTCCCCAAGTCGATGTCGCTCAATTGTATTATCGGCAATGTTAGCCGCATTCTTACCACTGGTTTCCTCAAACTGATCGCGACTAGATGTCCCCGTAAACAGAGGTGATCTTCTCAATCGCTCCGCCACCTCCCGACGTCACCCGACTGAACTCGTCAACCTTTGGTTGACTGGCGGCTTTCTAGGAGCAGTAGGAGCAGTAGTTGTCTTCCTCTCCCGACGTCACCCAACTGAATTTATCAACCCTTGGTTGGCTGGGGGACTTCTAGGAGCAGTAGCAGCAGTAGGAGCAGTGGTTTCCTGTCTCTTCCTCTCGTTCAAGTAGCAGATGTTGCTCTATATGTTCCATTCATTCCATCCACTTGTTGCTCACTTGCGTCCATCCCAGAAACCACGTGTTCGTGATAATATTTTCAAGGTCGCGGCTAAATCCACTCTTTGTGCTGCTCTCCATTAAAGATCTTAATTGGCACGGATGTTGGAGACCATGGTCAAACATTCACTAATGCACCCTCTAGCTTTCCATCCGTACCAGCGACCTCTTGCATCATCGACTGGCAGGCCCGATGCGCAAGAAGAGGAAGTGGTCACAAATTTCTCCTTAGTAGGGACACTGTCTCCTGCCCGAACTCGTATCCGTCGTCGGCCTCGCAAAGCTGATATTTCAAACGAGACCGACTCGGAGGAGGAGGGCTCTGGACATCAACTTTGCGACAGTTGGACAACGATCAGCACATGGAGCCTCCTGCTTTTGTCAAACTCCAACCTCCATCACCGCGAAGCCTCCGGCCCTTCAGCTCGACAGTATGGCGCAAGGAGCCTCTGCTGGGCAAGCGCAAAAGAGCGTGAGTACCGTAGATTGATTGTTTGACCGTTGTTCACTGTTGGCGTCAGCTCGTAAACGGTGGCGACGGGGAGGTCCTTCGGCTCAAAGAGCAAGTCGCAAGGCTCGAGACTATCAGGGATACGGTAAGCCCTTCCGTCGATGTATCCGTCCTTCACGTCTCATTAGAAGGTGCAGATGAGCTCGAGACTCTCGGAAAGGGTGATGTGCCGGATCTGTCTTGGACCGATGAAGTTGCCTGTTGTGTGAGTATAAATACTTCTCTCATCGCTGTGCCCCCCATGAACGTTCCTATAGATTGCCCTGTGGCCATACATATTGCTCTTTGTGCCTCAATATCGCATTCCGAAGCAGGATGCGTACGGAATTGGAAACAAGCCGCTACGAGTTTCTCCTCCCCGATGTTCCATCTGTCCCTAGCACTATTGAGGAGGCTCAAGCACTAAGGGACCTTCTAGAGGAGAACCTGTATGAAGACGACCTTGTTCCCCTACTTTTCCAACACCCTTGTCCGACTTGCCGAGCACGTTCAGCATCCTCCAGAGGATTACTTCGCGAAGGATTTAGTGGAATGGTTCAATGGAGAAGTCGAGCCCTGTAACTCTGCCGCTCAAATGTGTGTGGAGGAATTAGATCCACTATTGTTCGATGGTCTGTTCTTGGACTTGTAGTTTGTAAGTATCAGATATCTCCTTAGGAGGCATTCTAGGAGCATTTTATGTCGAATTAATTGGAATCTTCGTATGTCAAGCTCGCCACACCCGACACCTTTGTAAATGTACAAACAGCCGCACGAAACGCTGCACGAGCCCTTGCACGAACCACTGGATGTCTGCCTGTACGAACCAATGTACGAACCACAAACGCTGCACGAGCCCTTGCACGAACCACTGGATGTCTGCATGTACGAACCAATGTACGAACCACTGGCGGTCTGTACGCACACGCGGAGGGTACAACTGTACATCGGAGTACGAACCCTTGCACAAGCCACTGGATATCCGTCTGTACGAACCATTGTACGAACCACCGGATGTGCGTACGCACATGCCAAAGGTTGCACGAACCATTGTATGAACCATTGCACGAACCGCTGGATGTCTGTAGGCACGCCGCGAGGACGACCTATTCTACGTATTGGTGTATGAACCATTGTACACTCGATCGCGTTCAAGGCGCGTTGAACCAAGGAGCACAAGGAGGCACGAGACCGAGAAAGACACGTGGTTCGTCACACTGGTTGATGAGGAAATGGGCGCTTGAAGCCGCCACTCATCCCGACTTCACCTCAACCATTGCCTCGGTCGCAGCGACATCGGGATGGGTTCTGGCAACCCTCGCAGCTAGCTGGACCCTGGAGGTCCTCTGGCGACGCAATAGTTGCGCTGGGTTCAGGTAACCCTCGCAGCCGGCTGGACTCGGGGGTGTCGTTGTCCCTTCTCGCCTTGCCTCGACGCTATTCATCCGACATTGCCTTGATTCCCCAGTAGCGGCGACACCGGAGTAGTCTTTAGTTACCCTATCAGTTAGCCAGACGCCTCGGGCGTTGGAACCGTGGGTTCTAGTAACCCTTGCCACATGCTCTTATCGTCTCGACGCCGTTCATATCGAAATGACCTCCACTACGTTGCACATATGTGTCGTTTCGCCACGGAGACTTTGAAGCCTCGACGAACGAGCCCTCGCTGACACCTGGTCTCTGTTACTCGTCGGGTGCCCGCTCTCCTAGGATCTCGTTCGGCAAAACCCACCGGACCTCACTTCGACAGAGAATCCAGTCATTTTTATTCTTTGCGTAGCTGCGCGGGCGTGTTCGGCAGTCCATACCGAACTTTACTGCTAGAGTCGCATTCGTCTGCCTCATGTTTGCTCACGTGGCCCGAATTGCTCATGTATAAAGCGCGTCCCTCTTTGTCCTTTGTTTCTGTTCCCTCAACTTCTCGAATGGCTTCCTTCGTTAGAAACTCGATTTGGTGAGTTTCTTCCTCTTCTCCCATGCCCCGGGCTGTTCTAAACGTAACTAGGGCCAGAGTGTGCCCTGGCGATCTTGTATACGACATAGAATTTGAGTCTTTGTTGCTCACTCATATCGCATTTTCGGGGAAACTGCTTTCCGCAAGCTCGTCCGTCACCATTCATTTCGTAGCAGATTCTGGCGAGAAACGTATTTGGGATGTTGGCACCCTCTTAGCTCACGAGGTATTTCGTCATGCTCCTCGGCCTAATCTACGTGCTGACGATCCACAGAGAGAGCACATCGAAGTGTACTTCCCTTTCTTTAGCAATAAGGTATATTCCGTTCATGTTCAAGGACCTTCGTAAGTGTTCCCTCACTGCCATACACGACGTGTCTTTGATCTTTCAAAACAGTGACATTTGTCTCGCTGGTGTAAACCTCAGTAAGTGTGCGGTCCTACATACGTTCAAGCTGCGTTTTCTGACACCCATCCACTTCCTAGATGTCACGTCGAGTGACATTATCAGACACTGTGAACGATGCGGGGGTTCGTGTGACCCCCATCCAGTACCCACTTCGAGCATCGTCGTGCCTGCCTCTCGTCGTGTCGTCAGATGTCTGTGGTTCTCTGTGGCCTGTCGAGAACCGCGTATAGTCGACGTTGAGACACAGCGACCGACATCCGAAACGCACAACGTTGATTGTCTGGCAACGGAGGATTGGGTTCGGCCTCAGGTATGACCATATTGCGTAAAATGAACATCGGCTAAGAGGCAATGTCAGAAATGGTACGGCGTTGTCCACGATGCAACAGAGAATCGTATAGTTGTCGCGGTCGATGCAGTGGCTTCGAAGGCGTGTGCTCACAAGACCATGTATACATGTATCTTTCGCCGACCACATGAGCGCAACGGGGCTCTCAACACGGCCGTGATGCAGTATCTTCCTCCTTCCGAAGCATGGTACGACAATATGCTTGTGGTGGCTCAAAAAGAGGAAGGCGGATTACTGGACATGAACCATGACATGCAGGTCGAATTTTTGCTGGCTTTCACGAGGTAAGTGACTGGCACAGCTATGAAGAACGAATTTTTGGTTTGACGATGTTGCAGGGCGATGTCGAAGATAACAATAAACAGCTCATTTCCTGTCGAAGCACCAGTGACTCCTTGCGTCCACGTACGCATTCCTTCTGTGACAAGCGCAACTGACCACAAGGGCGATTCTCGCTTGCCCATCGAGCTCTGGGAAAAGGTGTTGGCCGAGGCGCCGATGGCAACTTGGATGGCTGCTATCAAAGGGAAGGGTTTATTGCGGCGTGCTGTCCATCAACTGCTGCACCGTCAGGTGGTTTCCGGGCTTTCGAAGTTCTGGCCTACGGAGGCCCTGCCACGTCTCTTCCAAGCCTTGTCGGACGCCAAAGGGTTGATATTCGGAGACGTGCCCTTCAACATTCTTTTCGGGCAAGCGCTAACAGTCGATCGTCTGGATATCGCCGTACCCTTGGCTTCCTTCCGCGAGGTACACGCGCTCATCTTGCTATTCGGTTACGATCTCGAGACGCGAATTGAGGGGGGAGACGGTTGCGAGAAAGGATGGGTCTTCAAACATCAAAACGTACGGATAGTGTCTTTTGCCTGCTCGCAACGCTAAACCTTCGGCTAGGACGCGGTTTATATACAACTGTACGAGAGCTGGGGTCGCAGCTCTCTGAATGTGCCGCTTCACTCGCGACGTACTTCGTCTATGACTTTCTTAACCAACTCTTCCATTTATAGCTTCTACACGCCCTGGTCGGAAGCAGGCATCATAGGAGCAGGCAGACAATCATTCTCGATTCCACGGACCACCTCCTTGCGCAGAAGTCTCGATGGCGACATCTTAGGAGAATGCTGCGGCGTTTATTGTTCCAGGAAACCTCGATCGACGGCATCCGGTATCGGCGTCGATGTGGTGACTTGGGGAGGGTTAGATTTGAAACAGGATCCATGTCGTTGTGAAAAAAATATGTTCGCCCGGCCGATGGCGTGGATTCTGTCCTTACTGGGTGAATGTCGCAACGTCGACTGCGGTTTCTACAACTCCATTGTCGATCCTTCTCCACCAATGAGCCTCCCCACCGGTACTCTGGAGCAGCTCCTCGTGAAGGCCGAACATCTTTTGTCGCATATCCCCTTGATGCGACTGGTGGCTTATGCAGAGCCGGGCCTTCACTTTGACAGAAAGGACCCAAATTTGAGGGCCAGTTGCATATACGTGAATCCGATTGGAACATCGTGGCGCGCTAACTACGTTGGGCGGATCCTACCCGCAGCAATGGGTTCTAAACATAGCGCCCGGGGGGATGATATGACCGTAAGTGGTCATGAACAAAAGTCACGCTCAGGCTGATCGTCGTCTACGAATAGCGGCTCCCCGTGCGAAAGGGGAAAAAAATCAAGGACATGCTCGTCCTGGGACCTCCAGGCGACGAAGCTCCATTCTTGAATACCATGTATTCACACCAGATTCAAACTCTCGAGGGCCTGGTACAATCGCTTTGCCGGAGCTCAGGTCTCATCCCCGTGCGTGGCCCTGTCCGAGATAAACTCTGTCCTGATACGTTGCAGAGTCAGACTGGCCGATATCCCTTCCCTGGGACCAATACAGACCTATTGCACGTCAGGATGCCTAGCAAATATGAGGTACGACGCAGGTGTATTCCAAAACGCCGTCCTCACAGTCTACGGGATTCAGGAACTACCTTTCTTTGCACCGCCTGCTTCACCTTCAAACTGTGAGTATCATGCCTCTGTACCTTGACTTGAGTTACGAAGCGAGCGAATGCAGCGGCGACAGTATACACCGGATACGAACGGTCGTTGTTGCCCGACTTCAAAAGCGAAGACTTTGATGATGGCGAGAGAATGCTGGTTCAACTGCCAATATACGACGCGAAGAGACGGCTCGTACGACCCTGGGAGCAGTACGATGCGTTGAGGCCTGGGACTATCGTGCTGGTGACCGCAGAGTTGCAAGCACATGTAAACGGCCCGTGCGTGGTAAGTCTTGGATGGCGTACATCACTTGGTCTCCACTAAACGGTGTCGCAGACTTGGCTATTCGCTATGAACTACCTGCAAATTTTGGTGCCAGCAGATATGCTAAGAGAGCAATACGTTCAAGACTTTCCTTCGCGGGAGAAGCCAAGCGGCGGAGTGTGATAAGAGGTCTTGCTTACAGGCTTTTGTACCTACATGTCGGATCTGTAATTCACCAGGGTGTTCTGACTGCCATCTAGGCAGTGCCCCTATCTCTACTGTTGCCACATCTCTTGCATGGATAGACAGACCGCCCCTACCTCTTCTCTTGCTGCAACTCTTTCTACTTGAACGCCTCCCAGCACTTCCTTCGACGTTCGGGGTTTACCAGCGCACTCATCTGACCATGGATATATGTAGGAGGGAAGGATTACGCGCCATGCAAGTTTAAGTGGGTGATCAGCGAGTGAGCCCTTGCACGAACCATTGCATGAACCATTGCACGAACCGCTGGATGTCTGTAGGCACGCCGCGAGGACGACCTATTCTACGTATTGGTGTATGAACCATTGTACACTCGATCGCGTTCAAGGCGCGTTGAACCAAGGAGCACAAGGAGGCACGAGACCGAGAAAGACACGTGGTTCGTCACACTGGTTGATGAGGAAATGGGCGCTTGAAGCCGCCACTCATCCCGACTTCACCTCAACCATTGCCTCGGTCGCAGCGACATCGGGATGGGTTCTGGCAACCCTCGCAGCTAGCTGGACCCTGGAGGTCCTCTGGCGACGCAATAGTTGCGCTGGGTTCAGGTAACCCTCGCAGCCGGCTGGACTCGGGGGTGTCGTTGTCCCTTCTCGCCTTGCCTCGACGCTATTCATCCGACATTGCCTTGATTCCCCAGTAGCGGCGACACCGTTCATGTTCAAGGACCTTCGTCAGTGTTCCCTCACTGCCATACACGACATGTCTTTGATCTTTCAAAACAGTGACATTTGTCTTGCTGGTGTAAACCTCAGTAAGTGTGCGGTCCTATTGACGTTCTGACTGCATTTCCTGACAACTGTCGATTCCCCAGATGTTGGGACCAGCGAGTCGACCAGATACTGTGTAAGGTGTGGGGGCGACCCCCCTCCAGTACCCTCTTCGAGCATTGTGACCAAGGAGGTTTCCTCAACGCTCCCACAAGAGGCGACTGCGGCGCGGCAGAGAGCTGGGAAGAAGACAGCTATCACCGGCGCGGCACGCGTTCCATCCTTGAGAAACCTCAAATCCGCGAAGGCCGGATCGGGGTCCACGCCTTGAGATGGCCAATCGACTTCCCTTTGTTTTACTAGTGTAGCGGCCTAAACGTTTTGTTCCGTACTCTCCCTCCCTTGTAACACGACATGTCCATTTATATTGCTTGACGACGCGCCGCGACGTGCGACAATTTATCGCCCGGATGTGTTTACCTCTCGAATCGGCGGGACTTCTATGTTCTCATTACTACGGTGCTCATCTCCCCAGTGGCTCGCCTGCCCCAGTTTGCAATGCTTTGACACCCATTTTCTCAGCCACGTGCACGAGGTGCCCTTTGTGCCAATCTCCGTGGCTCGAACTTGCTCTCCCTTCTGCAATCCTTTCTGTGTCATTCCCCATGGTTTCGTGCCGCCGATCCCGCCCCAAGCCAGCGCATTCACGTTGCAGCTCAACCTCAAAAGTGAGGCCCAACTTACGAAGATCCATCCGCTCTTTGCCTGCGAAATCGTCTGGTAAATCGTCCGGTAAAGGAGAGGTCGATGTCGATGGAGGTCATGATGTCTCTATGTCAAGTGGCGATGAAGACCAGGAGGTTGGAAGTGACATGGCAGTCGACGACTGGGACTCCGGTATTATGTGTCTTTCTCAGCCATACTTTCGTGTGCCTAACCTAGAATTTGAACCTCTTCAAAGGATCCCTTGTTCCGCCATCGCGATTTGCTCCTCTTCTTCCCCATCCTGCTTTGGCCCCGTTCAATTCTCACGCTCTTCATGGCGACCTCATTCGCAATCCCGCCATGAATGACAGACACACCTTTGTATCCGCCAATGAAGCCGGCTCAGACGTTACTGCGATAGGCACTCCGCTGGCTCTTCGGGATAACCAGCACGTTCATCATACCTTCCCTGAGATGTCACCCACCTGCCTTTTAGCGGCAGTATCAACGACACCAGTAGCTGAAGGCATGACCCCAAGAGACGACTTGGTATTGAGCCCAAATCTGTTATCGCGAGGTAATTTTTGTCAATACCTTCTTTTGGAGAAAACTTCATCATGATCACGTTTACAGATGAAGGGGTACCACCGTCGTCGTATCTCAAAAGCAGCACGCCGGATGCCTCTGACAAGTTTGTGCTGGAATCTCAACACATCGGACACGCGCGGAATACTTCCAACGGTAGAGTTACTAAAGATCCAACGCCAACGAGGGTGACAGTAGTTGTTGGTTCAGCCTCCCGGAAGCCGTACAGCATTGAGGGAAACGATACGGCCATGGTAAGGGATGAGTGGAAGGAGGAAACTAGCGGCAGGAGCTCAGAGGAGGACGACCCAACGCCCGGCGACTGTCTAGTAACTTACCAGACGGGGTGGGACGGCGAGAGTAATGAGGGCGATCACGACTCTGCCTCAGTCAACGATCCCATCAATCAGGAGTGGCGCAGTGACAGTGGCAGCGACGGTGCTGTTGACGACAGCAGGAAATCGTGGGGCAGCGAGAGTGTGGAGGGTGATCACAACCCTTCCTCGGTCAACGATCCCATCAATCAGGAGTGGCGCAGTGACAGTGGCAGTGAGGGCGAGGAAGAGGTGAAGGTGGAACAGGAGATGGATCAGGACGACCCATTGTCTACCATCGCTGCCGTAGTCGCCGAGGATGGGTGGAACGAGGAGAGCGACGAAGGGAGCTCCGAGGAGGAGGATCGCATGCTTGGCGACGGTGCTGCTGACGACAGCAGGAAATCGTGGGGCAGCGAGAGTGTGGAGGGCGATAACAAGCCACCTTCCAACCATGACCCCGTCCACAGGGAGTGGCGTGATGACAGTGGCAGTGAGGGCGAGGAAGAGGTGAAGGTGGAACAGGAGATGGATCAGGACGACCCAATGTCCAGCACTGCCAGTGTTGCGGCGGGGGATCGGTGGAACGAGGAGAGCGACGAAGGGAGCTCCGAGGAGGAGGATCGCATGCTTGGCGACGATGCTGCTGACGACAGCAGGAAATCGTGGGGCAGCGAGAGTGTGGAGGGCGATAACAAGCCACCTTCCAACCATGACCCCGTCCACAGGGAGTGGCGTGATGACAGTGGCAGTGAGGGCGAGGAAGAGGTGAAGGTGGAACAGGAGATGGATCAGGACGACCCAATGTCCAGCACTGCCAGTGTTGCGGCGGGGGATCGGTGGAACGAGGAGAGCGACGAAGGGAGCTCCGAGGAGGAGGATCGCATGCTTGGCGACGATGCTGCTGACGACAGCAAGAAATCGTGGGGCAGCGAGAGTGTGGAGGGCGATCACAACCCTTCCTCGGCCAACGATCCCATCAATCAGGAGTGGCGTGGTGACAGTGGCAGTGAGGGCGAGGAAGAGGTGAAGGTGGAACAAGTGATGGATCAGGACGACCCAATGTCTACCATCGCTGCTGTAGTTGTAGTCGCCGAGGATGGGTGGAACGAGGAGGATCGCGAGAGGATCGCGCGGCAGGGCGATCCCGTGCTCGGAGACGGTGGCGTTGCGGAGGTGGAGGAGGGAGAGCAAGTGGGACAGGACGATCCAATGTCCACCATTGCTGCTATCATCGCCGAGGAGGATCACGACGCCGTTACGACGGTGGAAGAAGCGGAGCAGGGAACCCATGAGGAGCAAGACCCCCCAATGTCCAGCATCGCCAGTGGCAGTGAGGGCGAGGAAGCGGTGAAGGTGGAGAAGGAGATGGATCAGGACGACCCAATGTCCAGCACTGCCAGTGTTGCGGCGGGGGATCGGTGGAACGAGGAGAAGAACGACGAAGGGAGCTCCGAGGAGGAGGATCGCATGCTCAGCGACGGTGCTGCTGACGACAGCAAGAAATCGTGGGGCAGCGAGAGTGTGGAGGGCGATGACAAGCCACCTTCCAACCATGACCCCGTCCACGGGGAGTGGCGTGATGATAGTCATGGGGAGGATGACAAGGGCGACGTAGGCGAGCTAGTGTCCCCATATTATGATCACCCCGCGCGGGTCAACAACAGCGAAATAGAATGGCAAGCCCAGTCGCAGGCTATGCCTACCATCGACATGCTTATGGGGTACGGACAGGACAATGGGCTGGAATCATTTGCTGACGACGAACGGGACACTGTCAGTGAAGTTGGCTCCCTCGGATTCGGTGTGACTAAACCGCTCGCGATCCAGGCTCACTCCTCCATCAGTTCCTCCGTCCGCCGCCGTTCTCAGCTATACACTAACCCCCAGGAGCAAAATGACGACATGAATAACCCTCCTGCTCCTAACTTCGACAGGTCACCTAGTCGTCCAATCCTCGTTGAACAAAGTCACGCAAGGGTTCTTCTTTGGAGAAATGATGTACCCCCACGCATTGAAACATCTTCTGTCCTCGGGAGAGACAGGAGTGTCGGTACCATCGGGAATGATGGAGGTGGAGCAATTGGACACCGTTACAACAACCCTGAGCCTACGCCGTCTGCACTAAATCGAGCTTCTACGCCCCTCTTCCTCAACAGTCCTTCCGAATGTCACAGCTATCAAATATCTACGATATCTACAACCCGTCGCAACACTTCCCGAATTCCATCACCTTGGGACCATCGTAGCCCAGAGCCTTCTGCACATGGACCAGCCGGCTTTCAGAACGCCCGTAGTCCGTCACCTTGGGACCATCGTAGCCCAAAGCCTTCTGCACATGGACCAGCCGGCTTTCAGAACGCCCGTAGTCCGTCACCTTGGGACCATCGTAGCCCAAAGCCTTCTGCACATGGACCAGCCGGCTTTCAGAACGCCCGTAGTCCGTCACCTTGGGACCATCGTAGCCCAAAGCCTTCTGCACATGGACCAGCCGGCTTTCAGAACGCCCGAAGTCCGTCACCTTGGGACCATCGTAGCCCAGAGCCTTCTGCACATGGACCAGCTGGCTTTCAGAACGCCCGTAGTCCGTCACCTTGGGACCATCGTAGCCCAAAGCCTTCTGCACATGGACCAGCCGGCTTTCAGAACGCCCGTAGTCCGTCACCTTGGGACCATCGTAGCCCAAAGCCTTCTGCACATGGACCAGCCGGCTTTCAGAACGCCCGTAGTCCGTCACCTTGGGACCATCGTAGCCCAGAGCCTTCTGCACATGGACCAGCCGGCTTTCAGAACGCCCGAAGTCCGTCACCTTGGGATCATCGTAGTCACCCCGAACCGTCCCTAGCACCTTGGGGGACGTCCAGAGCTCAGAGTCGTGAACACACTTCTCACAGCGATCAGTCGCCTTTCGACAATGGATTTGATCGGGGCTTCTGGGGACACCATCCTACCCCAGGCTCCTTCTCTGAGGATAATGCCCACGCGACTTCCATGCATGGCGACACTGAGAGTGACGGTGGCAATGAAAAGGTATTAATAAGTCTCCAGATTAATATTGGACCAACTTCTCATTTTGTTGACAGCCTTATCCTAACAACGGGAAACATCCCAAGCGTGACAAGAGTCAACGTCCCTATCCCGGCGAAGAGGAACGTCAGAAGCATGGCAAGCATCACCGTCGACGTCGGAAACACTGTGTCCACTGTGCTCCTCCCAATACCGACGACGGAATGTCTGACTCAGACGAAGCTTCCGGACCTCCTCAGCGCACTTACAATGTCCGACATCTTGACCCAAAAGGTCTTGTATTGAAGGTTGTTGTCTTAATCTCACTACATTGCTGTCGTAGCTCATACAATCGTTAGTCCGAAATCAGAATCCACTGCGATCGTACCTTAATGGAGCGTAGTCTGAAAATAGCCACTGAGGACATGATTCGCAGCTTCACGCTCAAGCCGTATGGCCCGATTCGTCCCACAGTCGCCAATTTCGCAATGGACGCTCGCCCTCAGAAGGGCATAACTACTGCTTGGAACAAACGCCTCATCGAGGTGTTCGTGCAAGACTTCATGGAACAACCCCAGTACACTTGTAAGGACCCTGCAAAGATCGAACACCATTTCAAGCAGCATCTGTACCAACTCAAGCAACGCGCGGCAAAGCTTCCGACGCCCGAAGCTGCCAAAGCCAAGAGTCGCGAAAACAGGCGGCGCGCAGTTAGTGCTCTGATATTCCTTCGCTGTGAAAGACTGACCCTTTGCTTTCAGCTACGAGAGCGTCGCGTCAAGGCGTGTAGGAACTACTCTCGACAAGATCCCACCCTGCATCGTTTTCTCGATTTGTTGGGTAGGCTACCCTATTATGCCATGAGTGGAGATGAGACGGACGCCGATGCTAGCACATCAATCGGGATTGGGAAGACTATCGATGGGTATTCAATAACCAATCTACCTTGGCGCTCTTCAGACCCAGAAGTAACCCATTGGTTCCGGACATTCGATCTACTTCACCTCTCTACACGATACATGATGACCGGCAACCCGACACCCGGCGAATGGCCACGAGTAAGACTGCCGTCATCACGTATCGAAAAACACAAGGCAGAGCCACCTCTTGGGCTTCCAGAGAACTTCTACGGCTCAGCTTTTCTTCAAAGCCTCCATCCAATGGAAAGACAGCGCCTGAAGGTCCAAACATCCATGGACCTCTCTTTTTCTAGAGAAATTGAAACGTGAGTATTTGTACTTGAGTGCACAAACAGACGCTCACCCGCCCGCTCCTTAGTCTCGCGGCTCGATATGCACATATTCGTACGAGACATGATCGACCCCTTGATGTTTGATCACACCAGTATACTAAGACCCGCACTAATCTACGTATCATATATACGACACCGGCTGGAACCGTGATTGCCTCTGCACAAGTGTCCCTCGTCTCGCATCCGACCCAGACTCTATCTGTAACATTCGTACCCTAAGCCCTTTTGTAATAGCACATTTTCATACCAACATCATGACCTCTCTTTGTCTATTCGCTCAATCACTAGATGGCCTTGAGTCTGGAAACTCAACAGGTCACGCGATCACGAGGGTCTGGAGATTCTCAGAGGATTCAGTAGGCGCCGCTCTTTTGTTCTGCTCGCTTTCATGCGCTTGGTCCATCCTATCATTTCACTCATGCAGGTACGTGCACCACGACTACGACATTTAAACGTTCAAATTCACCTTCAGTCAGCGCCACTTTACCCGCAATGTCACACCACGATTTTCCCTACTCTTCCCATAGATTTCGTTTCGCGTCTAACGCAGAGTACGCAATTTCTCCGCCTGCTCTCAGACGAGGTGCCTGGCTCAAGCGTCCTGTGGTTGCATTCACGTTGGGCATCTTGACAGCCTTACTCGGGAAGCAGTCCGTTGTCCATGCCTCAACTATCATCGATGCATACCTTACACCACATATTTCCTCTGGCCAAATGCCCATAGACGCCACATTCGCTGTCCTTACTTCTATCACTGACCGCCTACTCGCGAATGCTACACCCGCCTCCGTCCCTCCTCGCAACCTTGCTCTATTTGGTGGCGGCGCTCGAGTTAACTCTCTTCTCACTTCTGCTACCTACAATCCTCACGCACATGGTTCAGTAGGCCCACTACGGAGAGGCCTTCGCTGGGTTCGAGACACGATGCTCGGTGTCGAATTTTCTCGACTGCACATGAGTCGTCCCAGGGATGCTCTCAGCGAGAATATGGAACTTGGAAGGTGTTGGGAATTCGAGGGTCCCACGGGTCACATAGCCATTGAATTGCCAGAGGTCGTCACCATAACCGACGCCAGTGTGGCTTACATCCCTGCTCCCCTCCTCTCGCAGGTTGCTGTAGGCCGTGCGCCGCGCAGAGTAACCATGTGGGGCCTGGCCGACAACACGACTGCTCAGCATTTTACCGAGTCCCACGCGCCGTCCCTTTTTACAGCGAATCACCGGAACCCTCCTGGTATGCACTACACCGATAGGTTCGTCAAGCTTGGAGGGTTCGTTTTCGACATCGATTCGTCGCATCACCAGTTCTTTGCCATGGATCCTGATTCTGCCACGATACAAACATCTCTGGTCATTTTTGAAGTGAATAATAATCACGGTTCAAGCACAACATGTCTATATTATTTAGGGGTGTACGGTATAGAAGTCTCCTAAACTCCTGTATAATGATCATGTGAATCTATGCCTCCCCCCAGCATGACCAGGCTGTCGTGTTCAATTCCCAGCGATATATGTATCCCATAACTTTGTACAACGACATTCTATCCAAATTCTACCTTAGTATGGAGATGAAGTGCATCAACCGCCCAATTTGGAGCGAATTGTGTGTTAATGTTTGTTACTTGTTGATCCATGATATCCGCTGACTCACAATTCATGCTGGTTTCCCACCCTCTCTTTTCATCCCTCTCCTTTGTTCCACTGTTCCTCAAGCTCCAGCTCATTGCCACTCTCTTGCCTGTATTCGAATATCGCGCTGGTATCTGGTATCCCTCGCTACTTGTTGGACTCTGGTAGTCCTTCGAGACCATCGTATCGTGCTGGATTCCAGTAATCCTTGCGTGTCGTTGGGTCTTACCATCGATCCTTGTTCGGAAACTATCGAAGGTATTTTTTTTCCTTCTTTTTTTGCTGTCCCTACTTTTTTTGAATAGATAGTGACGTCCATTTTCTAGGCTACAGTTCGACAATCATGCTAAGCTTCGTAGTGACAAGGACCGAAGAGACTGGCCAAAGAGCATGGTAAGGTTACCTTACGTCTTTCGATGAGGTTCTCCCAACCCAACCTCCCTATTATGAAGCGCATTGGCCAAACTGGTGCTGGGCAGGATCCGACCTCTTGCCCGCAATCTGGACACGTTTGCAAGAAGACCTTGTCTGCCTCTTCCCAATACATGCTCTTCTTCAACTCCGTATAGGCGGTAAATGTTTTGGCGTCGCCGCCAATCCGGTCAAGAATGTAGAGCATATCCATCCCGGAGAGTACGTTGATGATTTTCTCGCGAAACTTTGCCACTAGACATTCTTCGCAGAAAATGTGCCCGCACGGCAACCTAAAACATCGTGGTCAGCGTTATGTAAATGCGACAATCAAGGCTACACACATGCAGGGTCCTTCCATGATTTCATCGCATATTCCGCATGTCAATGCTTTCTTCATCTCGCTGAGAAGCTGCTAAAGGTTAGTTGCATTGCACATGATGAATGTTATCGGCGTACTGCTTCATCTTCGTTCTTACAACTCTTCTTTAGACAAGCTGCCATCGATGGATGAGTTGATGTGGGCGTAGAAAGTATTGCTGGGGGGATGTGTCGAACGCTCTCTTTTTAAAGTTGGACGCGTGCACACCAGTGGCTCTGATTGTGACTGTTCGCTCGGACGTCGATCTCGTCTCTTTCAGCCTGCGCTTTCATGTACGTCTTTCCCTTGATCAATCCATTGTTGGATTAAATCTCTCCTTGCCCGTTCGCCCAAAGGGAGGACCCTCCGCTCCTTTCCTTGGCACGGGCGGCGTCCGTAAATGGGCCCTTTCATTTCGAGCCGGCTTGCCCGCGGAGGTACCTGCGCTCTCTGCACGCGGGTCATGTACATCCTTTTGATCTCCCGTTTCCACGCCATGACTGCCAGCGCCAGCGCTCACCGCCGTTCAAACCACGCCCGAGATGCGTACGCCACGCCACATCGACGCGTTCCACACGTCCTGCCAACGTGAACCGACTCGACATTGGACCGGGCAAGCTGGTTCCGCCGTAGTCTGGTTGCTTTTCCCCCGATCTCGTTTGCCAGTGGACGTGGCGTGCCGTGATGGATGTGTCGGTGTCTTGGTGAGCTCTGAGCATTCCCATCCTCTGGTTCTCACCTTCGTGTCCTTTATCACAGTCATAGCGATCGTGGATTGATGCGCACGCCGAGTCTCTCGTCATGGTCCCAGCTGACCTCAGTCAGTCGCCTTTGCGTCTGACCATAACCACTTGTTCGAGCGTTGGGAAGGACGTCGGTTTTTCGTGGGCCGGTCCATCCTGCTGTGTTCCAATTCCTCGAGTCAAAGCGGATACGGCAAGCGGATACGGCTGATGTACCTTGTGCGCACTCCCTCCTCCGCTCTCCATAACCTCACATTCTCTTCTTCAGTTAGGTGGGTCCATCCTCGTCTCCCGTTTGTTGCTCGTGCTCACGTACAACTAGAAGATGCGCAGGCTGTTGACGCGTAGCTTGGTGCTTGAGTCGGTAGGCAGTCTTTGGGCACATCGGTACAACCCTTACAAGGTCATGTTGATAGAGCTTTGAAGCCGTGGTCAGCACGTTCCGTCTCTCCCTGGTTGGCCGCTTGCCTGAAAATCCTGGATCGTTCGTAGTCGCCGAACATCATGGCCCAGTGCACTGTTGTTAGCAAGTTCTGCTTGAATATCGAGCGGATGGGGTGCGTTCGCCGACGTGTCCAGTGAGCGGCGCTGCTCGCAACATGAGGTGCATAAAGTTACCCCTCAAGCGGGTCGCCATGTTTCTGATAGACATGTGAAGTAGGTTACAGGAATGTAGACTTACTATCAAGGGAACGGAGGCGAACCAATGTAGGGGAATGAGCGCTGCGTTGCTTACTTTAAGACTTGTTGGGGTCAAAGTAATAGAAATTGATGCCGCCGCTGGCGGCTCAGTTGCCGAGCCTGGTCGCCAGCTTCCTTGAGCAAGAACCAAACCGATGTTGACTGATCTCAAAGGCTTAGTACTGGTCGACATCGGTAACGCCTTGTCGAAGCAATAATTTGGGAGCGACCATAGGAGGCTGAACCACGACGCTTCGACGCGCGTCTTCAGGGTTATGCGAGGGGAACTGGGGCACTAGGGGATGCGACCACGGTGACGATTGATCAGATAGGGTGCCTCGGTACTCATCCAGATGATGCGACCAACTCCTCCATCTTACAGTATCATCCATAACCAGAACGCGGAGGCCCCCAACGTTCCCGATTCTATACTTCGTCAACGTCTACGCAAAGGAGGAGGCGTGTTTGTGTCGTTAGTGGCGGCGAGGTGGTAGAAGGAGGAGGAGCAACAGTATAGCGACTCACCAACATCAACTTCAACATCAGTTCGGTGTCCACCCCAGCGTCAACCTCTACGATTTCCGGTGGCTTTGTTGGGGGGAGGGGCCGATCGAATAGGGAATCGCGGCCGAAGACGAAAGGCCCACGAGACATCGTTGGTTCGCCGTTCGTTTTGATCATCGTGAGCGTGCATTGGCGCTAGTGATGGATGAGGAACGACTGCACAGCCACCGATCGTTAACGGAACGTCCTCCACTACGATATGACAGAACTTCGCATTATACGTGAACTGCTTTCGACAAAACACGCCACTCGACGGCGGATGATCAAGGTGGTGAAGAGATGGTTGATTTCCAAGGTTATAATGCAGTTAATGTCGGATATTCTTCGATACCCAGTTAAACGCCTGGATAGTTGGATCATAGTGTGAGCAGTTTTTCGCTATCTCAACGCTTACAGTGCTTAAACAGTACACAGAAACGCGCGCCACCAGAGCGAGCACGACGCAGAGTCCCAACACATCACCATCCGAGGCTACCGTCGCGGAATGGGCGTTTTGACGGCGCACGTTTATGTAGACGATCAGTACACTTTCCAGCGTCATACGATCTTTGGCACTGGGGCGTGTATTCGAGCAGAGACGGCTGTTGTGTGTTTGTAAGTCCCTTGCAGAAATCCAAGTCTTTCCAGCTAATTCGTCTCCAGTGACATATATCACTAGTTGCATGTCCAAACGTCATTGTTGTATCTACCCGATACGGTCTTGTGTACTTGTAAGTCCCCTTCCTGGCTGCCAAACACTCCAGCTGACTTGTCTCCAGTGTTCTCTATCATGTTTGTCGTCGCATCTACATCGAATTTCACCAAAGCGCTATCTTGGGAATACGCCCATATGAATGCCTCACCCTCGCGCTTCGCGGAATTTGTCGCTAACCCACGAACAGAAAGTTGAATTGGCTGTCAGGGAGGGCAGACGAACGCGATTCAGGAACTCGCCTCCGTTCATGGTAACAGCCGTTCGTCTGGGTTGCGCCGCGGCGTCTTGAGTGTGCCCTTGTTGCGTGTGGCAGCGTTGCGTGTCAGCGGGTCTGGTGCACGCATTCGCAACTGACGGGAGACGACGCCTCAGACGACGCCTCAGACGTGTCACGTCTACGATCCACTGCCACGCGCCTCTCTCATCTCGCTCCCGGCCTGGTAAGTTCCCGTGTCTACGGCTACGCCTGCGTTTGCTAATCTCCTGCGCATATCAGACACGACCCTCCATGTGCTATCCCACTGCGAGTTCACGTATAGACGGGATGGTCGGAGGCGCGTCACTCAGTATGCCTGATTCATACTTTATGTGTACTTTCTGACCAAGTATCCATGATTGATACTTTATGTGTACTTTCTGACAAAGTATCCATGATTAATACTTTCCTCGTACTTTTTATAACTTATACTTCATCGTTACTTTATCGTTACTTAGCATTTTGGAGTATTGAAAGGTTCTTTGTTTATATATTACTGATTCATTACTACTTTACTAGTTCTACTTGAAGTATTGAGCCTCGCCTCGTTCATTACTTCACCCGAAAATATTCTAAAAGTTAGCAACAAGTAAGTATAAGAAAAAAAACTATTGATTACAGATATTAGTTTGTTAAGTCTTTGGGACTTTAAGCTTACTTTCGGGCATATTATTGAATGTGGCAGTGTAAAATATTGTAAGTGAAAGTAATTAAATAATAATCCGTTTACTTGAATATTATTTTCATCGATCCCAGGGTGAAAGTATCAATCCGTGCACGGCGTGTGATGGCATTTGCTGGCAGTCAGGACTCAGCGATGCTTTTGTCCTATAGATCCGGCTATCCCACAGCTATCAAATACCTTCTTCGCCCTATTTGCCGACGGCGTGATGTAAGGCTTGGATGTGAGCCGTTCTCGTCGCCGGCGGAAGTTGGTGCCAGTGTGCTCTTTGAGTCAGTCAGTGCCGAGCCAGTGGCCATCAGAACAATCGCAGAAAAATCACAGAAATACCTTGCGCGGCTTCTTGAATACTTTTTGGGGCTCCGTGCTCCACTGAAAAGGCTAGGTCTATAACCTTGTCTTTCTGAGACATTTGTTTGGCCCAAAAAGCCCTCAAAAAAGTTACCCAAAGGGCGGAAGTATATGTGATTTTATCCCTTGTCATTCATTATCAGTTCGAGATTGAGAAGGGACAGAGCTCAGGGGTGCCCGGCGTAGAAATTGCTGAGCGCTAAGCGTGCAGTGACCGCCTTCTAAACTCAACACTTTCAAGTTTCAACTAGCTGCCAAACTGTGAGGCACGACGACGCAAACTAGAACCCGGCTAGGGCTTTAATCTAAGTCGAGAAGGTTCCAGGGTTAAAGACCTTGCTTTTCATTAATCTTTGTATCCGGATGTCGATCGTACGGTATGTGCAGCTACATCAAGCGATAAACCCATCCCTGTCCTCTTTCCTAGCTCGCATCCTATGGTTCACTCCGAGCGTCAACTTGAACAGTCTTCCGCATAACTCCTCCGGTTTGTCGGCGAAAGGGTACGGTGCTCCCAACCTGTACGCTGCCCCAAGCCCGGAACATACGGCAATCTCGTGCATGTCTTCATTCATCCGAAGGTGAGCAATAGGTAAGACACGTTCTCACATCAGAATGACAGCGCGACTTACTCAGAATCGTCCACGCTCCCGCGAAATAGGTGTGCCTTTTACCGTTCAAGAACATCATCCAAGGCACGGTTCCTGCGTAATGCTGCCACCGATGCGACTGTCTAACCCAACCATATAGGTCAACCCAGACAGCTGGACAGGAAACCGCTTACTGCTTCCACCATTTCTCCGCGATAACTTTCTCCTTATCGATTTCGCTCTTGGTCCACATCCCCTCGGAACCGTCCTTATCCAAGAATATAGTCTGAAATACGTGATCTTCGAGAGGGGGAAGTTCCCCATCAGCAAGGCTCACAGCGTGTATCGATCTACGTGGATCCGATGCGCTGGCAGCACGGTCATCGTTTGCCTGGTCGTCATCTATCGCAGAGTTGGAACTCGTAACTTATAGACTCGTGGAGGAGTGCCTACCAAATGTTCCTTTCTTTCCATCTCCACCCGGGCCGAAGGGACTTTCTCCTTTGAATTGTGGCTGATAATTCGTCAAGTCAAACGACATCTCGATCTTCTTCTTGTCTTCTGGATACGAACGGACATCTGGTATGGAATTAGTATCATCGCGGAGAAGGTGCACGGAAAGGATAAACGACGAACAGTACAGAGGGTTGAAGTTATCCTTCGCAAACTCAACAGCTTTCTTGGTTTCTTCGTCTCCTTCAGCAAGGCGTTTCTTGGATGGAAGATCGTCGCTGAAGCGAACTCGGTAGTACTAATTGGGAAACAAGATCGTCGTTAGCAGCCTTGATTCATCAAGGAGGTCACTGAACTACCTTTTCTAGGTACCCTAGATCATTATGGGTGACAGTGATATCCCACAAATATTTGACGTTTCCTAATACTTTCCTCTCCATCCAGCTCGCGTCCTTTCCCAAAACTTTGAGTGCCGCATCTGCATCGCAGGCTATAATGACGTCGCTGAACATCTCTTCTGTTTCTGCTCCGGCATACCCCTCTATTTCCTGGTCGTTATTGGTACCGAGCGTTGCGCGCGAGTAGATCTTGACGCCTTCACGCTTCTGGCCGTTCGACTGGTCGACGTACTTGACTGATCTCTGCATACCCGTGACTTCTACCCGGAGCCTAACTTCAACATTGCCTCTGGACTCGACTTCCTTCTTCCATCGTCTATAAACTTCTCCGAGGCAAGGAAAGGCCCTCATCTCAGGGATACCGTTTACGAAGCTTTCCTTGCTATAGTCGAACAGGCGCATGCTCTTGTCCGTGAACAACCTTTCAACAATGGCGGTCGAGACGTAAGGCGTCTGATTACCCGTGCCCATGAACAACGCCACGAGAGGAAAGACCAGTGCCTCTGCAAACGTCTTTGGGAAGCGGAAGAGAGTGAGCGAGAGATGGATAGGCATGAGACCGAACACTGGTTCTAAGACCGGGTTTGAGGTGACCTTCAAAAACGTGGAGAATCTCTTGATGGAATCCTTGTGTTGGTCGAGCAGTGCGGCGGGGAAAACGTTGCTCCCTGGAAACCGCCATTTAGACAAAGGCGGGCATTTGTAACAGATATATCTTACAATAGTCTTCGCCGACCTCTCGACCAAAACTGATTTGGAAGCCAACTTCGGAAGGTGTGCAGCCGAGCTTCTCGAACATCGAGTAAGTATTTCCGAAAACTGGGGAACCGCCTTGAACGCCATCGTTGATGTAACTCGCGCCATATTTCTTTGCATTGATCGGCGTCGAGGTGGCCATTCCACCCGGAGACGACGAACGTTCGAATAGCACTACTTCGAACTCGCCTGGGCAGAGCGAGAGGGCGTATGCCGCAGACATTCCTGCCGCGCCCCCGCCAACAATTGCCACTCGTTTCCTGTTATCTGCTGTTTGCGACATAGAAGATGGTGGTCAAGAAATGGACAGTGTCTCTTATGAAGCAGCTGACGGAAACACGGATGTGATCGAAGGGATATCCCGAGACGTGATCAGTAAGTCGTCTTCAACAGAGAAGATTACGGCGTCGAGATGAAAGATCTAGCAAGGGCTAGGAGTATGTATGTATACTGTAGATCATATGCATCTTGGCATGATTGGACTCGCAGTTGGTGACCTTGGTGAAAGACTCCCGTACTATGGATAAAATTCCCTTATATAGAAGGTTTTGAAGAAGGCTATTTTTATCGGCATCAGATAATTTCCTAAATGGGCATATTCTCACTACTTTTATATGTCAAACTTGTATCGAGGCTCACGCAAGGGCCAAGGCCCATATTGGCTTGAGGCATCAACTCCCTAGCGTAATCTGCTTTTAGGCTAGTGCCAATATCAGGAAATGTCCCAACGTTTAGAAAAATGTTCCATCATCTACTATGCCCCGATTTTCTTGTTGACAAAAGATATCCTTGTCTCTTCCATTCCTCCTTTGGCCAAATGGCAACCAAATAGCGCAAGACTCTGCTACATCCAGCAGGAATTGTGTATTTGGTAGTTATTGATACTTACTTCTTTCTCTTGTACTCTCACTTACACAAAATCACCATGTTTGATCCTCTTACATCGTCCTCTCTGAGTTTTCCGCCCATAACTGGGCGTGTTCCAGTTAGACAGGGTTAAAGCATTACTGAAGTTACTGAAGAAGTGAAGGGAGGAATGAACTGTTTTATTGTAGCACCTGTACCATATAGGGCCGCAGCATCAATTTTCAACAATATAATATAACACCACACCTCAACTTGAATCGGTGTCAACATTGTCCTTGGCATCCAACATCTTCACGACTTCTGACATTGGAGGTCGGTCTGAAGGCTCCTGGGCCCAGCAATTGGTCACAATGCTTAACAAGTCCTCACTGACGCCCTTCGATGTTCCATCACTGCTCGGGTATGAACAGGGTGGTCGCTTTCCATCCATCACTTGAAGAGTGACAGTGATATCATATCCAAATTCGTGGAACGGGATGCGACCAGTGCAAAGCTACACAACCAAAGGCGGATAATGTAAGTATCCACCAAATTGGCGGAGGGTAATGGACACGCACTTCCACGCATGTGCAGGCGAATGAATATACATCCGTAGCCTTTGTTCTCCCAAATTTTGTTTCGGTGGATTGAGGCGTTCCCATGAATAGTTCGGGAGCCATCCAGCGCACAGCACCAGGGACGGAGGAACCTTCATCCGAGAACGTCGTTTCCGCCAGTATTGCCAATCCGAAGTCAGCAATGCGGACGTGCCAGTCAGAGTCCATCAATATATTCGCCTATTTAAGGGTGAGCGAGGTTCATATATATGAAGCAGAAGTTAGAACACTCACTCCTCGAAGATCTCCGTGAATGATATTTTCGCTATGGAGATATTCCATTCCCTCAGCGATCTCACGTAGCTATACCCAATAATTAATATCGTCCTCACAGTCCCTCCCCGGGGTGACGTTGAACGTACATGTTGGTTGACGAGGAAATCTCCGTTTCTTTGCATGTAAACGATGATCGTTCCATTTTGCATCCACGGTGAAAGGAGGGAGACAGACGGCGAGAATGTCTGCGCATCAATTCCCAGGAACGGGAGCACATACTTATGCTGGGCCTTCTTCCAGAGAAGGGCCTCGCGACAGATCATCTACCATCACCACTGGTCAGCAATTCGTGTCCATTAAGCTCAACGACAATTACCTTGTATGCGTTGTGCCGGTCGTTGCCCTTTAAAAATATCCGCAGACGTTTTAAAGCAACTTGCGAACCCTGGTAAGAAGCTAAGAATATATCAGCATACCCTCCACCATTGACGGCTCCGTTCTGCAACAAGGTGACACCATCCACCATCAGTGGCGGGGGCAATATACCACTCGCCACCGACAACCGGTAGTACAGCTTATGGACTGCGTCATACAGTGTCCTTCCTGTGTCTTTTGTGTTTGATAAGAACCCTTTGTCGAGCATCTGTAGGTTGGATATGGTCACGCCTTTGCGCCTTATTGTGATGATACTCACATCCTGGATGAGGTTAAGCAAGTTCTGAGCATTCGGGCCACGTAATCCGAGCGCAGCGCGACGATGTTCTGGCTGCAAGAGTATAGCACCCAAGACATGGTAAATTTCCTCATCATCGTGTAGGAGTGCATCAATTAATGCGGAGTTTGGTGCAGCGTTCAAATCATTCGCCAACTATAGGGATACATTTATATTAGCTATAGAACCAGAAAGGATCTCAACGTACTTTAAGTAAGCGTACGCGAGTATCCAGCGCTCCGACGAGATTATGGAGTGGATCCAGGGTCTGTATTCGTGATCTCTCTTCTATCAACTTCCTACATGCCTAGCCTGAGGGTCAAGAAGAAAGGTTGGACGGAGGAATGACGTACTGCGCTATTTCGAAATTATCCCCAACAACTCCTGAAAGCAAAGTGATCGTGTTCTTGAGCAATGAGGAAGTTCAGAATTCAGAGCCACTTCAGTCCTGCCACTTCGCTCACCTGAAAAATGTGTCCTTCAAGATGTGATCCCTCATCTTGCAAAGTGATCCGAGCTTGGTCCCGTACACGCCTTCAAGTCATGAGTTCCACAACACTGCATGGCATGAATCAGACTTACCTTCGTGTCTTTCTCCATCGTATCGCAGACGTGAACGTCGATACAAGTTGTCCCCAAGACTTAATTGCTGTGTCTTGTGAAGGGAGGCCATCGTTTTGCACAGTTGTTGTTGACTCATACATGGCCTGTACCGACGTTAGGAAACTACTGTGATCGAACGCCGACTGGCTATCAATAGTTTCGGTTGGTGTGATTGTACTCCCAAGTGTCGGTCCTTCAGCTGCAAACGGGGAGCCATTGGAGGGCCCGGGTGGGATTTCCAAATGTATGCCATGTTTTCTAGTTGGCTGAGGTGCTGGCTTTCTAGGCAAGACGGATTCAACGTGTCCAGCGGATACCGAGCGTTCTTCCGTCGAACTCTTGACCTTGGAATTGCTTCCAAAACTGTCAAATATCACACGATGAGCTCGACATTGGGCATGTAAAGGGGATATAGTAGAACCTCGGGCTGCAATAACAGACCGAGCGCTCAACCGTCGCGGACGCCTACTTCCCGCCTTGACGTTGACTTCCCCATTCACCACGTACCTAAGTCGCTTCTTCCATTTTTTCAGCCGTATAATAGCGTCCATGGCCATCAGTGTCCCTAAGCCTCAGATGAGTAACGGCGCAACTCCAACCCACTGCGAGGTGCATCTGGTTCTTGCGGCGGCAGTGCCATGGGAACTTTGCAGTGTTGGGTGACAATGGTGAGTAACATCAATGCTCATTGTGCTATAACTGTTCATTGATGATCATCCCCCAGCGATGGGCTCCCATGTTCATTGACGACGAACGCAATGCCAGGTCGGGAAGAATCTGTCTTGCTGACTTTGGGTCAGCCTGTGGCCGAGATCGTAGCCGAATTCTCTGGGATTCCAGGATTGGATCTTGGTGTAAAATCGTTGTTCAATATAGTAGAGCTGTGCTATAACGTCAGCTATAACAAGTGAGCATCTTGGGACATTCGTCTTGGGACTTGACTTATCGGTTCAAAGGCAGGCGGCTAAACAACTCGGGGAACGATGTTACAAATTGCTGAAGGGTTTGAACGAGCGGATGCAAAGTCGTCCACATTCCAATCTGAATTATGCCTCGGATGAGATCGAAAGGTAACCTGCGAGCTAGTCCCCTTGCTTTAATCTGGAACTGATTTGGTCCAAGTTGTTTAAACAAGATCCAAATACGAGTCGAGCAGTGGTCGGAATGGAAGTGGTGGAAAGCCTTTCTCCGACAAAATGAAATCAAGATGGATATCGAGGAAAGCCATACGGAGATCGACCGTTGCATCCAAACATTCCAGGCAATGCTTCAGGGCCTTCCACGCAGATGACGATGCTTATTGGATATTGGATCTTAGCTCCATGCTGAAATCATCAGCTATCACTGGCAGCGAGAGTTCGCTGCGAAGGTCCAAACCGACTTTGGCAACCTAGCGCAAAGGCTTGCTAGCGTCGAAATTGACTTGAAGCAGATCGTTACCGATGCTCACAATGAAAAGGCCTCCCATGAAATCCTACAGAGCTTCCAAAAGGTAAGGACACCTAGTTACACAGTAACCATTCGAACTCTCACTGCCCTATCTTGACGTAGATCGCCCGTCAAGTGAAAGAACCTGGCATAAGAAGCGGTCTCTCCCAAAACTTGTCCGATCTGTTAAGAGATCTAGAGGAACAACTCCCAGACATGAATCTTCAAAGTAGCGAAATCCGTCGTCTCAGCACAACACCTATTTCAACCTCCCTTCGAGTGGATGTATACGAAGGCATCTACCTAGAGCGTCGTAAGGTGAGTATTAGGGAACTTCGCACGGCTACTGTCAACGACCACACACTGCGAGTGAGTCAAATTCCCCTCTTGCCATTGGGATCTGGGAATGTATCTTTTGCCCACTAATACACTATGTAGAGATTCGAGCGTGAAGTTAAAATCTGGGACCAAGTGTGGAAACTCGATCGGGGGAGGCATATATTACCTTTTTATGGTTTTTGTATTAGCGACGGAGTTCGCCCGTGAGTAACAGTTTGTCGGAACACTCGAGGATTCTAAGACAAAGTTTCTTAACAGGTGCACTATTAGCCAATGGCAACAGAATGGCTCAGCAATTTCATACGTTAAGCTACACGACACGCAGATCGACTACAAAGTATTGGTAAAGTTCCTATTCACACTTAATCTCGATTTCCCCTTATGCGGGAGTATGTACAGATCAAGGGCATAGCGCAAGGCGTCCAAATCCTCCATGAAATGAACCCGCCAATTGTACACGGCGATTTGAAGGGGGTGAGTACTCGATGCGAATGCACGATCATGCATCATGCCGAAGCTGACCATCCCCCCGGCATGTGTAGGAAAACATCATGATTAGCGACGCCGGTTCTCCTCTTATTGCTAATTTCGGCCTTTCAAAGGTGCGGCGCTCGACGGTGTCTTTGTGTCAAGAATCAGCTAGGTTCCTTAGATTATAGAAGACATCGGTGCCGAAGTCACCTACAGTGGAAGTTTAGATGAATCGTACAGATGGTTCGCCCCCGAGATATTTGACGGACAGCCTATGATGGCCACGATGTCCGACATCTACTCCTTGGCCATGACAATTTATGAGGTCGGTGACTACTCACGGAGCATCGGATACTGATACATAATATACGTAGCTCCTCACTCACTCGCGTCCATTCTCTGACCTCAAGTTGAACCATTCCGTGTCAACTCTCATCGTTGAGGGTAGGAGGCCTCCACGTCCTAACTCAGCAGAGGTCGTACAAAGGGGCCTCGACGATTCTCTATGGGGTCTCATAACTCAATGTTGGCAAGGAGACCCTCTTCGCCGGCCCACAATTTCTGAAGCCATTACTTCCCTTGATAAGATATGAACAGAGCGACTGTAAATCTAGGTAGAACGCAAGTAGCAATCTCGCGAGAGACCATCTTGCGAGGAAATGTCCTTACCGCACTTAAATGTCTCGGGATCAAATGAATGAATTGTAGGCAAGTTACCTATTCCAGCTTGGCGGGTAGGATACCTACATGATTTTCGAAGAAAGCCTTATCTCTATTAGTGAATAACAGCCGTGCGTGCGTGTTGTTGCATCGCTACCATCCGTTATCGCAACCGTAAATCAATTCGAGCGCTGCACCGGGTAATTACTCGAGTGGGCAAGATGAGACCCCACATGAAAGCCGCGTCAGTTATAAATCATCCACGATGGTACCTGCGAAGCGCTCAGCGGGAGACTTTGCCGGAAAGAAGAGCCGTACCGACGAAGATAGTGTACTCGACTTGAAATTCTTCAAATAACACCGATATCCAGTCATGCAGCGGATTTGGGGTGACGGACACACGCTTGTCGTCTGTGTACGAGCGTAGCGTTGTCTCCATAATTCGCTCAAGCACTTCCGATCCCCGATCCTGCCCACATAGCACAATTTGCATCTCCTCGAGCGTCCGCGACACCGAAACACACTCGGACTGTGCAACCGCGGAAGAATACGCCGAGCCTAAGCCAATACGTCGGAAGCGGCGAAGATAAGGCGAAAGGATGATGTCTTGCACCTCGTCGTCTCGCATGTACGACTGGCCGCTCGTGAAGTTGCGGATACGAGGACGCTGCATGAGATGCCCGAGAATTAATGGACCGTGGATGGGTCCCATAGAGAGCGATTCGATCGAGGCAGGTATCACATCTGCAAGTTGGTAGAAGAGATTCTGGCTCAAGTTGATGATAGTGAGTGATCGTAGGTTTGAACAGAGGGCGAGAAGGTCGTGAACAACAACGACAGGCCATGACGGCGACCCGTAATCGAGTTCGGCATTGTATGCCCCGTCGACTGGACCAATCCAGAGGTGCTGAATAAGGGACGCAGAGTGATTGAAAGCCTCATAAATATTGCGAATATGTCGAGCCTTGGTCAGGTGGACAGAATGATAGAGCAAAGGGGTCATCCAAGTTTGAGTCTCCTTGCACACCAGGGCGAGTGGCAACAAGGCACTACGATGTTTGGTGTTCCCCACATGGACGAAGACTGGTTTATCTATGTGAGCGGCGTGCTGATAACTCGAATACGAGAGTTTACCCTAGAATAGCATTGTTTTCAGAAAGTAAGCAATGTATGGAGCGGGCACTCACTTTGCGTATGATCTCTGGTGGTAGCGAAGGCATATTTTGGGCGGCAAGCGAAGTTCCTGGCCTTTGTGCGCGTTGAAACGCAGATGCGACACTAGCTGGGTTGAACCAGGAAGGAGAGAAGTCAGGATCGATCCGTGGCAACCACATCGTTACTCTTTATACAAAGTCCCTCGATTGCTGGCATAGTTGTGTTCCATAATTGGCTTTCCCATACCATCCCCTTCCATGCACCGGCGAAAAGTCACTGGCGACTGTTAAGGTGTGTCAAATGGACACGTCGCTGTTCTTGCTTCGACCCATTGGCTTCTGAAATTGAGAACCACACCGGTAACCTGTCAGGCGCTTGCAGTGTAATAGATTCGATGTATGCACTTTGTATGTTAGAACAGGATGCCAATACATGCTAGAATGTTGGCTAATTGCGAACGTAGCTCGCATACATTCTCTAAAAGGGGTACCAGGTCCGGACAAATAAGGACAAAGAGAGACGCGCAGCGTCTGGCCGTCCCATTGTCGTGAAATGCTGTGTGCCATTTCGATGAGGTGTTTTGCTGAAGCAATACAGGGCATGGCGGCAGCACGTAGATAGTGAAGAGCAGCCATGAGGCCTAGAGGATTAGTATTGAGAAGAACGGTACGTCGGAATAAGTCACACCGATTACACTGCAAGAGATTTGAGAGAATCCCATTCCGCTGGACTGTTTTACGAGGCTTGCGAGCAATGAGCGTAAAAAGGGAAGGCTAGAGACCATCGTCGACTGAACCAATAGGGTCATCAGGCTTGGCTTTGAGTTCAGGAAATGGCGGCAAAATCACCTCTTCTATCCCAGGAGGGCGTGCCATTCCCGCAGTGTAGTTAAAATTGAGTGCAGGGGGTTGGGGTCCAGTACGCCAGAGAGTCGGTCGCCTCTGTTCTCAGATTATCGGCTCATCGTCGTCTCGAGTGCTGGTTTACGAGGTAAGAGGCGAGTGCTGATCTCGTAGTTGTAGTAGGAGAAATGCTACATGATCCATACCAGTAAGAGACACAGCCTCTGTCGCGTCCGTTATTTTGCCACTTTCTCTCCATTTCCTCTCTTTACGCGTCGTTTAGACGCGTCTGTCAGACGCTCAGTCGTTATTGCTTCCGATTCATGTCAAAATAATGGGGGTTTGACCAAAGTTCAGAGGAGGGGGACTCTATTTTGTGGGAAGGCCTTGGACGTAAGGCGGGAAGCTAACGGACGGACGAAAAAGCCAGCGAGCCTGAAGCACGACGACACCCAGAGTACGTTGATCATCGATCAGGCGTCGCCCGCAACTGGGGCTATTGCTCCCTTTCCAGCGCCGCCGCTCGCAAAGCCCGTACTGTGTCTTTTAACAGTCGAGATTCAGCAACATTTGCTCACTCCTGCGCGTCCGGGGTCCGAGGTTTTTTCGTGGCACGCTAGGAGCCCGATGTTCCTCCAGGTACAAACCATTCACCATCCACCGTCACCGTTCAATGTGTCAACTAATCAGTTCATTCATCCTTCTTGGCTCGCTCCGACAACACAAACCGCGACGTCTGCAACCATTGACCTCTGACCTTCAAAGCTCTTGCCCACTTGACGTCGTGCCAACTTTCCAGGATCAGAAGAAACAATTTTCTGGTCAACTTTCTTTTGTTGTGTTGTCACAAGTGAAGGAGCTTGATGCTTACAGTTGAAGGGGTAGACTTTTCTGAGTAGCTAACTAAATCACTAAGTAGCAGACACTTACACTGCCATTTGGAAGACAATATTAAATCCCACAATAATGACAATTAATGAACATACTAGCACTTCAAAGTGAGCTACCGCCGGCGCGTCCCGCGGATCCATATTTAATGTTCCTCACGGAGGTATCTCGCTCGCCTATCGTTCCCATAGCGTGAAACATGTTGATTTGGAAGTGAGGGACTTGCCCTAAGCTCGAGCAAGGAGAAGGGAAAGATCGGAACGCGTCGGCCGTTGGTGTCTATTACCAAATAAGGCATTAATTCCCGCCCCGACCCCCTGTCTTTCAAAGCGCGCGCCTCGCGCCGCACGCTGAACAGCCAAATCGCTCAATACGCCGCTTTTCGCATTTCAACCATAGCTCAATGATACAAATATGCCGCGCGGAGGACGGCCAAGTATTCAAAGTGAGTCGTTGCACTTCGGAATATCGTACAATTCTGAGCCGCAGTAGGTTAATGCATCTCTGCGAGATATTGAACGGTGAGCGGCACCAGTTGGCTGCGCCGCGCGGGTATGTATACTTACAGTAGCATAGCATAGGGAGCCTGGAGCTCTTTGTGCATCAGGAGGCTGGGGTTGATCCTGACGCGGTCCTAGCATACCTTTCCGATGGGAGGCGTCTCACCAACACAAATATTCGCGAGTTGGCAGGAGCACACGACCAGGTGCGAGTGTCCGGTATCCAAGTATGTTATGTAGTCCTTGACAGGCCGTCAGGCGATCTTCGTATTCAATAAGCACTATCTGGATGAGGACCTGGACGATGTCTTACGGGAACTCCGAGTCGAACCACCTTTGCAGCCTCCAATAGAAGGTATGTTCCCCGTGACGCTTCGCCCAACGCATCTGACAGAAACTAGAGAACATTGCGGCCACCCCCCCTTTCCGACCGTCGCAGTTGGCGGCCTCCTACTTGAACACTGCCCACATGCACGCAGAGCACGTCAACAATCTCCTAGTATCCCTCCACTACCAACACGATTCTATCTGCATTGCATCGAACAGCCTGGATCTCCATGTCCTGAACATCGTCGACGTATTTGAGGGAGTAGCGGTGGGTGCGCGCAAGGAGCTAGAGAAACAAGCTACGCTACTGGCTGGGGTTGAAGCCGACTTGGAGATCATATGCCGGGTGAGGATTCATGTAGACTTCTTGTCTCCCGCAGCTCGACAAGCAATACAAGGCGGCGACAGGCCACGGACGCTGGGGGATTATGTTTCGAATACGAAGATGAGGCAGGTAGCCGACACATGTTCGAGGACTCATGGTGCGTACTACACTCTCGTGGCTAGCCACTACATAATTGACTTCCTACGAAGATGAATTGCGCAACAAGTTCATACAAACGGAGCAGGCAGTTGCGCAGCTCACTGATGGTGCCACAGTTGTTCGCACACTTGTGTCGTCGACCGAGTTAGTGAATATTTCCTTATTCTTAGTCCTACGCTGACTCGACCGGAAGATTACTGGAGGGGGCAGAGGATACGAGTCGCCGCGCGCAGAGTCTCTTGCAGGAAATATCAAACGTGGCCTCCAAACTTGAAAGTAAGCGAGCCTCTACAACTTTAGTACGCTCTGTCTAACACCAAGAACCAGGTCCCGTCAATAATCCTGATGCGATCATCCAAGGTGAGGCACTCTTCAATGACGTTAGCGTTAGGACGTAGGCGACTGACTGATCTAGACCTCAAGCAGCTGGACATCGGGCTTCGCAATGAAGTGCGGTTCATGGCCGATGCGAAGGTAACTCATAGCTTCTTCTATGCTAGAACCATTGGTCACATGTGCAGAAAAGAATGCCTATACAGAGCATTGCATGGGGATATTGCAGCGCATCAGCATCCTGAACAATGACTTGATCCAGCTGCCACCCGCTCTCTCCAGCCTGCAGGCGAGTTTCCGAGGGAAAACTAGTTTCTCGCACATACAGCGCCTCCATCATATGCTCTACGCCTATGGCGCTACCGTAATCGAGATCGTTCGGCGCAAAGAATTCTGTTCGTCATCCAAGTGCCCTGAACATCTTTCTTGCGCCTTACTTTAACTTAGCCCGGTTCTTCAATCAACGTGCGCAGAGCATTTTAGAAGTCATGGCAAAACTATCGTGAGTTTCCTTCCCGGTACTCCAACGGCCCCAACTTACGCCTATTTCAGTGCCAGCGAACGGAAACGACGTCAAGTTTACCGTGGCGAGGTACACGGTCAGCTTCCCTTCGAGGCGAAAGGTCTGGATGACCCTGTACCGACACTTGACTTCACCACTGCCCTCGGCTCTGACGTCGCCTACTCCCTCGAACGCGAGGACGTGGACGGTGAGATCCACATTGCCTGTGCTAATTATCCTCGAGCCTTCTGTACTTATCCAACCTTCTCCGCAGGCTTGCTTGGAGTCTTGGATGAATTGGAGCAGATTTCCCGCACAAGTAACGACGCCATCGCTTTGGGCGCTATCAGAGAGTCTAGAGGAGCACTGGAAAAGCTGATTGTCAAGATGGACAGCTTGGAGTCGGCGTTTGACCGCATTGCAGAGCGATCCCGTGAGTGGGGTGTCCTGAGACAATCACCATATGGCCTCTAACTTCTCTGTAGTCCTTTCCGCGTCTCGCTTGTCATCGTCGAGGCGTAGACGTAAGCCATTGCACATCTATTCGTCGCATTGCACTAACTCTCAAGTAGTATCAGAAGCGGACGAACAAGCCTTTCTAGAGTTACAAGATCAGCTACAAGTGGCCCAAGATTCCAAGGCTCAGCAGGAACGTCAGTACCAGGAAGACCGAGATGCCCTACAGATAGAAATCTCCCGGCTCCAAGGGGATCTTACTGAAGCACAAGATACTGCAGCCCAGGAGCGGGCGCGGGCAGACCGTTTGGAAAGGGAACTCCATCAGGTTCGTGCCCAAGCTGAAGGGGAGTCTACGGCGCGCCGGGTCATAGACGAGCGGCACGTCGAACTCCTTGCCCACGTGCAGGATCAGCACAAGGAGCTAGCTAAAGCGCTTTCGGAGGCCACTGAGCAAGCCAAGGAAGCAGAACTCGCGCGTCAAGAGCTCGCTCGCATCAGGGCGGAATTCGAAGACGTCAAGGCTCTCGAAACTCGCAATTCGGACAAGGTAGCAAGCTTACTGGAGGAGCAGGCGAACAACCTACTCAGGCTCGAGGAGGCACGAGCGAGGGGAGAGGACCTTGAAGCACAGATCCAGGCTGCTAGGTCGGAGAGCGACGAGGTGCACCGTGCGCTTACCGAAGCTGCACGCGAGAAGGACAGGCTGCTTCGCGCCCAAGCGAGCGAACACGACCGCATCATCCGTGACCATATCGCCGAGGCGGATGGTGATAGAGCCGTCTTGGAGCAACGTTTCCACGAATTGAAGGCCATTCTGGAGGACACCGAACGCCAACTGAAGGATGCGCAGGCAAGCGTGGATGTGGGCAATGCTGATGCCATTGGTTTACGGGAGGAGCTGCAACGTGTTGAACACGAGCTAAGGGAAGCACACCATGTTGAACGCCTCCTGCGTGAAGACCTTGGTGCTGGCAGGGCATCCCAATCTGGCTTCGAGCAACGATTGGAAAGTTCGGAACAACTCATCGCACAAATCCTTGACGTTGCCCTTGCCTTTCGCGTGTCACACATCAAAGCAATGGCCACAGCACAGGCGGTGACAGCGCATCCAAACTCGACGACCAAGCCATCTATGAACTTGGCAGATTCTGTTTTCGGGCCCAGTATGAGACACAGTATCATCGGCCACCCCGACGACCCCTCCCCAATTGATCCGTCTGACCCTCATGCAGCTCTGGACGCACTGCGAGCATTTGACCACGATCGCTTCTTAGAGGCTATCGGGAAGACCGGATCGACGATCAGAAAGTGGCAGAAACAGTGCAAGGAATATCGCGAACGAGCGAAAGGCAAGATCTCGTTCAGGAACTTTGCAAAGGGCGACCTGGCCCTCTTCCTGCCCACGCGGAATTCGGTGTCTAAACCCTGGGCTGCCTTCAATGGTATGTACTCCTATTTTCTTATTTCATGTTCTTCCGACGTTGTGCCCGAACCGAGATTTCACCGCTTACATGTTTCGACACAGTATCCTTCCCGCATTATTTCCTACAAGCTTCAGGGCACCTTGCGGAACAACTCAAGACTCGAGAATGGATAGTGGCGCGCATCACCTCCATAACAGAATGTTTGGTCGATAGAAACGTGAGTTTCGCTCATTTAGTAGCGGTCGCTATAGATTGCCCGTTGATCAGCTAAACCGCTCATTGACTATCTCTCAGGACCCTTCAAGCAACCCCTTTGGTTTGGGTGATGGCATCAAGTATTACATGCTCGAAGTCGAGGATTGGACGCAGCCGAGTTCACAAAACAAGCGCAAAAGTTCGTCGAAGAGACCTTCGGGTGATCGCGATAAGGAACCCACAGAAGCTCTTCCCTTAACAGCTGGCACAAGTCCACCGGATATCCTCCCTGGGCCTCCACAGGCAGAGGTGGAAGACACCTTTCGTGTTACCCGTCCTCCAACATCGCACCTCTTCCCTTCGCGAGCTCGCTCGAACTCATCGCCCTCCGCTGGACCATCCTCTCTTTCACGTCTTCTGGCTCAAGCCGACGCTCAGCCATCTCGCCTAGAAGCTATTCCTCCTTCGCGAAGCCAGACACCATCTCCGATTGACGAAGCGGTCAACGCTTCTTCCCCACGGGGTACCTCTTTCCACACGACATCTCCCCCGGCAACATATCCCCAAGCAACCTTGCCACAACCGCCATCCTCACCCTCGCAAGTAACCGGTTCAGCATCTTCTAATGTCCCCGCTATACCTTCACCGCTGCGTCCAGGTTCCCGAGCCTCAAGACTATCATCTGCGTCCCGTTTCTCTGTCGGTCGTGTCCCTCCATTAGTCATGGGAAGTTCATCTGCCTCACCTGCTGTAGCTGCCAAGGCGGCTGCCACGACGGCCTTATCAGAGCCTCCAATAGCCTCTTCACCATCATCTGGCGAGGGAAACCCGTTTGGTCGGCCGTCCACACCATCACCAGATGGCTCAGCTTCAGAAGGAATGTCTAATTTCCTTAACCGACGACGTACGACATCGTATCATGTCCCTGCACCCTCCGTTGCCAGTCACTCGGCAGGTTCCGGTGTTTCTGTTCGTCCAAGTCTTACGGCGACGGGTACGCTAGCGAGTCTTGCGAGTAGCTGGGGCGTTTCCTTTGGCCGAAGGAAGGCGTCAGAATTAAACGGCAGTCATGTCAAGAATGGATCGGAGAGTGCGACGCCAAACCAACCATCGGGTGGAGATAGCACAGCCGAGTCCGCTACTAATGCTCTCAAGCGTTTATAAACCTGAAGTGTCATTTTATGTATTCGCATCACGCCCTGATTTGTTACTTGCGATTAATTGTCTCTCGCTATCTTCTCTATCATATTTTCTGTGCATTGTTCTTGTTCGTTCAATAATATCCAGCATTCGTTTCAGTTAAAGCAGTCCACTAGCTAAGCGCCTGGCATATATTGTATAGTCCTTTCAGACTACTACCTTCCGTATTCAACTACGCTTCAATATCGATCTTCAAGGCTGTTAAGGTCCTTCCGTAAGTCGTTTGTACGTTGTTTGCCTATCCTCGCGATTGATCCAGTGAAAAGGTTGATCAGTCGCCATACACTGAGTCTACTGTCGTGTTGCGGTGGCACCTGCATACCAAGCCATCTGGATAAGTTGAGTATCTCCGGGCGAATCTTGGGCGACCTTGGCCATCGTTGAACATAACGAGCGCACGGTGTCGTACTCAACGTAGCAGACGAGAACAGACGTAACTCAGTTGCACCCTGCAGACGTGAGAATGGTGGCGGTAACATCCGGTAGCGATCCGAAAGGGTCAATCATCAACTAAACCATTTCAATGCAGCATCCCCACATCTGGGGAAATTTCGATGAAATTCCTCCCTCGCACGAGCAGATATCTACGACTTGGCAACGGAGAAACCTGTAAAGTGCAGGGATGGCAAGGCTCCGACATTTCTTGCCTATAGCACACGAACTGAATAGGAATTCCCTTGTTGAAGGGGACCCATAGAGGAGAAGGTGTTGGGACCAGCAGCACCTTGCGGCGAGAAAGTCATAAGTAGGACCAACTCCATCTTTGATTTGTTGGGAACTAAGCATCCCTGAGCGCACCGCGGAAAGCGGAGCAGAGACTGGAAGTAACTATGTCCTCGTTCGGGAAGAGTTTCTTCTCTAAAACCCCCAGGGTCAGGCACCCAAGCCAAAATGAAGAAACAAAACGTCCGTTCTTCCAACGAGTCCAACTTGGAGGGGAATTCACGGAGAATCGCATCACCTGGACAGTTAGCATGGCTACAGTCTGAATCCCCGGCTCGCTTCTTAGTACATATAAAGGATCGACTCTTCGTTCCACCTTTCCTCCATCCACTTCCCAACCTTCTGTCGATACTCAAGTGACAACAATGGGTGGACCAGGAGCAGTAAACACAGGCGGCGACGCTGGATACGCTCACCTTATCGACCCAAGAAGGAAGTGGTACAACAACAAGCGGTATGTCTATTGGACGACTTTGGTATTCTTGGACTAATTGGTTATTCTTCCCTAGCCTCATTGCGCTTAATGGTTGGATCTTCCTCCTGTAAGTGGTATATGACTTACCTTTTCTGCACTTCCTAACGCCATTCATTTCACCAGCCTCATTACCTCGTCAACCAACGGCTATGACGGGAGTATGATGAACGGTCTTCAGTCCCTCCCCCAATGGAGGGATTACTTCAACAACCCTTCTGGTGGCATGCTTGGTCTCCTGAATGCCATCCAAGTATGCTTTTTCCTGTTCCTTCTGCGAGCATATTCTGAACTCCTCGCAGAACATCGGCTGTTTGGCAGCTTACCCATTCTCCCCCTACATCTCTGATGGTCTCGGTCGCAAGTCTGCCATCTTCCTGGGGGCGTGCATCATGTGTATCGCCACTGTGATCCAGACTGCTTCTCAATCTGTCGGCATGTTCATTGGGGCTCGTTTCCTTATTGGTTTCGGTCTTACCTTCGCTGGTAAGTCTTTTCCGTTTACGCCCCTCCCAGATACTCGAGCTAACACGAACTAGCCGGCGCTGCTCCCATGTTGGTCACGGAAATTTCTTATCCCGTATATCGTGGCCCGTTGACTTCAACTTATAACTCTCTTTGGTATTCTGGAGCTATTGTGTACATCTTCATTACGCTTTCCGCTCGGGATTAGGTTTAACGCCCTTCTCCTCCAGTGCTGCCTGGACCACTTTTGGCACTTTCAAAATCGGCAACACCTGGTCTTGGCGTATCCCCTCCGCCCTTCAGGGCCTCCCGTCGATCGCTCAAGTTTTGTTGATCTGGTTCTGCCCCGAATCCCCACGTTGGTTGGCCAGCAAGGGCAAGGAAGACCAAGCTCTCAAAGTCCTTGCTTACTATCACGCTGACGGGAATGTGTAAGTATCCCCTCTTCTTCTTTTATTCGTTCTTTAAGTTTTTTCTCTTTCCAGTAACGACCCTCTTGTGCAATATGAATTCCAAGAAATCAAGAACGCTCTTGAATTCGATCGTACCGTCGCTTCCAATGTTGGATGGAAAGCCCTCGTCGCCACTCCCGGTAACCGAAAGCGCATGCGCATTATTATCGCTCTTGCTTTCTTCTCTCAATGGTCAGGCAACGGTCTTGTCTCGTACTACCTTAACAAGGTGTTCGATTCCATCGGCATTACAGACCCCACCATCCAGGTTTGTTCCCCCACGACTATCCCCACGTCGCCTTACTCATCACTCATTCGCCCGTCTAATTAGCTCCTTATTAACGGTATCCTCCAAATCTGGAACTTGGGATGGGCCCTCCTTGCCTCTGCATTCGTCGATCGCATCGGGCGCCGAATCCTCTTCATGACCTCAGCCATCGGCATGCTCATCTTCTTCGTCCTGCAAACCGTCTGTTCTGCACAGTTCGCATTGAAAGGATCCGACGCTGCTGCGCACGCTGTCATCGCCTTTATCTTCTTGTTCTATATGTCTTACGAGTACGTCCTTTGGCCAGTGACTCCCTGCTGATACTAACTATCTCACGAAGCTTTGCCTTCACTCCTCTCATCGTCTCCTACACTGTCGAGATTTTGCCCTACCCTCTCCGTGCGAAGGGCTTCACGATTTTCAACTTCTCCATCTCCCTTTCTCTCATCTTCAACCAGTACGTCAACCCGGTCGCCCTCGATGCCATCGCCTGGAAATACTACGTATGTCCCATCATATTGTCATCCTTGAGATATACTCACTTCCTCCTACTAGATCGTCTACTGCTGTTGGCTCGCATTTGAGACCGTGTTCCTCTACTTCTTCATCATTGAGACGAAGAACAGATCGCTTGAGGAGACCGCCGCCCTGTTCGATGGAGAGGAGGCCGCTCAGAACATCCACGCCAACCCCGTTGATGTTCGCTACGACGAAAAGGATGAGAAGTCCGCAGGGTCGTCTCACGAGCACATCCAGAGCCTCCCCAAGGTTTAAATCTTGGCAAGTGTATAACGGTTCTAATCATCTCTGGCAGATTAGTTCTCCTCTGTTCTCTATCAATACTTTCTAGGATACCATGTAGGACGGGCGCAGACAGTTTTTGTACGGGTTCGAGTTGTCTTTTCTTTTCACGATCTACGTCAATGCTCTAGATCGTCTCGTATCAATGAGACCTCTATTAGTATTTTCCCCAGCGTACACGACGTCTCTGTATCTATCGACTCCCCATACCATTGTAATACACTAAGCTTTATTTTCCTGCGAGATCTGAGTTGTGCATCGATCAGCCGGACCGACGTAGCAAATCAATCAACCAACTAGGAAGTAGAGTATATTTATTCATCGCTTCTCCCGCTAAACGACTGTGCCTCACTTACAGACAACAGTTTCGGGAGCTTATCTTTGATTGGTTCTACGCTCGGTGCTTATTGAGTGCTTCTTTGAAGAGGATCCGACAGGCACTTACGCGAGGTGAATCGGTGCGCGCACGGCCGATAGAGGGCCTCAAGCGGAGGTAAGATGGAGTTGCTCCCATGCCAGTCAACGGTTCTGTGGGTCGTTGACATATGTTTGAGACCTCCGCGACCTATCCGAACGCGCCAGGTCACCATGAAGAGGACATCGAACCGCAGGGTCCCCCTTCTTTGTCCCAGTCAACCTAACCCCGCGTTCTTAAGTGGCGAGCAATAATACACATTTTGAAAGAGACAGAAAATATTTTATATACCACCAATGAATGAATGGAAGGAATAAACAGTGGGAGCGATGAACCATGGAAATAGAGGGGTCGTCCTAATATAATAGCAGATCACCGGCAAGAGGGCCAGTCTAGTACAGAGTCTAACTCCCTAAGTGACTTCAACCCATCTTACCATCCTTCTTCTTCTGCTTACGAGGTGGTGTTACTGGTCGTCCCATGTTCATACCGCCGTAAGGGTATTTGGCTTTCTTCTCGGCCGGTTTCAATATCTGTATCAAAAAGTCAATTTAGAACGTAGACATAATGGCGAGATACATACCTGGAAGGAGCACAGTAGAGTCTCGTCTACGCTCATCATAGCACCTGCATTATCGAACTCTCCGCAATAATTAGGGGCCGAGAACAGAGTGACGAGATGGCGCTTCGCGAAAAATTCGTAGCCGTCTTCGACGACCTGCGGAACGAGGTGAATAATACTTTACGGAGCTACTAGCCGAACCCACCTGGTGTGCTCTACATATTAAGTCCATGTCATGTTTTTGCAGGAATCTCGACACTACATCGGGGCCAAACGTAAACGAGACGCCACGGTCATTTTCTGACCAGCCAGTGATGTCCTTGTCTGGATCTGACCATAGTAGGTCGCAAAGAAGACCTGAAAGTTGATCACGTGGTCAGTCCATCTCGGCATGAGGCCAGCACCGCCACACACACCTGTGTCTGGGACGTCTGTTGGCCTCATAACCCGGCGAATTTGCTCCATAGATTGCAAGTCCGGACTCAGCCCTCCGTGCATCGTGAAAATTTTTTCGTCCACGATTGCCGCGATGGGTAGGCAGTTGAAGCAATCCGTGAACGTTTTCCATAGCTTGATATTATACCGACGTTTACCTGGAAGAAAGTAGCACATAAAGGAGTTGGTCTTACGTGCATACAAAACCACGTACATTCATCGTAGAACCCGTATATTCTGTTGATACTAGCACATTCGTGATTGCCGCGAAGAATGAAAAAGTTTTCGGGGTATTTGATCTTGTAGGCGAGGAGTAGGCAGATGGTTTCAAGCGATTGTTTACCTCGGTCTACGTAGTCGCCGAGGAAGAGGTAGTTCGCCTCAGGAGGGAAGCCGCCGTATTCGAACAAGCGAAGTAGGTCGTAATATTGACCGTGAATATCACCTAGATTTCGACATTGAGGGGAATCGCAGGAGGCAGTAAAACATTGGATGTTACGAACCGCATATTTTGATGGGTGCCTCCAATTCCAACAATATCGGCTGACCGATGAAGATTTCCCTAGCCTTCGTACACAGATACTTAATCTCGTACTCTTGCAGCTGAACAGGCTTCCCGGGGCGGTTGCCTCGCACTATAAGGTGGATGGGGGGCATCAGAGGACCATTCATAAAGCCGAGTCATCCAGATGCTGTCCAGCATAACCTCGCGTGCCCATCCATTCTTTCCTAGACCAATGATTCCCGGTATCATTGATTTTAACAGCCAACACTCGGTACACAGCACCATCATCGAACGATGTCGTGGCGGGAAAATGGACGGTCAGCATCCTAGTCCGCCCATAGAAAGGAGTGCCCATCCATATCTTCGCCCTACGAGGTCCACTACGACTTCAAAAGTGAACAACAACTCGCCTTCTAATAGACGGTCAATGACCGAGTCAAGATCAATTTCGGTTGCTGAATCTGCCATGGTGTTCTCCCCAACAAACGTTTTCTCTCTCCTCGACTATTCCTGGGGGTAAAATTGGTGCGTCGTTAATCTTTTGGCAGTCGTGGATGCACAGGAAGAGCGGCGAACGGGAAACAAGCAATTTAAGCGTCGAGACAGGCGGCACGACCTTTTTGCGGGTTCAGAATGAATGAAACGATTCAGACGTTTAAAATGACCACGAAGATGGGCTATTGGCGGCCGAGGATGTCGAAGTGAGAGCGTAGTCGGTAAGTTCTCTGGCAGCCAGCACCGCAGAAGGATAAAGGACTGGTACGAGTATCGATGAGACGTTGGTGGGCGGTACAGATAACGCTGGGTTTGACGTACAGTTCCAAACTCGGAAGCTCTCGGATTCCCGCGCCACCGGCATCCCTTAACAGGCAACACCTTCAAGGCATTATTTGAGTTGAATACAGAATGGATGTGTACGGAATGATTAAATATATAGCTACAATGGATTCCAGTGTGTGAACAAAAACGCAAAGCAATAGAACGAGGTCCGTTATGTTATGTATGATAAGTGAAACGTGGGCCGGTATAATTCCATCTGAGTGTCGTTAGTGTCGTAAGCGCAACTACGAAGGAGTATCTACGACGCCTGTGCCCTGTGGCTGGGTGGCTTCACGACGAGCGGCTCGCCTTCGCCTTCGCCTAATGATGAAGATTAATTTATAAATGGACGATCGTTGCTTCACGGACTAACCTCGGGAACAATGGACCTCTGGGCATGATTCTTTCGTCTAGATCTAACGCTATGTTACTCGCAGCTTGGAATCCCTAAGTTACAGCCATCGACCATGAGATCAAGTTCATGAATCATACATACCACTCACCTCTATCCAAGCCACAACATCTGTCATATCTTTGGCTTGCAGAAGGAACTGTTCGCCCTCCAGCCTTACCCGAATGACATTTTTCCTCTTCACATAGTCATTCCCCAACCCGCTCTCAGCATGCTGTAGTGTATATGCTTTGATTAAATCCAGGTCCGACGTGCGTCGTTCATGTGGGTTGCCTTGGGTTATAAGCGTCTGGCTTTTAGAAGAGTTTATGGTAGTAGGAGAAGATCCGCTGCGGAAATGTGAGCGCGAACTAGATGAAGATGTTGGTGCAGTGCTCGACGTCGCACTACTAAGGCCATCGCCCAAGAAGCTAGATGGCCCAGACACAGAGGATGAACTCGTACTGGGACGAGCAATCGACAACGATGATCGAGGCGTGTTCGAAGAGCTTCTCGGCACTCCTGAACTGGGTACGTCGCTCTGCGATCGAGAATGGGATCGCGACTGTGGTTTCAGAAGCTGACCGACAACACCTAAGCGGGACCTGCTACTTGCTGAAGTCGTTATGCTTCGAGGTTGATTAGGTGGCGGGCTTGGTTCCGACGGGTGTAGCTGGATGGTCGTATCAGGTGGCAGTGCGACTTGTACGTGTGTTTGAACCCGCCCACTGGCAGCCTCATCCTCAACCTTTGCGACCATCAACAACTCTCTGTCACCAATCTTCTGCTCTTTTGACCGTCCGTTGCTTGCCGAAGCACCCTTACTGGCTGCGCTCTCTGTTACATCACCGACCCCAACCTTCTTCTCCCACCAGCCTCCAATGACACTGACACCCGCCAGCTCTGGTGGACATTCATACACACGGAACACGGTCCCTTCGAGCTCGCAGACGACTCGACGCCATTTACGGTCCCGTGCCATAATTCCGGGCTTGCTGAACTCCATCTTTCTTGGCATGACAGACTTGAGATAGATATCGTTGCTGTACCGAGGAAGCGTCTCTGAGCCTTCGACGATGTCGTCGCGCGGGTGCGCGAGCAGGCGATGGTGGGGGTGCGGGGGAAATGCAGGATAAGGTGGTGGTTCAGTAGAAGCGGTGAATGTAGGCATGGAGCGTCGACGCTGCAGTGGGCGTGGTGGGGTGAGGGTGTCTCGACTCCCAGAAGGATTATGCCGTTCGTGGACAAGAGCACCATGATTTACGCCGCTCCGTGCACTATCCCTTTCTTTGCCTTTTCCTTTGACAGAAGCAAGCTGCAGTGGTTCTTCGGCAACAATCAACTCTGAATCTTCTGCTGCTTCGTCCGTCGCTTCTCGTATAGGTTTATTTCTGTTTGCTATACTTACCAAGTCTATCATGCTCCTGGAGGCGTGTTTAGATATACCAGGTCGTCTATTTTGAGGCGTCGAATCGAGGTTGAGTTCGAAGGGTCCTGCATGAGGCGTCCGCGGTTGCGAGTTTAGTGCCTTTGCTGAGAAATAGTCGTCGAAGGTAGGCGTCTGAGTGGGATCTGACTCGGGTTCACGTGCTTTACCCTTGCCCTTCCCCGGGCGTGACGCGGCGTCGTCGCCAATGAACGATAGGTCTATTCTTGACACATCTACTTCCGGGAGTAAATGGGGGCCATGCCGTAGGCTGGACGCAAATTGTTCAGAGGCGTGTGCGCCACTTATTATACTGGCAACACTGTCCATAGATCCTCGAGGTCTTCGCATCAGGGTATCCGCACCGTCATCGGGGTCATCATTTTGGGCATCATGGAACTCTTCGTCATCGTCGTCTGATTCTGAGCCATCGTCGCCGTCTCTGGGTTCGTCCCGCCCACGAAGAGGTAAGGCAGGCATACTGCGCAATTGCCCATTTCTGCCCGCCGTGTGCGCTTGCACAGGCGAGTCTGGGCTCGAGACGACGAGTTTCGGTAGGTTGAGAATGGGTAGTGGGGGTTGGCGAGAAATAATAGTCGGAGAGAGGCGGGCATCCGATATTCCGTTTGCGCCGAATCGATGAGACGGAGAAGGCAGGTTGTCGAGACGCAAGGAGGGCGACGACGCCTTTATGTGTGATGGATTCTTCGCGAGCATTTTGCCAGGGATGCCCGATGACTGCAAGCCACCCGATGTATGTGGTCTCTGAGTAGCGTGTGTCGGAGCGGAGGGTGGGACAGGAACGGGAAGTATGAATGATGTCACGGATTGGTCAGTTGGCAAGCCGTCGATATTGCGGCGGGGAGCAGGAAAGTCTCGACGCACGGCATGCGCTCTCGAGGTCGAGCTTCGTGGAGATCCTGACCGGTCAGAACCTTCGTTTTCTTCATTATCATTCATATCCATGTTATGGAGACCCAGAAGCGGCTGTGACATGTATGGCTTGGCGACAATGTGCATACCAGCATCCATCGAGCGCGTCTGGCGAAGGTACGGACTTGTGCCTCCGGCGGTATCTGTGGAATGTCTTGATTTGCGAGCGTGAAAGCGAATACGACCGCGAAGCAGGGAGACCTTTTCAAGAAATTTGCTCGCCCGACCTGTCTTCGGAGGGAGTTGAGATTGCGCTAAGGCCATCGTATAGACGAGAAGCGTACCTGGTTGTCAAATGTTCTCGTTGGCAACTGCGGATCCGGCATCGTTGGCCACGGTCACTCCCCGCGACGTCGAGGAGGAGGCGGAGCGCTGTGGCAGTGCTAGGCGCCCCTGTAGCTCTAGCGCTTATTGGGCTCTTGGACAGGGGTGCCGCGGTGCGTTCAAGGTCAACGATTAAGGATGAAGCTGAGGTGCTTGAAGTTATACGATTCAGGTACCAGTGAAGACCGCTAGATGTTGTGGCTCGCAGATGATATGTATTCATACCATAATTATTGAGTCTCGATCATGCACATCATGATGCCAATACGACAACTGAAACTGATCACGCATCATAAATTGGTAGCAACGGAACATCTGCAACCGCAGACAACAATGTACACCAGAATCGATATCAACAATTAACCCAATGAGGAAAAACAAAAATGAAGTAAGAACAGTACTCTATGTGTTCGTGAGTACCAGACCCAAGTTAGGAGCGTCCATAGAAGCGACGCCAATAAGAAGCGTTGTCAACCTAGGGGGATATCAGTTGCGATACAGCAAGTATTGTAGTAGAATCAGCGTACCCAGTTACGATCAGTAGACACGTCTACAGAAATAGGTATCTTCAGAAGGGGGGCATAGGAAGTCTGCAATGAACTACTCACGCGTATGGAGACACACGTATACCTCGACTGGGCTATCAGCGGTCCTCATGATTGAGCACATATCGCCCTTTCGCCATTCTAATCCCTTGGACCATATTTTGGTCGCTGCCTGGAAGCCAGACGGTCCCACTTCAGCGGTTTGAGAAGACATGCTATTTTTGTGAGGGTGTTGAGCGGTGAAGGGTAACAATATCTATTGATAAGATGTCAGATAAATGATGAGTTTAGAGAACTAAACGGGCGTACAGATGGACCTTGGGGGTGTTTTGAATAGAGGTTCACCTATCCCGGGTACCCTTTTATACATTGGGTGGGAGTGTGTGGCAAGTGGATCGTCCAACCGGCCTCCCTTTGTTCTTCGAGTATTTGCCCGAATAAGCCATGTTCTAAATGAGTGGCGATGGGCGAAGCTGAGCGACCCTTATGGCCACTGCATAAGCGAGAGACACAGCGCATAGTGGCCCAAATTTGCTACAAATTTTGGTCCCCCACGTTGTTTTAATCTGCGAGAACAAAGTGACAATGGTCGGCATCCAAGTTTGAGCTTCGGGGAACTTGACTTACGGTCCGAGGGTAGCGGTAGTGTTATCCACAAATTCCTCAACTGACTTGACGTGCTATCCATCAAATAATCATTTGAGGGTGCCCAGAGTTTAAACAGCGGGTCCACAAGAAAATGGGTATTATGTCAGCGAAGGCTCATGAACTTACTTCCTGAATGGACCGCGGGTGCCAAAATACATTGAGGGCACACGGTACATTCGTCTCCGTCCTTCGAGGATATTTTTACTGGTCGTTTACGTAGCGCCATCCGTTGAAACACTTTCTTTGACCCCATTGTGACTCTTTATGCGAGGTTGTACTGCACCCCATAATATGGATGAGGTGTCATAATATGGGTGTTACAAGCAAGTATAAAGCGGAGTGCTGGATATTTGAACCAATACATAATCCTGTAAACAGTACTGAGCGGATATTAACACGCTCGAATCTGCCTTAATGTGCGATGAGAATTTTCAAGGGGATAGCCGAGGATAGTCGCCGTGTTGAGGTGAATTGGCCGCGGAAGCAACTTGGCCGCTCTCAGCTCTGTACCAACCTGTGGCACCCTTCTACCTGCCTACTGATGCCTAGAATTTCCGGCGAATCTGCAGTCCAGGCTAGTACTACAGGAGTCGAAAAAGGGAGCATCACGTGCCTTCCTTTCATATTCCAAGTCGAGACATAGGCATTCCTCAGAAACTCATCATTCTATCCTATGTCCGGAGGAGATACCCCCAAACTACCGCAAGACGAGCCTTCTGAGAAGGTCAAACCCATAGACGAGAACACTATTTCCCCACTTAATGACACGAAACCCGCAGCGGCGAACGACAGTGATGACAGTAAGGCTGGGCCTGCTCACGACACCCCCACACCCCCCAAGGTCGCTTCGTTTGATGATCCAGAGGCTCAGGCCCTGATAATATCATCACTGAAGTCCCAAATCCTAGATCTTTCTACCCAAGTAACACAACTAAACGGCAAACTCATCCGCTCCTACGATCGCATATCAGACTTGGAGGACTCGCTGCACTCGTCTACTACGAAGCTCGACTCGTCGAAATCGCGTATATCCCTGCTGGAGCGTGAGCGTACTCAACATCTCTCTGCCTTGGACACTGGGTTGTTGGTGGAAAGGACACATGTCACTGCAGAGTTGACGCGTCTCATGGAAAAAGCGAGCGAAGAAGCCATACACCGCGGAGAGGCAGAGAGCAGGAGAACCGAGATAGAGAGAGAGCTAGATGATCTCAGCGCAAGCTTGTTTGAGCAGGCTAATGTCATGGTTAGAGACGCCAGAGGGCAGAAGGCACTAAGCGACCGGAGGGCCAACGAGGCAGAGGTGGCGCTGAGAGCTGCAGAAGAGGCCGTCCAGTTGATGCAACAAAGTCTTCAGCAAATGCAGCACGACAAGGATGAGGCAGAAAAGACGCTCAGAGACATGAAAGGGAAGAACAGGGTAGTCGACCGACCGAATCCAGTCGCGTCACTACGGCTGCTCAATTCGCATGCTCCATACTACGAGTTCCTTTCTTTTATATCTCATCTCCGCTCGCTCCATCTGCCAGCATCTCAGCCGCCCACGATTACTACTCTCCTTCCTTTGCCATTCGTTGCGCGGCTCCTTTCGGAAGACATGTACGTGCCTGATCTCATTTCAACGAGCCTTACTTTCTACGGTCTATTTCCAGGGAACCAACCGTTCGTCTGGACTTGGCGCCCTCGTTGAATTGGCTTTCACGTCGCGCCGTACTTGCGGCCATTCACAACGGGCAGCTCACGATCGAACCCATGGCGACCAGCACTTTGCTAAGCGAACCTTCTGTGCTTAAGCAATCGTCGGCCTCTCCTACTACTGCTTCCCCCCACTCGCCCTTTGTCACCAACACCTCATCCTATAACATCCCTTGTGCACTCTGTGGTACCCCTATATTTGGACATACCGAGAGCCAGCATGGCACGCGACCTCCTACCCACCCTGCATTAGCCTATGGAGGCACGATGAATGCCCAGAATTCATCATGGTCTACATCAATCTTCCGGCGCAACCCCGCTGTCGGTGGTCTCAGCGATTCATCTCCCTCGCGTCCAGACGTGAAGCAAGTATATGTCTTCCGTCTAGCGTCTGCCACTTCATCGTTCCAATCCCTCCCTCTACCAATATCCTTCCCTACATCACTCCAGTCTCACAGCTCAGCCTCGACAGCCTACTCCGCCTCTAACACTCCCTCCACTTCCAGGGTGCCAACGCCATCACAAACCCCTCTACAACTCAGTAGTCCACAGAACACTGCTTCTACTATTTACCCTCTGTGCAGCAATGGCTGGTGTCTTGTCCGTCTTCGCACGACGTGTAGCCTCTGGGCTTATGTGCGCGCGGGTATCGTAGAAAAGGTGTGGGAAGAAGAGATAATGAGCACACAAAGTGGAGTATCTGCCGTTGATGGTGATCAAGAGAAACTTGGAGGACCTCACGCCGTTTCGAGGAAGAACTCCAGCGAAGAACAGAATCCAAATGGAAAGCCACCTATACCTCCTCGACGACGTGGACTGTGGGGCATGGCTAGTGCCCTTGGCGAACGAGCCGCCAGTTGGACCCGAGAGCCAAGTAGGGATAGGACACACAGCGATGCTAAAAGCAGCGACGACGAGAAGCGTTTCACAAATCCCCTTCCACCACCACCGCCTACACACCCCTCAGTCACTCACTCTGACACATCACATGTACCTCCACCCCTACCCAAACGAAGCGAAGGTCGACGCCCCGTCCCGCCGCCCCCATCAACCGATCCATCTGCCCCCATGCCACAGGACGTTGGTGGAACTGGAAGACATCGCCCTGTCCCATCACCCCCATCAACCGAGACGCCCGCGCCCGTTGAGTCCACGACTCAGGATACCCATGATCTCGCGGCCCGTGAGTTCAAACTCTCCGAATCGAGTGCGACAATTGAAGGAGGCACAGACTTCGATCAGCCGCCTGTATCTCCTAGAAGGGTACCACTACCTGAATCAAGACCTGCGACGCCTACGCAGATATTTCGTGGGCCGAAACTAACCCCTAGCTCCACCCCATCGCGTTCTGGATCTCCTACCCCTGGTGTTGCTCCACCTCTACCTCGGAGGGCTGCAGCACGCCCCCGACCGCTCTCCACTCTTGGAGGCGAAGCGCTCCCTACACCAGCGCCCGAGACTCATGATGAACAACCTGCGACCACCGCCGTCATACCGTCGGCAAACGGTGCGGAAGGGCTTGAAGATAAAGCTGATACTCATGATGAAGGGAAAGAGTACGCGCCGGCGCCGGTTGTTGACAACTCTCTTTCTTCTGAAGTGAGAGACACGGACGTTCCCAATCAAGCAGACAAATCAGATCACAACACCGAGCCCGTCCCCGATGAAAAGGATGACAAGCCCGACAGGGAACAGACAGGGGCCACTGAGAAGGAGGCTGAGTCTCTCCCATACAGCGAGTCCCTTCAGAAGGCCGGTGGCGACAAGGAGGCAGACATGTCTGACAAATTCCTATATATCGGGGACTCGACATGGGAGGAACGTGCTTGGAGGGAAATAATTCGGCTGAAGGAAGACATGTTTTTGGCTAGAGTTGGTGCGTCAAGATAGGAGGTCTGTACGTTTCCTGTGCTCGGTTCATAAAGATGTTGTATCTGTGAGCTACTGTAAAGGCTGAGTGAATTGCTTTGGGGGCGTATGCAGACCCATCCCAAAACCGGTTTCCCCTGTTTCCTACGTCTAAACTAACGTTGTGCAGATAGATTCCGGTTCGAGGCAACCACAAAAATAATCTACCAATCCTGTGTCAGGTATTAAGCACATCCAACTCCCACGCCGTATCCTACCCCCACTTGACCACAGACTCAGATGGTCGAGAAACAACAGAATCACTCGCCGTCCGGGTTGTCGTTGCCCGAAACGTAGAGTGGGAGGCGAATCCTCGGTAGACAAAAGCCGGCATACCTTAAACAGACGAGTGGACACGGTGACCTCGTGGGGTGATAAAAGGCGACCGGAAATATCAATTTTTCGACATCCTCGCCGGGGCAGAAGCTGGCAGAAGGCTGCTGATGATCAATTTACGAGAGCCTTGACCGATACACCTCAGTGGAAGCGCTAACAGCGAGTTCCTACATTGCACTACACTCACAGTGCCGTGGCGACTCCTAGCGACCTCACCCGACGCTAACCCTCGGAAATTCAAGAGCAGCGGCAGGAGCTTTTAGTGCGCGTCCCGTGTTCGCCCCATATATCGCCCCCTACCTCGTCGGTGTCGCAAACGTGTGCAGAACACACTCGCCACCACCCCCCAAGGTCCGAGTTGCTTCGCAGCCTCCTTCGGGGCGCTCGATAATTGACGTTTGTTCTCATGCCGCTCCTGTGGGTCTAAGAAAAGGTTACAGGGCCACGGCATTGGCTACCTTTGCCCGTATACCTGCGGTTTGGCGACCCTCCTCCATCTCCAGGTTGTTAACCAATGGAAACACCGCTGTTTGACGAGGCTGACATCTTTGACATACCATGGTACCCCTCTGTAAACCGGAAATCAGGATTCGGGTTCTCCATCTTGATCTATCAAAATAGCTATTGCACTTGCTAGGTAGGCGACCTCTATGTCGATCATCCCGAATTCCGTGTGCCTGTTTGGTCCTCGAGAAAACACAGATGTGACTCAGTGAGTCTTCTAAAGTTGCTATCTCTAAAGCTTGGCGTTTTGACCATGCGCTACTATACCTGCAGGTGTCGATTCTTGACAAGAATACCTTTAAGTATAATCAATCGTGCGATAGGCACGGATTACCGCCGTATGATGGTCTCTCATCCAGTCAACGTTGTCGTCAATTGCTGTTTTATGATGGTATTTGACACGACGTGGGAAGCCGACATCAACTCTGCCCTTGTTCGTCCCATTCATGGCAGTCACAAGGTGAAATTACGTGCGAGTGAACATGTCGGGTATTACTCTCGATTCAGCAGAGCCCATATCACCTTCGCACGATTTATGCAATAAAGCGCACCCATCACTCAAACGTTCCGACTTCTGGGGTTACATGTCTCCGGCTTCGTCGTCCACCCGAGCCAAAAGTTTCCGCCGTCCTGATGTGCGTAGAACAACACGATGAAGTCAGGTTGCCCATTGGATATACCTTAACGGCATGGGCGAATGGTCCTTCACACCCTCCGTATTGAGTTCTTTTATGGGGACAACGAAATGGTATAAAAGAACCAGTGACTCTCCATACTCAATCCGCAAGAGCCCAACAGGTTTCTTACTCCACCGAACTCGCCATGTCTTTCAAAGCTCTCTTCACTCTTACCGTGCTTGCCGTGTCCGCCTTTGCCGCTCCATCCAAGAAGGTCACTTGCAGCGGTGGAAGGACGACTAGCGATGCCAGCGTAGGTTAAAGTTGGTTATGGCACTAACATGGCCGCTGACTGAGCAGCGATAGTGTTGCGTCTGGTTCGACGTCCTGGACGACATTCAAGAGAACCTGTGGGTCTAAAATACCCTGCGTTTTCTGTGGTTATTAACGTTGGTCATAGATTTGACGGTGCTGAGTGTGGCAAGTTAACTTGCTCATTTACGGTAGTCTCTTTTTTCTAACTCTTCAGAATTGCAGGCGAAGAAGTGCACGAGGTACGTTGATAAGATATTGTCCACTTTCCACAACTAATTACATTGTCCATAGTCCCTTCGCGTGAGCTTTTCTGTTAAATCCGGACTGACCGGGCTATTCACAACGCCCCCATTAGTTGACGTTCCATGATGCTATCGGATTCTCCCCGAAGCTATCCCGCCAAGGAAAGTTCGGGTAAGTGCACATGCCGTACTTTCTTTATCCACTAATCTCATCTCTTTGGGTAACTCAATAGTGGTGGAGGCGCGGGTAGGACACTCATAGCCTAGCACATGCTCCACATTTTGACATCTTCGCAGACGGTTCTCTCATGGCACATACGGAGATCGAGGCGGCCTTCAGCAAGTGCTTTCCCCTTGGTAAACACTTGCAGTCTAACACGGTCACGTAGATGCAAACAACGGTATCGATGACATCGTCGAGGTCCAGAGGCCCTTCGCCATCAAGCATAAAGTATCCTTTGGTGACTTGTAAGTTGCACCGCAGTGCTCCATGGCGCAACTGCTAATTGTAAAATAGCATCCAATTTGCTGGTGCGGTTGGTGTAAGCAACTGTGCTGGAGGCCCCCGACTTGAATTCCTGGCTGGCCGTTCGAATCACTCCATCGCATCCCCTGACCTCCTTGTCCCCGAGCCCAGCGACTCGGTGGATGCCATATTGGCCAGAATGGGAGATGCAGGTTTCAGCCCAGACGAGATCGTTGATCTTCTTGCCTCGCACAGTATCGCAGCAGCTGATCACGTCGATGAGAGCATCCCCGTACGTTGTCGTCTCTTTTCAAGTAGATGTTAACCGACGCCGTCTCCTATTAGGGGACCCCGTTCGACTCTACTCCGAGCGCTTTCGATGCGCAATTCTTCTTGGAAGTGCTTCTCAAAGGAACGCTTGTGCCAGGAAATGGCACCCACACCGGCCAGGCGCTTTCTCCTATCCCTGGTGAAATCCGCATCCAATCAGACTTCTTGCTTGCTCGCGACAGACGCACAGCCTGCAGGTGGCAATCTTTCATTGGTATGTTATCCATGCGCTCAGCTATTTTAGATGTGCTTAACTTTGCCATACTAGCTAATGAAAGGCTCATGGTTTCGCGATTCGAAAAGGTCATGTCGAAGTTAGCCACCCTTGGACAAGTCCGCTCCCGCCTCACCGACTGTTCCGACGTAATCCCCGTTCCCCAAGTCCGACTCACCAAGCCCGTCACCATTCCCGCTGGGAGAAGCATGGCTGACGTGGAAGCTGCTGTAAGATATTCATCGTATCGCACAAGTATACCCTTTCACCCTACCTTCATAGTGTGCTGCCACCCCCTTCCCTGCTCTTTCTGCAGATCCCGGTCCAGTTACTACTGTTCCCCCTGTGTGAGTACCTCGTAACGCTCATTCAGCAACATATACTGATGCCCTTCTAGTCCCCCCTCGTAAATTGACAGCTTTTACTGGTTCATGCAATAGTTTAGGTTCACAGTGGTTTGATTTATGTGCTTTTATTCTATATATGGTCCGATTTCGTGCACTTTCTTAGATTCTGTTCACGTTGGAATACACTTTGAAATACATTCCGAGCGTTAACTACTTACCTTGGATGTAAGCCAATTCTATATTGGTAGAGCTTCGCGGAGATTATTACACCGACATAACTCGCTGAGAAGTCCAAGCCGCTGGGTCCCACGGACTTGGAACTGATGCAGATCCACTTTGATCCTATTATGGTGAATCACCATTAATAGGCCACCCGAACAGGAGCAATCCCCTGTTCGATATCCGACACAGTGGGTGCACAACAGGCTAAATGTTCCATTGGATGATTTCTCCGACAAGGTGGATCATTTGATAACTGTGTACTTCGGGCTGTTTCGCTCATCCGAATGATACATCGCAGATTAACTGAATCGTGAATACAAGCCACCTAATTTCTCACTGGAGACTCCGTCAGGGTACAGCAACAGTTGACCTGCTGCAGGAACCTACGCAGTGCCACGAGCTCGTCGGCCTGTGGGATTGCACTCGGGTTGCTAACGTTGACCACTGTAGGCGTTGGTATAGCTCGGCGTTGATTATGGGGACGTTAGATGATACAGTATTGGTAGTTGTGGGCCCTGGTTCAGAAATATCAGCATACGCTATGTTGAAATAAAAGCAGGTCAGTGTAGACTCCTAGTTTCTCAGACTGGTTCTCATCCCCAATCCATCCTCCTTTCGCGGTGCTGGTCATCTCGAGTTTCTCCTCATTCTCCACGCTTTACCCTCTACACTCAAACATGGTTTACTCCACATCTACCATTGCTTTGGCTACCTTCTTGTTGCAGGCCATGACTGTGATGTCCACACCCCTTCAGTAGGTTTCACTTTCCGGGCGAAAGGCACTACGTCTGCTCACGATGTCACCCATTTCTGTCCAGGCTGTCACCCCCTCCAGTAGAATCTGCCACACCGGATAGCATCGGATCCTTTGGTGCAGGTTGGAGCACAAGTCCTATGCGAGGCCCACTCCCAATCCAACAGCCCCCTTATCGTCCTTCGTTCCGAGTAGGCACTACGCAGCTAGGCCCGCTGTTGCCAAAGTACACGTACCAGGGAATGGACTCGGATCTACACGCTCGATCAGACATTGCCTCCGATGTCGCGGACCTGGCCAAGTTTCTCAACAGCCGAGATATCGAGATGCTTGATGCCCGTGGCTTTGGAGGTATCCTGGGGAAGATATTCGGCAAGCTCGGGCCCCTCCTCCTTCAGCGGCGGGAAGTAGACGACGAGGCGATGGCACAGTTAGAGCATCTTCTGCAATCTCGCGAGCTCGCAGATGAACTCGAGGCTCGCGGGTTGTTCGGCTTCCTCCCCAAGCTATTCAACATGATTTCAAAGGGAAGAAATGCGGCAGACACCATACTCTCACCCGCAACACCCCCATCGCCGCCCGCACCCACTGCCAGCGGCGCGCCTGCGCCACAAAGGAGAAGTGATGACCCAGATGTTCAAATCATCGAACAATTACTTTCTCGCGAGCTGGACGAGCGAGGTTTCAGTAGCACGCTAAACACACTTGGGTCAGTGGCGCCATTGATCGGGACAATCGCACCCTACATTCCTTCGATCTTTGACAAGATCAGGGAAAAGTTCTCCGGGCACGACCAACCTCCACAAGCAACTGCCGCTCCCGTACCCCAGAGAAGAGCAATGAAAGATGATATCGAGGAGCTCGAGAGGTTGCTCGGTCGTGAGATGACGGACATTGAGCGTCGCGGCTTCGGCACGAAACTTGGGGAAGTGGACCAGTTTGACCACTGGTTAGATTAAAGAACATATTGGAAACCACGATTTACTTGCTCAGCCTATCGAACCTACAACTTGTTAGTAGTCTGCTTGTCGTTGGTAAATAGCTTGTTGAATCCTACAACCACGCACATGAACCTTGTCCGAGCACTAACCCTCAGCACTTAGGTGTCCAGCCCTGCTTCAAAGATTTTGTCCTTTCGTTTGCTGTCAGCGGAGAATATTCTGTAACACCTTCCTACCTCGGAAATAATCCATCAATGTCCTTAATTGAGGATCAATTAGAATTTCCTCAATGGGCTTACTGGCAGTCACGTGAGTAACTGAAATACTGCGCCACCACATCCAGTGTTCTTTTCTTTATTTCTTTTTTTGGCGTTGGAAGCAATCGCTTACCAGTCGGGTGGCATCCGTCAGAGGCAGATGCTTCGGCAAGTGTCACTTCATCCCTTTATCTTGGAATACTCTATCCAAAAATCTCAAAGAAATCTCAAAGAAATAGAGAAACGTCGCTACAATGTTCGACGAATCAGTGCATCGGAACTCATGTTCACGCCTCCTGGAGGTGCAGCTGAGTACAAACGCGAGATAATTTCTTCGGTTCTTTGCCCACTCAGACCGCCAGTCTCATTCCTTATAGGATTACAAGATCCTCTGCAAATCAACACTGATACCTATCTATCTGATTCCCTCTAACCTCCTTTTCAGGGAGTACCGTCTCGGTTGTAAGCGACATACTTTGTGCTACGGCAGGGCTGCAGGGGAGGAGAAGCTCTTAATCTCACTATGGAGCTCCTGAGCATCATTTGCGAAGCGTTCAACGAGGGATTTGGTGAATGTGTCATGGTTACAAAGGTTTGGAATTCTCAAGGCAGGATGTGCCTCGCGCTGGCCGTCGGAAATAACTTCATGAGTATTATTGGAAGGGGGGAGATTGCAGACATTCTTTGACCGAGAGCCTCCTGGGTGATCTCTTTGCACTGCATGATGGCGCTAGGCTCCCGACGTAAGTGTCCTACCCACTACGTCTTCCCTGGACTCCTGCTTCGACATTCCTTAGGTATGATTCTCGCAGAATTGGCGCGTTACAGAAAGGAGTGGAGATTTATTCGACCCTACTCAAAAGTTTCGAAGGATGCAAGCGTATTTGAATAGCCCTAGTGCCAACGTATTGAGTGTCATATCATAACAAGGACGATCTCACTGCCTGCCTGCAACGAAAGAGTTGTTCGTTCGTTCACGAATGTGCCTTGACTCTTGGATAGGGGCGTTCTCGATCACGTGCAAGCACTTTACCTTTTTCGCAGTCGGCGATTCCCGACGCGCCAAACTTACCCTTGTTCATGCAAACCATTCAGAAATTCCGGTTGCAGCAGCTGAATGGTCTCCAGAGCCACATAGTACGCTATGGACCGCTGAAGAAGTCCGAATCACCTCACCCGTCTTTGCCAAATCCCTTTTTACCCCTTCTAAATCCTCACACGGGCAAATGGCGTCCTCCGAAGTATTCTCTACGGCGCCAGGCGGAACTCGTTAAGAAGGCTAAAATCAGCAACACTTTGCATCTGTTACCTCCTGGACCGAAATTTTCTGCTCCAGATTCCTCAGTCCCTCCGATAGCTGACGAAGACCACAAGTCCAACGCGTCAACCTCCGAGGCGCCCTCCGAACTCGAACCATCCACTCACGAGGTTGCGGAAGACGGAGCGTGGTCAGCCGCGGTAGAATGGCAGGGTGAATTCAAGAGCAAAGTGGTCTCTGGAGCCGAGATAGGCAGCAGACTCTACGCAGCCAAGAAACGTATGTTCAAGGGCCACAGGTGGGAGAGGCTGTTGGAGAAACGCAAGAAAAAGAGGGTGATTTTGATGAGGGATATGGCAAAACGTGTAGCGAGCTACAAAGCAGTGAGTGTTGATCTTAATCTCTCAGCCTGACCATGCACCGACCACATGCCTTCGCAGTACTACCACCGACGCAAGCCCAACCCGCTGAAGCCCGCTCGCTCCGCGAAGGCCCCCAAGTTGCCCTTCTAACCGTTCTGGTTTATGCAAGTTGTTACCTTGCACTCAACCTTCTGCTTACTCAACGGATACCGATTACTCAGCAGAATGGGCATACTCGCACGCAAGGTGTACAACTTGGTTCCGCAATGGATGGTTATCGATTATCTCGTAGATCCCCGCATAGATGCGGCGTCTCATGTAGTGATGTCACGACTACGAAAGGAATCTCGAATACAGCGAACGATTCTACAGCTTTCTCGTGCGGAAAAGACCACCTCCACCGCCAGAGACGGGAATAAAGATCCATGACGGGCCGCAGCGAGGTACCTGGCCAATGCCCGCAATGCTATCGGTTGACGCGGACAAGTATGTGAGTGCGTTCGGATTCAGCGGCGACTGTTTTACACGAGTTGATGGGCTGTTCGGAACGAACCGGCACCGGAACGGCTTCGCTCTCGCATTCTGGCAACTGGTTGGGGCGGAACGTCGTTCGGACAAGATGTTGCAGGCACCGCAGTTTCAATAGGAAACAAACTTACCTGAAGTCGATCTTCTCGGTGGGTTTCTCAAATGCGTTGTGTGCTAATCCCGAAGGGCTTTGCCGTTCGTTCTACCTGACTGGAGATCTCAAAGGCGGCTGACACAGAAGGTACACTGTGACTCATATCGAACGCTGAAATTAACTGGTGATGTTTGGCAGCGTCGGTGCTTTTCAACGGTTCATAGTATTTAAGCTGCGGGAGGGTGTTTTGCTTGATCACAGCTACATATCTTACTACTCACGTTCCAGTCCTTATATTCAACCTTCAGCAAAGCATCCAGTAATGTCGCGCCACAACTACAGACACGCATCTACCTCTAGACAAAGCGATCAGGGTCATTTACTTCGAGGGCAAGCTTGCACTAATTGCAGGTAGGTCATCAATAGTTGATGCCTCAGATGCGGTATTAATGAGCAATCATTAGAAAACGCAAAATCGTATGTGACAATTGCATTTCATCCCGTAGGTCTGCCGTTCACCTCTACATTCAGCGATGCGATGGGGACAGACCTATCTGTGGTCAGTGCACTCGGGCCACAAGGCTTGGCGACCCCTGCGAGTACATTGATCCTACCCGCACTAGGACCCAAATCCTGGAAGACACGATCGCAGACCTGAACGCCCGCATCGAAGAACTTGAGCGGTCTGAAAGCGGACAGAGTAGCGCGCCTGGCATTGTGCTGCATCAACCATACGACGACCCTATCGGAAGCACTTCGAGCTATCCAGGAAGTCCGGGTCATCTTCAACCCTCCGCGCCGTCTATAAGCAGCCGTATGTCCCACTTTCGTACGAGCGAAAGCCATGGGCTAACATCAACACTTCACTCTAGGGATAAGCTCTTCGATTCAACAAAGGGCCGGCTCTTTGGAAAGCCAGCTAGAGGTATTTTTATAACAGAGACAAACTTTCAAAGTGATTGTTCAGGTTACTGACGCATCATTTACACGCAGGAGCCTCCACAACAAGAAAGACAAGCATTGTGAGTGGTTTTCTTCTGCAAGCAACGACCCAATTTATAAGGTACTTTACAGACTTGATAGTTTCCTGAGCCATGCGTCGCAGTTTGGTTTCTTCTTAGACAGGCAGCGCTTTAGGCAATCTGCCATGCTACCCTTACCATTGGGTGACCATTCCCGGCCTTCCCCCTCTCTGCTCGCAACTGCATATTTGATAGGCCATACCCTTTCTCAACAAGGGGGATTTTCGCAGCTCGAAAGCTCGCTCCTCACAGACGCGCTGCGAGCGACGGCTACCATGGCGTTCGACACGCACCCGCATCATGTCATACATAGAACACAAGTCGAGATACTCCTTTCGAACTATTTCTTCCGGAATGCGCGATTTTTAGAGGCTAGACACCATGCAAGCAATGCGTGCTCCCTCGCGGCGGCATGCTCTCTGCATAGACTAGAGATCGTCTCAGGAAACGTCGCTGTAGAGGCCCCTCAGACCCAGCTTCCTCCCCCAAGCGACGAAAGCGAGATTGTCGAGAGGATTGCTGCTTTTTGGGCCGTTTACGCTCTCCATAACTTATGGTCCGCTTCCCTCAGCACTCCGATATCGCTTTCGTTCGACGTTACCAGTCAAATCAACATCCCTTGGCCGTCAGAAGTAGATAGAGAACGTAGGGTACGTCGTTATTAAGTTCTAGTGTATGTACGTCGTCTTAACGGATTGATGGACAGCCGGTCGGTGGCGAACTAGACTTTGCTTCGAATGATATTGTCCGCCGTTACTTGGCTGGAGATCAAGATCAAAGTATAGCCGGCTCAGGCCTTCCTGCTCTATTCACCAAGACATCCGTTCTCTTTGAACGGGCTACGAACCTCTCGGCACGATTCACATCGGGTGGGTGAAACTACCTATCTACTCTGGACTACAACGCTTACCGGGAACATCTAGCTGACCAAATCGGCGATGCAGAAGCTATGTCAAGGGAACTCGACACTCTTACAATCCTAGTAGAGAGCATTAGAAGCCAGCTTCCTAGTCTAACACCAATACTCGACTCAAATTTCCCATCTATGCGATTAGCTGTCGTCACTCATGCATTAGTAGATGCTACCGTCATAAAATTAAATGCACCATTTTCCCAGCAGGACCAAGCCGCTCTTCAAAGATGCATCTCTGCGGCCCAACGCATCATTAATTCGGCCGATAACCCTCTGCTCCTACAGTTGGGAGTTGTCAATCCAATTATGGCGGTCAGTGGTCCCTCCTTGTGTCACTCCTTGAACTCGTTGCTGACTTTGTGCTAGGTTGTATGGCCCATGGCATGTCAAGTCATCATGCACGAGATCGTTCGCCTACAAGTCAACAGGGCGGTGTGGACTCAAGGCCATCCTTCCGATGAAGAGTTACAACGGCGTTCAGAGGTCGAGGTCTGTATCCAAATCATGGGCGCTTTTACCGCACAATCCAGCTTCATGGGTATGTCTTCAAATCTATTGGGGAGAGGCATGTTTTGACACTGTACAGACACACAGCTCTCCAAGGTTCAGCTTGCCTACGCAAACATAAATACATAGATGGGAGAGCCCGCGGATAGCCTCGTTAATATAGCTTATAATAGCTCACGCGGACGTATATAACTAAATAAATCATCTTCATTTCTTTGCGTATAGTAAAGTCGGTCAACGGTGAATAACATGAATTAATGGATCATCAATTTACACCCAGGGTGGTACACGGCTGAGCAACTTCAATCCAAATCACGGCTCGAGTATTGAGCGCAAATTGACTTCCAGCATCAAATACTTTATCCGTAGCTGAGCGAGCAATAATTGAGCTACTAGCCTTATACCGTCTGACCAGAGGTTACTTCTTGGAATGAGTACTTCAAGGAACATAAGTACATAGGGACCGTGAGAAACTAGCCATGCTCTATCTCTCTTTGAGTTCGAAGCCGCCGAATGCACTCGCCAGTCCAGCGCATCGTTCATTCAGTTCGCCCATCATGACGCCGAGCAGTACGTGTCGAGAATACCCAAATCAGTCGTTACTCACTCTCCTTCAGGCTCGAGTTCAACTGAGCCGCGCAGTTCACTGGACAGTGAGACGAATACATCGCCGCCATCCACTCCGAAGTTAGCCCCTTCCACTAATGGACATACGGATGGCGACTCGCAGGCGCAGGTGCAGATCCAGGCGTTGAAGGAGCTGCTGCAGCGGACGACGGAAGAGAAGGAGACATTGGCCACGCAATACAACAACCTGCTTGCGAAATTAACGGCAATGCGTACGACTTTGGGGAACAAACTCAAGCAAGATGCGGTGGGTTCCAATGGTATCTCTGAGGCGTGCTCCTCACTTACACTTGCGTGCTAGGAAGAACTAGATCGAAGGGAGCAACTATTGCAGCAACTTACGGCGCAGAACGAAGACTTGACTTCGACCGTAGAAACTCTCAAGGAAGAGCTGGTCGCATCGAATCACGAAGCGGAACGTGCTCACTCTGAGCTGGACCACGTACGAAGTCGGACCCTCCTTGAAAGTACCCAAGAGTCTATGCTTCGCGAGCGCGAACTCCGGGAGGCGCAGACAGAACTTGAAAGGTGTCGGATGGAGCGTGACGAATGGGAACGTACTGCACAACAAGAGAGGCTAGCGGCAGAGGAGTCTAGAGCATATGAAAGGGACTTGGAACACGAACGGGATAATTCAGAGAGGCTCTACGCTGAATTGGAGGCTGAGAAAGAGAAATCCGCAAATTTGCAGTCTGTCCTGCAGGATTTCCAGGCTGGTAGGGTTCAATCTTCAAACGAGGCCATTCATCTTATTTCTCCTCAGCCAAGGACCACGAACTCCGCCAAGCTGTCAAGGAGCTCGAAGCGCAACTCACGCAGACGACGCAAGCACTGGCCGAGTTCAAGAGCAGAGCGTTGAATGCAGAGCTTCAATTAGAAGAGACACAATCATCATCATCTCGTGTCCACGACCTCGAGAAAGAGGTAAAGGAGAAGAACCTTCTCATTGGGAAGCTACGGCACGAGGGTACGAAGGCGGCCTAAACCTACTTGCATAATACTCATCTTTTCTAGCTGTCATCATCAATGAGCATCTGATGGAGGCTTTGCGGCGGCTCAGAAGGAATTCATCAGAAGTCAACGTTGATAGACGGCTCGTCTCCAACGTGCTGCTTTCTTTCCTCACAACCCCCAGAGGAGATGCCAAGCGCTTCGAGATGCTTGGTCTTCTTGCGACAGTTCTTTCTTGGTCCGATGCCGAACGAGAGAAAGCGGGCCTACAGCGGACCAACACTCCAGTTAGTGGGTCGGGGATGTTATGGGGTAGATCACCAACTCCCGCACCCAAAGCCGAGCTTGAGAAAAGTGATGAGACAGAGGTATTCATTCAACCTTATGTGTCTATTTACTCTAGTACGCTAATCTCTCGACGTTTAACAGTCATTCTCCCGCCTATGGGTAGAATTCCTACTCACGGAATCATCCGCTGGCGCCGATAACACACCTCCGCCGAAAAACGCATCTCTCCCGGGTAGCCCCACAGTTGCTTCTCATGGCCTCTCTCCATCTCTTAAAAGCACCCGGCGTATTGTATCATCTTCTTCATCCCCAATGACAAGCTCGCCTAACCTAACACTGGGCCCGCCGCCGTCAAGAAAAGGAAAGGAAAAAGAGATTACTACGTAGTTGAATTCATGAGCACCGCATCATTGTCGTCGCTATTTTCCCATCCTTTTTATACTACATATTTCATTCACGACTATACCACGGAGGGGTTCGAGGATGCATTAGGTCCACAACATATGTGAATTTGAATGGCTAAGGACATATGATGGTACAATTACAGACAAAATAGCCAATAAATATCTAGAACAGACAGAAAGACGTAGAGATTAAACATCATCGGCATCCTTCTTGCCTTTGGCTGTCTTTCCGGGAAGAAGCTGGAAGGCCGACGAATCAGCAAAAGACAAGATTATTTGAAAATAGTTTGACATACCTCGGGGTTGATAAATGGTACAACACCACCCTGCGAAATGACAACGTCGCCTAGGAGTTTCGATAACCTATCACTGGCTGTGAATATCGAGTAGTAAAACATCAAAAAATAAACCCACTCTTCATCGTTACGGATAGCGAGTTGCAAATGACGGGGTACAATACGGTGCTTCTTGTTATCTCTTGCGGCGTTTCCAGCCAGCTCAAGAATTTCGGCTGCGAGATACTCAAGAACAGCGGCGAGGTAGACTGATTTTCACTGATTAGTAGATGCTATATCGCCAAATCATGTCGAAGAGGCTCACCTGGAGCACCAGCACCGACACGTTGGGCGTAGTTGCCCTTCTTCAGCAGTCTGTGGACACGACCAACAGGGAACTGAAGGCCGGCCTTAGACGAGCGGGATTGCGATTTCGAGGCTCCTTCACCACCAGCGGCCTTGCCAGACTTCGATTTTCCGCTGACTTTTCCAGACATTGCGATTATAGAGTGAGTCGAAAAGGGGACTTAAGAAAGTGGTGGGTGGTGGTGGGTGTTGCTGATAGAGAAGGGAAAAGTCAATGGCGTGCGACATGGCTCCTATTTATACTATTTTGGCGCGCAGATTTGTTGATCAACATAGACGCGTCGCCACCGGCGCGTTATAGCCAAACAGACGCAAACTCACGTGCCACTATATATATCTCTGGAATCACTCGTTTCGTTTCCTGCATCCTAACCACCACCCACGCCCAACCGAATTTCCAACTTTGCTCGAAAGACGTTCTAAATGGCCCCCAAACCTGCTTCTACTGCTGGTAAAGCCCCGGCGTCGTCCGCCACTGCCTCGAAGGCGCCTGCAAAGTCAGAGGGATCCAAAGCTGCCAAAAAGACATCAAAGGCAGCCGCACCTGCAGACGGCGAGAAGAAGAAGCGACGCAAGGTCCGCAAGGAGACCTACTCCTCGTATATCTACAAGGGTACGTCGTTAATAGTCACTCTCATCAATAGAGTCGTAGCTCACTTCGCCCCTTTAGTTCTGAAGCAAGTGCACCCGGATACTGGTATTTCAAACAAGGCTATGGCCATCCTGAACAGCTTCGTCAATGATATCTTCGAACGTATCGCCACCGAAGCATCAAGTAAGTTTACACCTATATCTGCTAGGCAGCTACTGATGTTATTCACTGCAGAACTTGCCGCATATTCCAAGAAATCAACAATCTCGTCTCGCGAGATACAAACATCCGTCCGACTGATTCTCCCCGGTGAATTGGCCAAGCACGCCATCTCAGAAGGCACAAAATCAGTGACCAAGGTTAGTGCAAAGTGCATAATGCGGCCTACTGAGCTTCGTTCGCTGATATGCACGATAGTTCTCATCAGCAGGCGCGAAATGATGTAGCCCACTGCCTGATTCTTGCTTTTTCCCTCTCTGTACAACAGTGTATTTCAGCCTACCTACCGCCATCATTGTCCATCAAGTGTCGTGTTGTGTAATATAATCATGATATCATCAAATATGAAAGGACTGTAGTAAGTGTTCCTCGTCCGTTTAAGATTTCGCAGTGGCGGCACTGAGTGAATTGGCGTTCAATCTACTTTGGAAGGCATGAGTGTCCGACTCCGTCGATTGGTGTATCAACCCAGGTTGTACTCGAAGCCCTCAATTGCACGCAGCGCTTGTGCCGTGGAAAGTTCAGACGCTCATACTTCGCCGACTGGTCAAACTTGTTAACGCAATTTCAGCATGCTACGAACTTGGGTTGTAGAGCGCGTACCCACTCTCCCCACGCTTTTTGTCACAAACCAAATACTTACCCAGAGGGAGAAGCTCGTCTATCTTGAAAAGTCAAGGCACTTTGTGTTCCAGATTGTCTCCTGGGTATGAGTTTCTACATACCAGGACTTCTTCCATGTTCATGTGAGTTTGAATTGCGTCTATCATCTCTGTCTTATTCTTTGTCTCCACGTTTTGCAACCATTGACGTGATTATTCATGCTTTTCTCGCGCGCCGGTACAGCCAATATGCCGACATCTGTTGCCTCCACAGCTTTGATCTCACGTACTTCGAATAGAGGTGTGGATCATGGGCTTGATGAATATGACCCAAGCGTTCGTCAATCGTGATGTCAATCAGCCTGGGTGTTTCGATTTAAGTGCATGAGGCTTCGTCGACATGTCCATCACTATTACCCATAGCCCCCTTATCATGCTCCTATGCATCCCTCAACGTCGCTCCTCATTCTCTGAATGGGCCTCTTGGATTGAGGATTCGAACGAATGTCTTTCTCCCGATGAAGACGAATCGTGCTCAAACCCACCTACCTTTCGCTCGCGCCTAATGCATCAAACGAACTACCCAATAGACCCACGATCAGTCTCCCGTTCGACGAGTCGCCTCATTATCTCTTCGAAGTACCTATTCCCCCGCATTTGCATTTCGGATCATCGGCTGACCTTTGTTTGAAGCATTGCATAGACTTGCTTATTTTGGTGGCTGAGGAGAAGTGCGAGTTCAGCACGATGCAGTGCGTTAGTCTGCTTGTCCTCCCGACAGCGATAACTGATTCGTTCCCTTGAAGGGACCTGAAGCAACGTCGATGTGATCTCATAGCGTTGGAGCTAGTTGCGAGCTTGACGCAAGGGTTAGCCACCCGGGAGTTCGTCACTTCGGTAATATGCAGACTACAAGGATCTTTGTTTGTGGCTCATCTCGACGACTCTAGGTTGCGCTGGCACTCAAGGTTTCACTTGCGGAGGAATTACGCGATGACGAGGAAAATATGTGTGCCATCGTATGCCTGATTGCAAAGACCGAAGAACTCACAGATCAGGTTCTCCGACTGCGAGGTCCTCCAGCACAGGCAGTGCTTGATTTCTTACAAGAGGTTGAAACGGCTTCCACTTTCCCTGATGTTGGATCTTGATATTGATATTGTGCGCTAGATGCTTGACGGCGAAGCACTGCACAAAAACGGTCCTGTGGCCCTTCGTTCTGCGATTACGCTCGTGGTTCGGTTGGCTTCAGCCTGCAACCAAGTTGCAGCGGGCCTTGCCATCAAAGACGTCGATATACTGAGTCGGAGCCCTGTTGGCGGTGGAGGATCTTCAGACATTTACTACGGGAAATATCAGGACACTGCCGTTGCTATAAAACGACTGAGGTTTCGCGGGAATTTGCCCACTAATTTTAAGGTATATATCGCGCACAAATTACGCAAGCCGATGATCAGCATTTCGCTCCGTAGTAAGCGTTCATTGACCAGAGGTGCTTTAGATGATTTATCGCGAGGCTCTCCTGTGGCGCAGCGCGCGCCACTCGCATGTCCTACCTTTCCTGGGTATTGCCGACATCGCCGACTTTGAGCCAGACGTGTGCATGGTGTCGCCATGGACGTGCGACACAATCAACACCTTTCTTCGAGATTACCCTGCAGATCCGCTCCGCTATGTACGTTGCATCGCCTTCAGTCCGAACAGTAGCTGACTATCAACGTAGATTTATGCTATCGCAACGGGCGTCGCGTACCTCCACCATCTCGGCATTGTCCACGGCGATCTTTGTGGGGTGAGTACTTTAAATTCTGCGCATCACCTCCCCATGTACTCATAAAGGAGCAGACGAATATACTGGTGGACTGGAATGGGCAAGTCCGGATAGCAGACTTCGGTCTCGCGGTGCTTGCACAGTTCGGCGAGGTGGCGAGCCGTGGGGGCTCTAGGCGATGGATGGCGCCGGAGCTGCTGTCCTGGTCGCGATCGTCCCCAAGGTCAACGGCGAGTGACGTCTATTCGTTCGGGTGTACTTGTCTCGAAGTATGTATATATGACCTTTTCTGAGACGCGTCCTGACTAAGACGTCTCTAGCTTTATTCTGGACAGCGTCCATTCAACGGGGTTCTACGGGATGAGCTTGTCGGTACCATGGTTCTCAAACAAAAGAGGCCGGACTTCTCGACCTGCCCCGCCGGGAAGGTTCCAAGCCCCGAAGTGCAGAGAATCATCACCGACTGCTGGGCGCACAATGCCTCCCATCGACCACATATGAGCGAGGTCGTCGAAAGATTGGGCCCGTTGAATAATATACATATAAGCCGTTAATGAATACCCATTATATGTACTTTTGTATCAATGATGTTCATTACGCTGCAACCTGCAACATTCCAACTACTTGGGTCATAGTAAGTCGACTACAAGGATCGTGCCCCCAACACTGCCGGACAACGCTCAGCAGTCCCGAATCCACAACCCTCTGGCTCCCATACTTGCTCATGGCAGAAGAAAGCAGATCAATTCTGGTTGTCTTCGGCATGTAACGTACAGCTTCACTGTTCCGTTGTTGGTGGAACGGCGGGCGACCAGTGGAGAGCTGGAGAACGACACCTAATTATAAAGGAGAGACAGGAACCGAATTTACACGAACCTCGACGCAAGTGCAAGCAAACGAATATACATCCGTAGCTTTGGTTCTTCCCGATTCCACTCCCAAGCCCTGGAATGGCTCAAATAATTCTGGAGCCATCCAGCGAACAGCGCCAGTGCCAGGGGAGCTCTCATCCGAGAATGTTGTCTCCGCTAGTGCTGCCAGTCCAAAGTCTGCTATCCGAGCGTGCCAATCGGCGTCCATGAGGATGTTTGCCTATTTAGATGATGGGTCACCTATTAACCTACTTCCAACAGCAGGGTAATACTCACCCCGCGTAGGTCTCCGTGGATGATATTATGCCCGTGAAGATGTTCCAGTCCTTCTGCTATTTCGAATATCTGAGGAAGTGTGAGTCGGGGCAACGGATATTGGGCTGCTCACGTACATGCTGCTTCAGGAGAGAATCCTTGTTCTCTTTCATAAAGTCATTAATGGTTCCATTGATCATCCACGGCGAAAGGAGACATATTGATGGAGAGAACGTGGTCCCATCGATCCCTAGGAAAGGGAGCACATATTTGTGTTGGACCCTCTTCCAGAGAAGGGCTTCCCGGCAAACTGCCTGTTACCGCCGTCAACCTTGGGCAGATGCTCCAATCCAAGAACGGAGTGACAGTTACCTTGTGGGCCTCATGCCTGTCGTGCCCCTTCAAGAAGATGCGCAGGCGTTTCAACGCTACTGGCTTTCCTTGGTAGGAGCCCCGAAAAATGTCAGCGTATCCTCCACCATTCACGGCCGTTGGCTCTACATTGACGACATCCTCGACCATGACTGACGAGGGGAATATTCCGCACGCTTTGGAGAGCCGATAGATCAGATTATGAGTTTTTCGAATAGTTTCGGTGTCCAAGATATTGAACAGAAAGCCTTTGTCAAGCATCTAAGGCGAAGCGTGAACAACGATGAGGCCAGTTTGATCGCAGTCACTACTTACACTCTGTAGGAGATCTAGCAGAGTCTCGGCCTCGGAGTCCCTCAACTCGAGCGCACGGCTGGTTAGTTCCGGTGTCAAGAGAACAACCCCGAGGACGTTATGAATTTCCTCATCATCCGCACGAAGTGCATTAACCAACGAGGAGTTGTTGATGCTTAATGTATTTGCCATCTAAAGAACATGAGCGCGCTTCAGCTAGGAGATCATCGCGACATGCCTCGAGTAGTTGCAAACGGGTATTCGGAGCTTCAATGAGGTTCCTCAGTGGATCCAAACCGCGTACCTTGAACCGGAGGCTGCAGGGATCATTCAGAGTCGGCTCAAGGTACGGTAGAAAGAACGGCCTACTCTGTCAGTTGATTATTGTGCATCATGCTGTTTAGAAGTAGGGTAATGGTGTTCTTGAAGAGGTCTCAGAGAGTAGAACCAATGATCCGTAGACAAGAAATTGGCTTACCCTATATATACAACCTTCCCCTGGGGTGTCTAACAGTTGCCCACCCGTACAAGCATTCGCGAAGCGAGTCCTACACTTGAACAAAATGACTAGCTGTCCCCATGACTTCGAGGACGCGTTTTCGATTACGATTGTCCCGAGATCGGGGACGCTGACCGTTGATGAATCCGGTATCTGCGCTTTGCTGAGATCGAGAATTTCTAGCTTCGGGCGAGCGTTCGTTCCCGACGAAGGACTCGGACTTGTGAAAGGAGCGGTGGGTAGGACCTCAAGCCCCCCGGTGCTTGATTGGGCCTTGCCGTATCGTAACAAACCGGGCGTAATTGAGCCCTCCTGCTGGCCGCTGTCGGCCGTCGTACAGGAATGAGTTGTCACTCCCGCTGGGCTGCAGTACATCTCTTACCTGGCCGCAGGTTGCTTCAGTGACTTCCTCCCCCTGTGAGGTACGCGGTGGTTCATGACGGGGCCCATGGTGCGTCTGAGTTGCCGGAACCAGTATGCAATTACTCTTCAAGCTTTTATGCAAGCTCCCAGATCCGGCTGACCTTGCGGCGGTGCACTGCTCTGCGATGTTACCAGTTGTCATCTCTGGCGGCAGATAATCGTGATGGTTGCTGTGAGAAGCACTGATGAAAAGATGAATACCTTCGTTGACGGGCAAGTTCGCAATATAAAGATAGTTCCCTGTCGACCGTTCAAATATCGATCTTTGATCACTGTTCAGAAGCATTGTACCGTGTAGTATCAGAGCAAGGTAATGGCGATTTTAGGTTCTCGAAAGGATTTTATCAACCTATTCAGCGGGCCTCGGCTTCGGCTGTGCTGTGCATTGGTCTCTTGAACTACCGTTTGGGACATATTTCCCTATAGCGGACCTAGCATTGCGCTGCCCCCTTCTCCGGCAGTATACCTGAAGCTGTCATCCTAAAATTGCAGCGTGCATAAGCACGTACAGCCCTAGTTGCAGCTTGCCTACTAGGTTTCTTGTCAAATTGCTTGACCGTTGCGAACTGCGTTGTGCTCGAAAGGGTGTTGTCAACATTCATTGAAGAGACTCGCTGTATACCATCGTACATCAATCACCACCGCCCTCACCTAAATAGTACATTGATCCCTATAGATGCAACTCGCTTTCACGTACTGCCTTTCTGAAGCGACTCTTTAATCCTATACTCCCAGTATCTGAGCAAATGTCAGTGTTTAACGTATTTTGGGAGAGATTTGAGGGGGCGTACCTCTTTCGCATCGTGTCATGTTCATCAGCCAAAGATTTCCAGAGCTAGAACGACGTAGAACATCATTAACAAGAAAAACTGGAGCAGTTGCCCGTGAAGATTACCTGATTTGCTTTGAGAAGACTCTCTCCTCCTTCGCTTTCGTATATGTCGGCAAGGAACTCTATAGCCGCAGGGCATGGTAATTCAGCCTGTTTTGACGGCGGTGGGTTATCCAGATCAACGAGATCCACCGCCTCGGGATCGGTGGGCTGCGTATAGGGAAAAACGAAAGTCGTGACGGTCGAGAAGGGGAGTTTATTGAACTCCAGCACGCCTCGGAGGTAATTCCAAGCTGAAGGGTTGTTGGGTGCAAAGGAGATGTTCTGTTTCGTGAACGTTAGCTCCCGCCTAACGACCCTCTCTCTATCCTCCTCCCCTTCCCGGACCCCCGACTGGAACACCACGAAGAAGCGATGGTGCCAGGCCGAGTTGTTCCGTATATCTTGATTGAACATGGTATCAAGAAAGTCCAGCTCTCCGCGCCATAGATCGATGTCATTGAAGTGCGACAACACCCATTGCCGATGGGACCATGTATGATAGTTCTTGGTGTCCTCCCTGAGCGACTCTTCGACGAACGCGAGCTCCCGCTGCGGGTCGCGCGTCTCCGTAAGGATAAGCCGTCTGTGGTGCCAGACCTGGTAAGTTTTCAGGTACTTGACGGCAAGCTCGTCCATCAGCTTGAGCTCTACATCAAGCGGGGCCTTGATACTCATCAACGTCCGATATCTGTATTGCCTGTATCAAGTCGTATTATTGATTCGTCTGATGGAGCTGAGATACGTACCATGCTGTGTAGTGGGCTGGGTTGAGGCGTATGATGTGTTCCGTGAGATCTAGCACCCTGGGACTCATCTCGCCTGATTTCACGATCCCCCTGAAGTACGATGTCGCATCCTTGTATTCGTCTGTGTAGAATATTGGTGCTAGTGGATTGACTTTCTCGTATTGCTCTAACGGTTGAACATCAACCCATTCATCGAGCGACGAGTACAATGGTTTAGTGGGTTTGGCCATGGACGTAGAAAGAAAGGTTGTGTGGAACAAAAGAAGTCCGTAGCTTAAACCACTTCAGAGCGTCATTAACTTATTGTTCTAAATAGCATCTCAGACACATAGGATCGATGCCCGTGACTTTCGAAAAATAGCAATGGAACTGTGAAAGTTAGAACCTCACAAGATACTAATCACAACACAAAGAGACAAAGGTATCATAATGGAGAACAAGCGTAAAAACTAAGAGAAAACAACAGTCTAAGCAGCTGCAACGGGTGCCGGAGCATTAGCAGAAGTGTAATCCTAATGTACTTCCTTCAGTAGGACGTTCACTGGGCGAAGTGGCATGAGCATCATACCTCCATTTCAGCATCCAGGTCAGCAACAGACTTAGCCGGTCGTTCGTTCTTGCGGGCTCCGCCTCCGCCACGGCCACCTCGAGCACGTCGGGCGCCACGAGGTCTTCTAAGTGACGTAAGAATATGGCCAAGGTTGCTAGATAACCACGAACCTTGGAGCAGCGGCCTGAGCAGCGTTGTTAGCAGCGGGAGCAGGTGCGACTCGTGCAGCGAGGGATGGAGGAGCGGCAGGGCGAGAAGGGTCGACAACGATTTCGATCTTCATCGGGCGTTCTATAAAGGCGTATATGGACGGTCGGATAAGGGAGGGAGGAAGCGGGCATCAATTAGTTGGCTGTTCATTGGTAGGGAGGCATAGCAGAAAGGATGATACGGAGGAGCGGCGAGACGATAATTTCTTTGTTACCAGACACGATTGCTATCTGTCACCCGTGGTCGGACTCCGATAGGTGAATGGGCTCCAAGGAAAGAGCAAGCCTGGCAGATGGACATCACGCATTGCCACCGATGTCCCAGTGCCTCCTCGTGCCACCCCGGTTTGCGCACACAACGCTACCAGTGCGTGTCGGGGACTCTGGTGCACGGCACTTTGCCGAGGTTGATCAGACCTGACAAAGAGACCCGCCCAGAAGGGAATCACCCAAGTCCTCTCCTCTCCAGTTCCGATGCAATGACAAATACAACGGCCGACGAATGAATCCCAAGTACGACAGCGCTCCGCATCTGAGGATAGAAAATGGGACGAGATATGAGTGAGGCGATACTAACTTCCATCGATTAACCGGTTATTGTATTGCGCAAAAGCCTTGTTTCCATCTCCTTTGCGTTGGAAATGGACTTGAGCCATGCCCTTCGACCTGCCCGAATGGTCAAAGTAGAGTTGGACGTCACGAAGGGGGCCAACGGTGGAGTGGAACAGATCCTGGTCTCGGTTTAGAACACAGTACGCGTTGCAAAGCGCATTTCGATAGGTACCTTGATTTGGGCTTCGTTCACGTCCTGGGGCAGGTTTGAGACCATAATCCTGTCAGAGACTTGGGGCTGCGTCGCGACTGCGGCTACTTTCGTGACTGGAGCAGCCCTCGCACGAGTAGAGGGGCTGACGCCAGACGTCCCGAGTATTTGAGCGCGACCAGAAGACCCACGGCGGGAGCCACGGCGAGCGTTGCGAGGGCGGGTGGAAATGATCTGAGGGGAAAATCACAAACTTGCTGAGTGGCACGTTCTCTTGTAGGCTGCAGTCAGCGAAATCCAACCTCGTCAAGGGACTTGTCCATGGTGCGCTGAAAAAAGGGAGTTGAGGAAGAAAGAGTTGTGATGGTTGGAAGAAAGGGCTGTTGAGGGAGTTGTCGGCATTCTTCCTTTTTCAAGGCTATGAATTTGAGCTCCGATTATAGACGCCCGAAGTTCGACCTCCGCAGTAGCCTTTACTCACTAGTCATCTTCCAAAAGTCCATCCAATGTCGTTTCGAGGAGGCCGTGGTGGTGGTCGAGGTGGTGGTCGAGGTGGTGGTCGAGGGGGGTTTGGTCGAGGAGAACTACCCCCGATGGGTCTCACATTCGCCGATATTCAGACTATGTCTCGCGAAGGAACTGCACTATACCCTGTATGAATGCTGAATAGAGCACCCTGTCCACGATATCTTGCTCACTGGCTTGCTGTCGCCTAGCCAAGGAACCCGCTTCCCGTCTTGGAGGCATTAAAACCATCGGAGAAGAGGGTCTACGAACTACAAATTGGCTTTGAGACCCGTTTGCGCCAATCCGAATATTATCTCGTCGAAAATGTCGTCTCGAATGGTGAGTCAGTCTTCTTCAATAGCTATGCATGCGCTGACGGTGTCACGAAGATCTGCCTAGATACTCTGACAAATATCTGACTACCGCAACCACTCATCCGCCTCTCAAAAGGAAGCATTTCAACTCGACGTTCTTCCCTGCAGAGATATATGAAGCTTACTTCAACCCTCGCAAGAAACGCAAAGGCACCGCTCCCAACGTCCCTACAACTAAGCGCATGAACCTCGATGAAATGAACGACGACGACGAGATGGTACGCCCGTCGCTAGCATCACTGCTAACACTGACACTTTCCCTTCGAAGGAAAAATCCGGCGACGAACACTCCGATGCTGGGTCGCAAGCAGAGGCCGAGGATTACGATGTCGACGAAGAATACGACAACGACTATGCCGAAAATTACTTTGACAATGGCGAGGGTGACGATATGGATAACTTGGGCGATGGCGGCGGCGATGATATGGGTGGAGGTATACCCTTGCTTTCTCGAGTCAGTTCTGCAGCTAACGATGTCACGTAGGTGGAGGGGACTATGACTGAGATGTCGGCTCGATGTGCTTGCGATCCCTCAATATCATTTATCTCGTTACTCCTTGCCCTGTGTCTGTTCTACTTTTCTGACCGACACTTCAAGTCTTGAACTCAATGCTTCAAATTTCCCAAAAAAATCGAAGTAGATTCGGGTGCAATGTCGCTTTGAAAGGTTGCCTCTTTGTGGTAGCTAGATGGAGCTGTTCAGGGCATTGCCGCCTCTCCCATCCGTACAAGTGTGTATGTATGATAATGTTGCTATATCTTGCAGATCATATACTGGATTGACCTAAGAAATGCGACAGCTTCAACATGCATGGTGCTGACGACTGTTACGTTTGCCCGCTGTTTGCAACAATACTATATGGGAGGGGATTTGACACTTCTTTATGGCGTTTTTGCGTAGGAGTGTGGTTGTTACATGGCGAAGATAAGATTAGAGGGTATGGATTAGGTGTACAATTAAAAACTTTTAGGCGTCCCATCAAGGGAAGGTAAGTATGTAGCTCTTCATTTCCGTTTCCCAGTCGCAACTGCCGTTCTGACATGCGATCGTGAACGCCTTGAGGATAGCGTCTATCAAACCGTGAAACCGTTGCAGAAGGTCCTTCGAGGGTGAGGCCGAGCCCGCTCGACCGCGTATGTAACTTCGCTTAGCGCCAGCTTCCCGCAGCAGTAGTGTTTCCATCTTCTTGCGCGTCGGAGAATCAGGTCTGAGTACGACTTGCTGCAGGTGAGTGCGGGCAACACCAAGGGCGATAGAGAACAGCTTGTCGTAATGGAATACCAGCGATCCGGGGGTGCCGCAGACAACCGAGCAACTTGGGTTAGGACAGCCAGGTGGGGTGCTTCCTTGAGCGTCGGCACATTTGCCATGGAAGAAACTGGGGAAGATCGCGTCGGACATCTTGTCGTAGAGGCCGCCCTTGGCGAAGTCTTCTAGTAGAGGTGTTCCGTAGTAGCCAGGGATTTTGTCAGGGGAAGGCACGAGCTTTTCAACGGCGGCATGCTAGTATCGCCCTTGAGCAGGCGACTTTCCAGATCAAGAAGAACGCACGAATTCAAAGGCAACACTTCGGAGTGGTCCATGAGTAATGTTATGTATCCAGGCGTCGGTGATGCCAACGATGCATTCGCCTTCGCACGCCAGCGAGCCAGGGAGAATGAACAAGGCGAGAATAGAGAAAAGTTGCAAGAACATGGATGTAGTTTTGAATGAAGAAGTAAACTCATCTGATGTTACCCGCTGTTACCCATTTATATGAGCGACAAATAAAACAACACAGCGCGTGTCAGGGACGTCACGTGATCTCCCTCTTAGTCCAACCATTAATTGAATTGACTAAGAGTTCGGAACATTCCACAAGAATTAGAATACATGGCACGTTGCAAATTCAGAGGTATAGCCCCAGAGTCATTAAACCGAAAGATAATCCATGACACGTATTTCATGGCCGTCGATAACGCAGACACGACCGGAAACTGGACAGAATGTGAATCGAGGAATCTTTGGGCCTTCCTCAAAGTCGAAGTTTTCTTCCGGGGGGCCAACCCAGATAAGTCCATGAGCAGCTTTGCTCCTTGGGGACCCCAAGGGATCCGTCAGCACGATAACGCTTGCATGAACCAGGTAGCCATCATGCTCTGCTCTGACCATCACCATCTCTCTATCGCTAATCCAAGCGGAAGAATAGTGGTCCTCGTCACTCTGGATTTCTTCTGATGTTGGCGACTCGCCTTGGAAGACTGGGTGTATCGATGGCGCTCTTGGATCAATGATTGTGGTGTCGTCGCCCAGCGCCCGGAGCACCACGTACCGGCGAAGTTGCGCCAGACCATCATCTGATGGGTCGAACACATCGACGTGGAGGCCGTTAAGCCCACGTGGCTGCCTATGGCTAATATGCACGGCTTTAAGGCCCTCGTGGTCGATGGAAGTATAGGGGAGGTCTTGTTCTTTGTGTACGTCGACGCCGGGAATACGCGCATGCAGCACTGGCATTTTCCATACCGTTATAGCGTCCTCGCCGGTTAGGATAATATGGCCATCATAAACGTTGATCTATCCATCGTGGGACGAATGGTGAGTAAAACCCCGAGTAGCGCTCTCACACTGAAGCCAAGGCATAACTTACTTCATCGCTGTGACTGACATAGTCTATGTCCCACTTGGTCGCTGTATTGTCCATGTAGTTCCAAACCAACATCTCTCCTCCGCCAGTGCGCGTCAAGTAACCTGCAACTACGTGAGGCCCGCAGATGTGCACAGTCGACGCATATCTTTTGAGAGCGTCGTTGGGGAACTTCCAGGAAGCTAGACGATGGAGGACAGGATCAGAAGACCCTGGATACATTTCATATATTTCGAGAAGCGACTGTCTACATGGCCAGTTCAGTTCACCGCAAGAGACGCATCGTAAGGATATATCTCACGGTGGCATGTCTAGTCGCGTATTGACCAAGAGCATAATTCCTAGCGAGTCCGCTGTGGTCTGGGCCAAGACCTTTTGAATGCGTCCGTTCGTACGTTTGACTAGCACAGGTCTCGGGCTGATAACCGATGCAGGGCTGAAGCCCAGGTCCCATATCTGCAGCTCTTGGTACCCAGCTGCGGTCGCAATGAGCAAACGTCCGCCAGTCACTAGCTTGACGTCGTTTATGGGCGAGCTTGTCAAATCAGGCGGCGAGAGAATGCGGGTCGACACCGGTCGTATATTTCCGGCAGAGAGATCTTGTAGTAAACGTCGTAGGAAACGAGTGGGGGCCGTCACAGCGTGCTCCAACTGTCGGACGGACATGTGTTCGATAGGGAAGAGAGACACACATACGTGAAAATCGTAGCAGAAGTGACGAAGGGATTTCACCCAGACTATTCGCTCCTGGGTGGCGGCGCACAACTTCTTAGAGCACTGTGTAGAGAAGTGAGATCGAATTCGAGGATTTGGGGAACTGCCTACTTGACGAATTGAGAGGATATCGAATGGAACCAGGTCGAGAAAAATGTGGAGGAGGGTGTCCAACGCTAGGTCTTCAAGATAGCATACCATCCTGAATGGCCTTTCGTCGGTTCTAGCAGTATTCATGTCAATTGTCGTAGGTCGTGCTAAGACAGCGCGAAAGAGGGCACATGGTCGACGCACATACTTCCAAACACTACTTATAAGTAGCGATCATTTCCGACAACGAGCGTTATCCCCATCTTGATCTGCCCAATAGAAAAGGGCAGGGAGATATCAAATCAGATCCGACTCAGATGCTACTTACCTAGCGGAACTGCGTTTGGTCCACAATAGGCGTTCCAGCGAAACCGTGGTACCTCGCGAGGTCGAGTTCGCCGTTAATTGCATCAGGAACTGAATGACAAGTGGGGATTAGCCCGGGCGGCCCTACAAAGACCATGCGTAGAGGTTGCTATGAACATGCTTGCATCTGAGCATTTTTTGTGGCGTAGCGGGACACAAGATAAAACAATGCATTATGGGTCCAGAACAGTACTAGCACGAAGATCAGACACAGTAAATCAAGCCCGGAACAACCGAACAGAGGTGAGCCCCATCTTATCTGAACGTTGCGCAGATGGAACCAAGTATCCATTGGAGCACGATATAAGTTTGAGCCAGGGATGGAGCGTCGGTGAGGAGTCACTTGGGGCGGGGATCACTTGGGCAATGGACTGCGTGTCCACGTTGTGGATTTCAATGGTATCGTTGGGGAGTAGCGAGGCTACGTAAGGGTAATCAAGGCCTAATTGAAATATGTCAAATTGAGAGGTAAATAAGAGGTAACCACGACCTCACAGACAGATCGTGGATAGCTTGGCCACTGCAGAGTTCCTCGCAATGGGATGCCCTCTCCGGTGATAAAAACGCCTAGAGTACCACCTTCGGCGAAAGAAGTGATGAGGAACTCGTTGTCTGAGACAACGTTTATCGAAGGTCGGAGTTGTGTCGCGCTCTCTGTCTGGCATATCGGCATTAAGGGGAAGATCGAGGCATCTTCTAGGTCGACGATGCTGTACGTGTGCTGATCGGCAACACAAAGAGCTCGCCCGAAGCGACGCGCCAGGAATACAGGATGAGGTAGAGGAATTTCCTGGACGCCCGATTAGCCGGATATTCAGTAAACAAGAGGCGAATAGACCTTCTGGTAGGTGAGCCTCTCTAGGATGTTGTAAAGTGCGATAGAGCTTCTTTTTATCACACAGAACTCCACGGGTTCAGTAGAGGGTGGAGGACGCCGAAGATGTTGATGGTCAATAGCAAAAGTGACCACATTTCTGATCGGCTTGATAATGGTATGTGGGACCGGATCCAGACTCGGGAGAGTGTAAAAATGAATCTGTCTATCTGTGAGAATGATTGTAGTGAAGGGAGCGGATAGTATCTCGTATGTTGCTCACCTGAGTAAACAAGAGCACGAGAGATAGACGGAATCAAGGCAATTTCTTCGATAGGTTTATTTGATGGTAGAGTCTGATGTGATAGGATCTGATATGATTGAAGCTGCGCAACAAACTAATGAGCCTAAAACAGCTGTTTCGTACGATACATGCCTGCCTCATGAGGGTTATCAGCTTGCAGTGCGAAGCGGATCAGCTGTCCTTCTGACCCGCCGATATATATCTCTGAACCTGGATAACCTTGTTGACGACGCGGTATGATGCGAAGGAAGTGAACTTGCCTAGAGCCTGGGCACAACGAACCTGAATGGTAGACGGTAGACCTGCGAACGCTCAGAAGTCACGGAGATCTGAATCGAATAGATGGAGACATACCGAATGCATCCGCAACACCGGATATCAAGGATTGTACTTGATAGGGTGGTACCTCGAGGGGGTTTACAGGCGCAGAGGACATTGTCGTGTGTCGTCAAAGGTGTCCCCGAATGTCAGGAGAAGAGGACCAAGCCTAACGTAACTGTCGAGTCGACAGCAGCGTCAACCCGTTTCACAACGACAGGGTGCCCCTTGGCTTTAAGCGTTCTGGGTGGTAGCTTCTGATGTGGCGTATAGAGCCTGATTATTTCACTGCGGCAGAAGGAACGACGAGGAGAAGAAGTCGACTGAACCCTTATGTTACTGTACTTCAAGGAAAGTTACTGTTGCCAGTGTGCGTGAGTAGTAGCCCGAGCAAACAACAACAAACAGAGACTCTCGTCGCGTCCGCTATCGATAGGTTTTCATGATTTCCTCTGCACGCGTCTGGTAGATACTCCTTCAGCTTAGCTTTTGACTCATCTCGAAATGAAGGCTTCCAGAGGGTTTTGCCAGATTTCAAGAGAGGAGCAGTCAGTTTTGCTGGACGATTGGACGACTTCTTTGGTATGCGTCGCTTCGACGCGACTCAGTGGGTACTCTATACTATGCCTACACAATTCCCCCCACCATACCCCAGCTCCGAGCATCTTCGACTGAGCGCTGCATGCGCAGAGTATGCACATGGTGTCCCCTCGTCCATGAACGTTCTTGCTACCGTAGGACGACAGAGTGCAGCTACATACCCTCTATCCTTGGCCATTGCTATTTACATGGCAATGCAGAGAACTCTACAGGCTTGAAAACAACGATGTCCTTACTGACGCGAGTTGATTAAATTCCTTGACTCCGCGGCCGAGGGACTGAACTTCACAAGCGCCCATGCAACGAGATGAAGGTTGTCACCTTCTCAACGAACTTGGAGAGCACTCGAGGGTGCTTGCTGTACTAGATCTCGTCCTGGCATTGTACGCGTGATAACTCCAACAAAGGCAACCTTCGACACAATGCAAGAAATCCTCGCGCACCTAGTTATCTCTCCAAGTTTATTTTTATTTTGTCCGGCCTTCAGGTTGCTCAAGTCTCGATTCTCAACGTGTCCGCGCATCCGGCTCACGCCTGAGAGGAGCTTTCGAGTTGCGTTCCAAAGAACAGTTTCATTTTTTGGCCTATACATTTCAGTTCATTTTGTTGCTTACACAGTCCAGACTCAGTTCATAGTCGCTAAATACATATATAACCTTGGCTTCAGCAAATGGCACTTCGCAGCGAGCGTACCGGCGCATCCCGGGGATCCATATTACTTCTCGGTTCAAGGGTAAGTGCTGAATCGATCAAAAGGGGACCAACAGGAGAGTCCCTGAAGCTCCTATCGCTAAATCGCCATCGTCGGATTGTCGGACAACTATCGATGAGGACCACTTTGGCCTCAAAGTTCAGACTGGAAGTAGTCACTGGTCACTGGAAACAATGGCCCAATCATCCATATCGCCCCCTCTCCAATTCTGCGTGGCAGTGATAGGCGTCGGGCTCGTAGGTAGCGAGTTCGTCTCCCAACTATGGAGCTTCCCCGCCCCGTCGCCATTCCGCATCGTACTACTCGCCACTTCGAGGAACCTCATCTTCCAACCTGACGGGATCCCAAAAACATCTTCATCGCAGTTGAAAGCAGAGGTATCTGCCTTAGGCCTTCCTTTTGATGCTCCCTTCATCACCCGGGAGTTATCAGGCCTAGTGAAGCCAGGGCAGAAGGTTGTTATTGTGGATAATACGTCGTCGGATGATATTGCGAGCCTGTATCCCACCTGGTTGAAACTAGGCATCGAAGTCATCACCCCCAACAAGAAAGCGTACTCTGGCTCATTGAACCTATACGAGGATATCCTTAAAGCGAGCTCCGAAACTGGCGCTCGGTTCTTAAATGAATCCACTGTCGGGGCAGGCCTACCGGTGATCTCGACGTTGAAGGACTTGGTGGCAACGGGGGACAAGGTCACCTTTGCTCTTGTTCTTGCATAAGGGTCTGAGCTAACGTTAAAAAACTTACTGTAGGTCACGAAGATAGAAGGTGTCTTCTCTGGGACGATGAGCTACATCTTCAATCAGTTCTCTACGGGAAGTACAGAGGGACCGAGCTTTTCTTCTGTAGTCAAGGTTGCGCGGGAGAAAGGGTACACAGTATGTGGTTCACTATGGCATTTGAACGATATCTAATCGTGTTGGCAAGGAACCCAACCCCGCTGATGATCTAAACGGGACAGACGTAGCCCGGAAACTGACGATTCTGTCTCGTCTGATTCCTTCGCTGCGCCAGCAACTCCCCGCAGGCTTCTCGTCGGTGGATACCGCTTCTCTCGTCCCAGAAGGATTAGCCAACGCGGCATCCGGTGACGTATTCGTGCAAGACCTCCCCAAATACGACGAAGAGTTCGATAAATTACGACAAGATGCGGCAAAGGACGGCAGTGTGCTAAGATTCGTAGGTGTGATTGATGTCGAGAAGAATCTGATCAAAGCTGGGCTGGAGAGGTATTTGCTAACTCGTTGATTGTTTGAACATGACTAAACGATTGTTGTATTATAGGTATCCGGTGACGCATCCATTCGCCACGTCTCTTGGTGGTTCAGACAATATCATCATGTTCCATTCTGAGCGGTACAGTCCCCGACCGTTGATTATACAGGGCGCGGGTGCTGGGGCGGCTGTTACTGCCATGGGTGTTATGTCTGATCTTCTGAAGCTTGCATATTAGGGGAGAAGGGGCCTTATGTATTTATTCGTCGGCTCCCATACGCGTCTTCGTCTAATCGCCGTGGTCCCAGTTTCAGTGGTGATTTGTACATTTAGGGCTAAATGAATACAATTGTACTTGATCAACTTGTCTAGAACATGATATCGATACAGTCCTGTTGAAAGACGTTTATATGTGGTTAATGTACCAGTTGGATGGTTATCAATACTGAAAACGAGAACAAGCGAAATAATGCAGAAGATGCTGAGTAAATGGAGCCCACCCTGTTGGAGGGTAGGATCAAGTGATGATCGGCGGGGAACACGGCAGCAGAGACTGGGGATTAGGGGGATGAATTACTTCTGAAGGGTAGCCTCAGCGGCGAGCAATGCCTTTTCGAACCATTCCAGCAGCACCTTTGTGTCCTCCATACCAACACTGATGCGAACGAGGCCCTTCTCCACGCCCCACTGGGCCGCCCATTCCAGTTCCGCATAATGTGCAAGAATAGTATACGGAGACGCAAGGGTGAAGTTCGTTCCCAAGCTCGGCCCTTTATAACAAGGGATAGCGTCGAAGAATGCTTCTGAAGCCTCTTGAGTAGTGAACGTGAGGGAGAATAGGCCCCCATAGCCGCCTTCCTCCTTCCCGTCTGACTCTTCTGCACCTTCTTGGGTGATACGGCATGTTTCGTAGTTGTGCCTGGTGATGTATTTGGGGTAATAAACTTCTTTGATAACCGGAGCCGAAGCTGAAGATCGAGAGGACGTAGAGGACGAGGAAGCGTCGCCAGCGATGGAGCGAGAAAGAAGGAAATCGCATATGGTTTCTGCATTCCTGTTGATGGCGTGACTACGGGACCTAAAGTTTCTCGAGTTGCGTTCCATAAAAATGGCGTCCTGGTCGAAGTACACATCCTCGTAATTGTCATCCAGCCACCGTTTTAAGACGCCATAATAGCGTCCTTGTGGATTGAGGACCAGGCTATTATTTCTTCAGCATTCATTACTGTAAGTCAACACAAAATGACATGCCTGCCGCCCATAACATTGGAATAACCGCTGAAGACCTTCGTCAGGCTACTGACCACGACGTCAGCGTACGGTTGCACCCGAACGTTGACGAAGTTGCCGATAGTCTCGTCGATGACGATCAAAAACCCATGCTTATCCGCCAAAACCCTCAGTCGCGGGAGGTTAGCTGAGCGAAGGAGCGGATTGGATGGGAACTCTGTGAATAGAGCGACTATACGCGTAGATTCCAAGATGGTTTCCAGTTCATCGATATCCTCGTCAAGGCCGCGTCCTAGGTGGTAACACCCGGGGCCCCATTTTTCGAGGATCTTCAAGGTATCGGTATAGGGGAACCCAAAACAGACGCTCTTCGCTGCTGGACGCACTGCAAGCGCTGCTTGGTGAGCGTACCAGATTGCCGCCATCCCAGATGGCAACAGATACACGTCCTCTTCCGTCACATCCGCTCCTCTCGAGCTCACTGTCGTAGCAACGTCCTGTTCGCCCGCGCGACTGCATTCAGGGGGGTCGTTCGCCAAGACTCCCGCAATTCGGCGACGCAATGCACGCTTTGCGTTCATCCCATGCTCGCGGGGTAAGTTGCGACCATATCGTTCCTCAAGATATGTGCTATGATCGCTATCGAGCTTGTCTGCAGCGAGCTCTTCTTTGGCTGGCGGCTTCACCGAATAATGCCTATTGGACGGCTTCAGCGGGAAGCGGGCGGTAGCTTCGGGAGATTTGGGTGGTGTAGAGGATTCCGCTAAACCGGATAAGCAGAACTCTGCCAATCTACTTGAGATCCCAAGCCCAGCGTGCTGCCAGAATTGTTTGGCAATCGGGTATGCGTTTGTTGGGAATAGCACCACATGCAGTTCAGCCTCCGGGAAAACAAAATGGGTGAGACGAGCAGAGATTGCAGGCCCTACGAGAGATGACCGGGCTTCAATGAACTTGCGGCACTCGCTCGCGACCCTGTTCGAGGGGAACAACAAGCACAACTCGTCCGGAGTCCCGAACTTTTGCTGGCAGATGTCGGCCACCTTTTGGATGCTGGGATGGATGAAGAACCTAGGATACCCGCACACCATCGCATCCTTTACTCTCGGCTTCCCTTCCTCGTAGTCGACATTGTCCTGCCACGTCGGTAGAGAGACTGAAATCGCGTGTGGCGTAAAGGGGGGTACACTGAGCCCCAGGGCCTGAGAGCTCGTCATGTTACGATTGAACGTAGAGTGTTCGAACGAAGTTCAGAAAACGATGATCGCGGAGCAGTTCGGCCGATATCCGCAACACAGAGTAAAGACCAGAATATTACGTCCTGAATCTTTAGATATCATATTCAGGGAGGCCGGAGGGGACTGAAAGTTCAACTTAGTGATGCAGTGGGGATAAGATATGCACCCAGTCAGCGGCTACCGCGCAGTCAAGCAAAGCGCGACAAAGGCAAGGAAACTTTCCATATATTGCGATACTATACACTTTACATAACTATTAATTACGCCATAATAATGAGCCCCAACCCCACTACTTATTGCATTAGTGTAGATCTGATATGACCGATGGTGGTGACACGGGCATTATCCTCGGGCTTCGTCGAGTACTTGTCCGGCTACTCGACCGAGATCTAATGATATCCAAGTCCGACATTGAGGAATGCGAAGATGCAGACGATGCACGACGATGCCTCTGCATTCTGGTGGGATCAACGTTGGGTATGTCCGCAAGGCGAGCGAAGAGGGAGAGAACTGTAGATGAGGGACATTGACAGTCAGCTCAGGGAGCAAGGGATTAAGGAAACATTTGGCATACCATCGACGACGGAAACAATCCCAGTCAAATTAGTAGAATAAGAGGGCGAAATGACTGGTGAAGTACCCGGACCAGATTCCCTGGTCACGAATAGTCTGTGGGAATTGGCTACGCGCGATGAGGGATCCATTCATATCGTAGAGAGGTAACATACTTGCTAGGAGCTTCTCCATGGTATATGACAATGGGGTCGATGGTGAAATTGAATAGACTTTTGTGAAATGAGCTTAGTTCAATTGTCACAAAGAGACGCCTTAATCACCTGGGTACTTATCGGCGCCGTCCAACGAGCCATCGGGTTCCTTGAAATGGTCAGAGATCAGGCAACGCACCGGATGACAAGTAAGTACCTTGATCTGAGCAATGAACTGTTGCAACGGCGTGGAAAGGATTTGGTTACTTTCGGATGGAACGACAATCTTAAATTCCAATAAGTTCATTGACCCGTGGGATGAGGGTATAAGTACCTTTCCTATATCCGTGACACTGACTGCGCTGAGTAGGGCGCCAGATTCTTCATCAACCACTGCAACACTGCTCACGCCTTCCTCGCTCATGAGCTTCATGGCGTCTAGCACAGATGCAACCGAAGAAGCAGCAACCACAGACGAATGGATATTTAGGGAGGGGAGGCCAAGGGAAGATAAGGGATGAGAGAGATACTCGCAGAAGGATGGAGTGCGCTGTGCATACGAATGAAACCACGAGAGCAGACTACGGTCAGAGACCATCCCTATGAATGGCTCGTCTGGAGATTCTGATTTGACTAGAACTACATGTGCGAAATTGAAGTTACTGAATAACGAATGTGGACTGGTTCGTACCTCGGTGGGCCCCTCCAGCAAAGACTTCGAGGAGGGCTATGATACTAGCATCATTTCTGACAGTCTTCAAGGGATTCTTCTCAGATAAATCTTAGAAAAATTAGCTTGTCTTTAATACGGACAGTCAATGTCTAGGCTGTACTTACCAGAAACGAGCTTCACGGGGACTCTGCCTGCCCTAGCGGCGGCGACAATACCATCGATCTTCGGGTTCTGAGCCAGAAATTCTGGAAGGAAAGTGTGCCTCGTCGCAGCCAACGTCAGAAAGGCATTCACGTCGGAAAACTGGAGGAACCCCATATGTGAAGCTTCGATGTGGAGAGCATTGAGAACTCACATCGAACAAGCCCGCGTATGATGGGGAATTAGCATCTTGACTCTGTGCCCTTACGGCAAGGCACATAATATCCTCGGATAGTAGAAGCTACGTAGCGATAGCATTCTAGACATACCGCGACAGGTTTTTGGATCGGAAGCTCACTTCGCAAGCGTCCTCGACAGAAGTATCGGAGTCGACGGATATAAGAGGCGAGTCGATAATATCTAGGGCCAATTGGGAGATCATAAATACGATCAGGAAGGAATGGAGCATGCAAACCTCTGGCATAGACTTGTTGCCAGTCACCAATCCATTCTCCTCGGTCCACAGAAGGAACAGGGGGACCAGTTGGCGCCGCTGGCTCAATCCAGAAAGATTCTGACATTCGTCTACTGTTTGACATGTTCAATCAGAAAGGATTGATCGTAATGGTTGCATAGTACAAGGAGAGGCACTACCGTAAGCACTCCGGAAACCTTGGGCGCCAGACTAAGATAGGGCGGATAAGATAAGATTTGATTTTCGCTTAGACACGTGATCCCACATATTAAGCGCTTCTTAACTCTGCTTGATGAAATGCAATCACCATCGTTTTCGCAATTTAGCTCTCAAAGGTTCAAGGCATTGTCGCTTCGTCCGTACCTTGGGTAGGACTGACTGCGATACCTATAATTTCTCATAATGGCAACGCTAGCAAAGTCCAGACTTCGAAATGAAATCGCAGGCGATTCAACACAACCGCGACTGGATATCAATATTCCTGCACCTTTCCCAGTGGAACTACACCAACGCCTTACTCGAGAAGCGGAGCGCACAATTGCAAGGGAACTACCGTCGGTTCGAAGCGCAGGGGCTGATATTGGAACACGGGTAAGGTAAAGTCTTCAATACTGCTAACTTCGCTTACCTACGTTTTGCTGGTATTAGCCTGCGGAGGTCAATGAGGTCAGTTTGATAGATGTAGAGGAGGGTTCATCGTCTACGGCGTTGAGATCCGGTGCGCAGGTAAGCTCGTCTTCACTAGAAGATTGACCGTAACCATCTCATTGCTTGCAGCAAGAACTCATGCCCTCCATAGGCTATGTGCAAAGGTCCTGCATTACGACTCTCAATGACTTGCTATCAGAATCTATGCGCTGGAGCCCAATTCTTCCTGACCGTCGACACTCAATGCCATCAACGCCCCAATCACCTGTTGATTCAGAACCATCAGCAATAGCTGCCCTTCACACCCTAGTCTCCAACCTACGGAACTGCGATGATGCTATGGTTGAGGTTCACAATCAGGAAGAAGATCTCATCAATGAGCTATGCGCGCGAGTTGAAATCCTTGCACCCAGCCTTCCGCTGGCAGATGCTCAGTTGGCTCAATCGCTCGTTTCCCTGCTGTCCAATTTCCACAGGCTATCTAGAATGCAGACCGGAGGTCACACTATACGACCGTCGAGCATCCTCATGTCACATCAGTCGACCTCCAATCCGTTCGACGCACTGAGACGGCAGCTCAGTGACTTCCAGGTCGAACGTCTATCTTCGTCACACAATGATGTGTGGGCACCTCGGTCTGGAGTATCACCCGTGACAGCCGTTGAATCCTCGCTTCTGTGGACCAGAATCGATGAAGAGCTCGAAAATGTTCTAGCCATGTGCAAGGAGCGAACTGACGCAGCCGACCATCACCTGCCGCCAAGATACTCCTACGCTGAAGATGAGCATGACAGGCCACCCGATTATGATCACGAAGCATTCGTGGATGACATCAAAACACGGCATTCTCCCGAAATGTTAACGTCGGGTGTCCACGACAAGTCAAGATTGCTGGACGAGAAGATGCGTCTCGACCTAGAGTCAGTCACAATGGCCATCGATCGGCTGTATTTAGTGGCTCCGCAACTGCATAATCAACGCGTTGAATTAAAGTCGTCGAAAGTCAAGCAATTGGAACTGGCCAAGCAAGCCGGCCTGAAGAATAGCAGCTCTGATCAGCTCGCCTCAGCTCCGTCCTTGTCTAGAATCGCTAGAGGAAAGCAGAAGGTAGACACATCCCGAGAGGTGAAGGACCTGGAAAACATGCTAGACCTCCTTGGTAAAGCTTCAAGCCGGACGATGAAAGATCAGTCATTCGTACTTGGCAGAGGGTCTGCTTCGCCAATGGAGAAGGCTAAGCAGCGCGATACAGCTAAGGTATGGGATTTTTTTCGGTATAACCAACGTGTTGATTTTCTCCGCACTCTGCAGAGAGAAGCCTTCGTCGAGCACCTCGCCCAGCACTCAGACGCTGGTCGTCTCCACACCCAAGACGCGGAACTCCACGATTACCCCCGTCTTAAAGATCCCAACGCTCTTCTCTCTCTTCCTGAATTTATTCGTGAATCAATCCCAGAGACATCTCTCTCTCGAGATGAAGATATGGACGCGTTGCTGTCGCTCCCTGAATTCGTAAAGGAATTACCCCCACCACGAGTGCTGATGAAGAGCTCTCAATCACCCCCGCCCGCACCTTCGTCGCCATTGAGGAAAAAGAGGCATAGGGTGAGAAGCTTGTCCGCACCAAGTATCTCATGGTTGAAGTCGTCGAAAGACATGAAGTCTTCGAAGTCCATGAGCCCTGTGACTGAATCCCCAACTCGTAAGTCACCTTCTCTGGGAAGTTGCATGGATTTATCGTGTGTCTGTAGGCAATCTCGAAGTCAATTATGTTGCCGAGAACCACGAATCTCTCCACCGCATTCTTGTCTTTCTTATGGTGTCCGGGGCAGTGCCTGGCGTGGATCTGGAGGCCGAGGTTCTTCCCTCCTTCAGTGATTCCTCTAGTTCCTCCAACTCCTCGGGCGTCGATACCAATCAGGGGGACCGTCTCATTATCAAGAGTGGAGTGCACGTTTCTCTTCCCGTGAGCCTTCCTGGACGAACGACACCCGGTAAGAAGGAAATCAAGGTTCAAGGCGAACACTACGAGATCAAGCTATCGACGATTTCACCGAACACAAGCACGCAAGATGCCCCGCCTCTCCTTGACGCTGCTCAACTTAATTCCGCAGTGCCTACATCCTTTATTTGCTCGTCATGTTCCCTACCCATCGTGCAAACAACCTCTCCATCCCGTTCCTCGTCATCTTCAACCCTCCTTTCATATCGAGATCTACCTTCCGAGCACTGGCAAGAACTCGTCGATGCATGGATGTGTCATGGTGACCAGAAGCTCACTGAGCAAGTATCCAAGCACGCTCAAGCAGAGAGGGGCGGCTTCTGGCCACGACCCGGTCAGGCATTGGTTGGTGGAAGTTATATCCTATTCAGAGAGGATACAATTGTGACGGGCAATGTGCATCCTCCCCAAGAAACGGCGGTGAGTTGCGATATCCTTTTGCAGTCCCCATAGGCCAGCGAGATCTCCTTTCCCATTCTGTATTTTTGAGCCACTGGACGTTCAAGAAGACCAAAATCGGAAACCAACCGATACTTTGTTGCGTCTGGAAGGTTATTGTGTTGTCGGTCAGGTTCGAAGCCCGTTGTCGGTTTTGGACGTGGCATGATGATACTTTGGCTTTCTGGGTTGCTCAAAATTTTGGTTGATACAAAGCGTCCTATATGAATGGGGCAGTGTGTTCTGAACATCTACCCCGGCCGGATTCCGGCTACTCTTTTAAACAACTTTCGTACATAAGAGGTCACTGTTGCGGGAGCTACAACTGAGAGTACATTTTATCTATCTTTACTACATTGTCTTGCTTGTCATGTTTCATTGACCATATTGATATGTTTAGGTCGACGACGATGTATGGGGGGTGGTGAGATGCTTGTGCGGGGCAGTAGTTGGAAGATCGCAGGTCCTTCGTCAGCAAGACGATACTAGTGGCGGAAGTCCTCCCGATGTATCTTCGACCAGATCAGTGTATAGACTTCTCAAATACGCGATCCGACCTGTGAGCCAAACAGCTGAGTATGTCCTATTCTTCGTTCTCATATCTTCAATCAACTCATCACATGAATAGACCGTTACGGATACCCTTATCTGCTTTCATCGTGGAAGACATGAACGAATTCGTCCAGGCGCATGCGACGCACAGATTCATAATCCTGGATGAGGAAGAAGAAAAGCCCCGTATACTCGTAAGTAAACTAGTTTGAGAAATTGGTTCAATACCTGACATAGAAATACATCGACGTAGGTCTGGTTATTCAAGCCTGATCTTCGTCTGGCTTACAAGACATCTCGATCCTATGCTATCCCCCCAAGTTCGTCCATTCGGGCTGCGAAAGTTTTATATAAAACAATAGGGCCCTCCGAGTCGTCCGCGGACCTGAAATCGTGCGTACAGTCACCAACTACTGACCCATTTCTGCCATCGACTGATTGCGTTTCGAACAGTATCGTGAACAAATATCCTGGTTTCCCTCAGGCGGAATATCTCTACTATCCCATGAACATCTGCCGCCGCTTAGCGAGCTTGCTCGTCGAAAGCAATAGAAGCTACCCAGAGAGTATGCGGACGATGACCGGTTTGGATGTTGGATGGCTTCGCAAAGTTTGAATCGATCACAGGACAGTTTTGCGTACGAATATCTAAGGGGGCGTCCACAAGTACTCGTTGTCAATCCGTAATTTAATCTAATCCCACTTCTATCTTTGCATGGGTGAACTGTTAAGCATTAGATCAGGTACCAGGGAACCTTGATGAAGGCGTCGACAGACAAGCCAAAGATATTTTCAGCCTCGCAAGAGGATGTGTGTACATGAACAATTCCTTCCCTTCGTTTAAACGGAGTATGGGTACGTTAAAGCAGAGTCGGACTCAATCTTTATCTGGTAGCCTATGGCAACTCAATTACATTGGTCAAATCCGATTGGCCCAACGCACATTCCCCAACCCCCACCACCATCCGAGCCTGGACTTTTAACTGGTCTTGGCTGTCAATATCTCATTCATACTGGCGCATCGACATACACTTTACAAGAACGAATGGATCGCGAAATACCAGCAGCCGACATGACAAGAACAGAATGGATAGCGAAGACAACCCGTCAGTCCATACGCAAAATGGTCCAAGACAGTCCGTCAATACACAAAAGGCTCTCAACATTCTTAACCATCAACCTTTCGCTCCCCCCCCCTTGACGAGCTCGAGCTCTGCTAACGTGACTTGGATAGGGATCAGCGTGCCAACAGAGATTCTGCCAACTTGCCCAGAGATAAGCTTGAGAATTCCCCAGACCTCCTCATGAGCTCCATCAAAAGCAGCATTGGGAATAGGGAAAGACTTCTCGACAGTCGTGTACATGGCGACCAACACTTCTGATACTTAACGTGCTCGGAGATTTGGCCCGATGAGCGAGATTTTAGTAGAGGTGTGCTTGAGGTTGATTGATTGGAGCGCGTTTCGTCGTTGGGCCTCCCCAGGGAAGAGGGAGAGAAAAACTCTGAGCTGATCTCGAAGTGCGTTGTGGTCGAGAGGAGCAGTTGACTCCGGATGGAAGCGAAGCAAGGTCCAGACAAGAAGCCACCAAACTGACTCTAGGTCATGGAGTGGGTTATGTAGGAAGGTAGGAGTTTCGTCGGCATCGTCGACATCGTCGTAAACCCCCGTAGAATGCGAGTCGGTATCGAAAGTATCGGGAATATCCAATGTATCAGACGAATCAGGCGAAACAGGCAAACGCTGGTCTAGCGGTATTGGAGAACTGGATGAAGAAAACAAACGCCGGGCTAGCTTCATCGAAGGAGTTCGTGGTCGCATTAGATCAAAGCCAGCGGAGACCTCGCAGGCCATGGATTGGAGGGTGCCCTAGAATTTTGTGAATAGCAGCTAAGGAAGGAATGAAGGCTTTACGGTTTTAATACTCGATGAGTAGCTGTTTCCCTTGGATACCGCATCGTCCGTGTAGAATGTCACAAACTCCAGATCGCCAAGGCGGCCAGAGCCGTTCTTATCGTCGTAGTAAACGTTCCCGCTGCTCGGGTCCCGATGTATGGCTTTCAAACCCTTCCACATAGTGTGAAGGGCTAAAAATATAACGGGGCTTCAGTAGCCAGCCAGAAAGATGATAACAGACGAACCAATAATAGCATGCTGAAGTGAGACAATCATCGTTGACAAGTCGGTTAGATTTTCGTATGGCATGCAAACCTCCTTCCAGACAGTCCGGTCGTGTCGACGGGGTACGTCGACGGGATGATCTTGGTGGCATTGATAGGCAAGTTGATAGGCAGTATAGTCATCAGGTCCTCCAACAATGCCCGAACGACCGCTGTGTTCGTATGTATGTCTTGCAATCCTCTGGTGCAGAAATCGCATGTAGTCACGGCTTCGGCGTCCGGCGTGCAATTGTCAGAAAGTGCTTGCTGAAAACTTCGTTGTTCAGATCTTTCTTGAGCTGCTTCCATATCTCTCCCTCCGTTTGCTTCCTCCGATCGACCCACACATCCTTCAACGCGTAGAACGTAGTCTTGTCTCCTTCATACACCTTCCAGACACGCGTACATCGCCCGCATATACTCTCGCTCGGAAATCGGAAAGCACTCCACAGGTAATCTATGTCTTATCCCCGACGCGAATGCTATAATTTCCGGAATTGTCGAGGCGTTGAACCGTGGGGTCGTAGCCGTGGGGCGAAGGCCAAGAAGTTGGACATATGGTTCGTAGTCCTACACGTTCACGTCAATGTCAAAACGAAGTACGTGGATAGATCACACAATACAATACCGTATGAAGTTGATGCCCCGGTAAACCATGACGAGAAATACCAAAACCGGCAACAGGTATTTTCGATGGAAATCCCAAATGTAACGAGTCGGCGAGGATCGTTACGAAGAATATAATGATTCCACAGTCCTGCGACGACTCCAATGCAAGGGAGAATCAATCAGGGTGATGAGAGGCTTGGAACAAGCTTACGTCGTATATATCATTGTCCTTGTCACCTAGCTTGAACTCGAATGCTAACACAATATCTTGCCACCCAACTCGCCCTTCGTTAGGTTGAGGGGCATCCTTGAGGACCAAAGATTTATCACCCCGGGAGCCATTTCTCTTTTCAGAACGGGACGTTTCGTGTGGAGTATAACGCGAAGCCAGGGTCGCAGTCGCACGCAGCTCCCTACTTGCCATAGAGTATCGATTGTCATACTCTATAGAGGCTGGTTTACGAGCCTAACTTGCCATCGCCAACGCGCGTTCAGAGAAATTATGTAGAGTTGGAATTGTTTGTCCTCAGTGAGGCCTGCCTGCCTAGGATCTTCGTCGAAACCATTGATCCTTCCATCCGTGACAGCGCCGCTTTTCACGAACGGAGGATGTTGTCAAGGTTCTATTGCTGCACAGGAGGAATCACGAATTCCAAAAAGTCTTGAGTAGTTACTTCGGGGATGCAGCGAAGATCTTGCACAACATGTAACCTTTGAGTTTCGAGGGGTGCATTCGAGTAATCGCTTGAGTGTGTTGCACGCGATGTTCGAGGCGTTGGCCCCATACTACCGATGGCGGTGGTCAAGTCGTCGATATTATTTGGGCGAGTCATTGATATTGCTCAGAGTTTGACAATGACCATGACCGTGGCGGTTTTGAACTGTGTGTCGGTTATCTCATGCTTGCATGTTTTTTACTACGAGGTATGGGATAAATACACATCACCACGTATTGCGAACTCAGTTCGTCCCCTTAGATCTTATGTTAAATAGCTTCTATTGGCACAAAAGTACAGCCAAGCAGTTGACGATGAGTGTACTTAAGTAGCAGACACGGAGCAAGAACGCATGCGCGGGAGTGTACGATGGTCGACGGGGAATGGTGGTTAATGGGGTCAAGGAGTGAGGTTATGCTAGGCTCGTTATGAACCGGCTAAGGTAAAAGGAAAGTGGGGAACACACGTGGTGTATTTGATTGCGATGGAGAATAGTATGGTACAGGGGGTGATCGGAACAGCTGCATTGGGACGACGCGAGCACCAACGACCGACCCAAAGATTGTCCAGCGGCCGAGGGAAAAGAGAAGACGTGCGAAGTGATGTGACCGTCACCTAGAATAGCAACATCCATCAGAAATCTGTTCGTGTGAAGACGCAATGAAACGTACCTGACACGGCTTCTAACCATCTGATGGCGGAGAGAAGGGGATGGCAAAACTAAACACGCAAGGCGATCTTGTATGTATAGGAAAGGGCGTAGACAGGTCGTAAAATGTAGAAAGGAATGCAACGATACTTGATACATTGGGTTGCGACTCGAGATGCGAGAGGGTGGTTGATATAGAAGTAAAAGAAAAAATGTGGTGGAATGAGGACAAGGTCTGAAATCGTGCGTTGTGTCCAAGAAAGTCTAGACCAATGTCCGTCACTCCAAGACCAATAATAATGTGTGCGTAAAATAATAAGGTGTGGGCAAGAAGGGAACCGCAGAAAAGGACATTATACGGGCGCAAAGAAATCCAAGAACAACGTGGTGAAAGGTGGATGTTGTTTCGGAAGTAAAAATTACAACCAGGGTAGGTGGAAAGAAAAGGGAAAGGGAGTAGAAGTGGGGAATCATCATCTCGTCGCAACAAAAATTCGAGTCCATTTTGCACAAGCGAGATTGAACTGAAAGAAGTCTAGGAGTCATTGATGTCGAGAGAGATGCGAGATCGGCAATAAATACGCAATGGTCGGTGGATAGGTGATTTGATGGGGTGTCAGTGAGGAAAGTACAACATCCTCGGGCACCATCAGCGTCCGACCCATACGCATTTTTACTGCGGGTTCTATGCGAGAAGCGACCACAGGAAGATGGTGTTGATTACGGGAGACGGAAGCGTTGTGGTAGCCGGGAGTAGACGGCGGCAGCGTGCGCGAGGAGAACGAAGGGCGATGAGCTAATATACAATCTAGTCGTTCTATGCGGGTAGGAGGGGGGTGATTATTCGTGGGCGTGGGCGTGGAAGGGATGGGGAGGAGTACCGCATTGAAGGATCAGGAAGAAAAGGTGAAGGGGTCGATGGGGAGGGAACTATGACACATAACGGGAATGGTAATAATGCTGCAGGCCGTGGTCGCTAACTTGTTGTACACCGACGCCGTGAGGAATAAAGTTGATATGAGACACTTGAAGTTGAGGGATCCGCCTTTTATACACGTTTGCTGATTCGATTGACTGAAATAAAAAGTGGAGAAAATAGGAATTGGGGTTTAGTCGTATATCGGGATGGGCTGTGGATATGCAGACTTGATGAGAGGAATTGAGAAAGGGGCATAGAGGAATTGAAGCAATGTTGATGAATGTACAATGCACGATTGCGAGATTTGGATTGCGGAGCGATGTCGTGGGGTAGATGGGGATGATATAGACCCGGTCGTCCATTTTGATACATTGATGACGCCGGCGAGCTAACCGCCCGCTCCTGTGCAGCTAGCTGACACTAGAGATATAACGCGGGGATGGATGCGTTGGTATGGGTGATGTCCTGGAGCGCTAATAACCGTAACCGTAGAGTAAGACCTGAAAGAAGAGAAAACAAGTGGTACGCCTCAGGAACCACACTGCGGAAACCCAAGAGAGAGGAAGACTAAAAACACAGAAGTAATCGACTCGAACCGGTAATGGCCGGTTGAGGATTAGGTCATGCCTTGCACCGCGTTGTGTACAATGTCGCGGCGAACCCAAAAGGTGGAGGTGAATAAAGTCAATAAGTTAGTGATTATTGAAGTGGTGGGTGTGGGTTCGTTGATTAATGCAAGGTTGACGGGATGGATAGCGAAGGTATGATGACTTGAAGTCCTCTAACTCTAGTGGTCTGAAGAAGAGGAACGTGAGCCATGAGTCAAAAGCAAGGGTCGCGCTGATGATAGACTAACCTCTACAGTATGCTGGGGTATACCATTACTTTCAAAAGAACGTGGGGTGGGCCGCAATTAAAATGCGGGGGGTGGGAGCTCCTCGGGACTGGGTGAGTTTTGGAAGAGTGAACTGGCGAAGTATCCCTCGACCATTTCCGACAACTCAAGGCCATCTCGTTTGGCAGCAGCAGCAGCAGCGAGACGTAGACCAACACTTCCAGGCCGGGGCGCAAGCAAACCGAACAGAGTTTGTTTGAGCTCGTCAGACGGAGTGGACTCCTCATCTGAGGACATTTGGAATACGCCCATACCCTCGCTGGGAGCACGGCGGTGCTTCCTCGAGTGAGAGGCAGGAGCACGCATAACTGGGGTGGGGGAAGGCGTCGTGTTGAATGGGAAGAATGCCGCCGTTGAGCTGGAAAGGGGAGCAGTACGAGGTCCGTCGTCGAATTGACTCGATTTCGCCGGCCGGGAGCGCACAGGGGTGACAGGTGTGCTGCTCAACTCCGAGGCGTCAGAATCGTCGGCATCGGATACATCGCCCATGTCGTCACAAACGGGGAATCCGTTGTTGAGCGTCGCTGATCGTCGGGGTCCTGGGCGATAAGATGGCCTCTTTGTTGGCATGTGCGACGGGACGGGGTCTGATCGGGAGACGAACACAGGCCTGGACGCATGGCTATTTAGAGGAACATCGACTGCCTTAGTCTTCGTGGGCGCAATGGGAGTGGGCTCAAGCGAGAACGACGGAATCGGTTGGCGGCGCTTGGCAAGCTGCCCGGAAGGTCTAGGTGCGAGAGATGGCGTCGGGCGCACGGTCTTCGGTTGAAAATCGTCGGAAAATGGGTCGAATGGGTTGGAGTTGGTGATCGTATTGTCACCCGAGGAAGTCAAGGGGGTTACCTCTGCCTGCGGAGGTTGAACAGGAGGAGATGGTTGGCGGGTGTGGTTTCGTCGTCCATGAACGGGGGATTGTGATGCACTAACGGACATTTTTTAGCATTCTAACAAGAGGTCTGTTTGCAGCACCATCAGCATACCTTCTGCCTGCCTTATCTTTGGACGCTTTGACTGGGCGGCCCCTCAGTGACTGGGCTTGACTCCTCTCAGGCGTGGTGGGGGCGACTTTCTCAACGACTGGCTTTTGCAATTGAGGCGATGCATGGTTAAGCTGGGGCGATCGTTGGCTTGCCGCCGTCGTAGTTGAAGCAGGAACCGGCTTGAACTTGGGCGCTGAGCGCTGCTGGGAGCGAAGGTTAGTCTGATGCTGTTGGGGGCGCTGGGGCGAAGGTCGAGAAGGTTTTGAGAGCGAGAGGAGTCCTGGAGTCCTGGTCGGCTGTACAACGACGGTTGGCGGTGCCGAAGGATGCCTGCGGTGGTGTGTTGCGGCCAAATGGGAGGACAAATTGATTGTTGGCGGTTTCTGGAAGAGCATCATAATTAAGCGGGATGTCGGGGACGTGGAGGAAGGGGTGTTGAGGAACGTCGAGGACGGCGAGGGCGAGGGATGCTGGAATTTGTACACGAGGCAGAGGATCTAAGGTAACAGAGGGAAAGGACTTTTGATGTTCCCATGCCAGCCCCTTCAAATCCATTCCCGGGTGGCGTTCTGGCAGCCATTTTCATTCTCCGACGCAGCCATTTCCGGCGTAGTCCGATAAACCACATGCTCGCAAGTGTGACCACTCCGTCACTACCGCCGCACCATTTTGGGATGGTTACGGTAATAGGGTCTGGCCTGGAGGTAGATCGAGAGCCATTGAATGGTTTAGAAGGAAAGGGGTCGTTCGCACGCGAAGGGTATAAGCTTTCGGAGGTTCTAAGATTCTAAATGGATAAAGTTGGGGGGCCTAGTCAGCTGCCACAGAACTGCACAAATAAAGCAGCTGTTGGGGGGCGAGGCAATTGAAGCTGCCAGACGCGAGGCAGAAGCAAATGATGCGAGATCTCACAACCACCCATGTTACATAGGGTGCACGGTGGAACTAGGGGCTGATCCCAGGACCAACAAAATCTGATGCACCAACTAGTGGTGTAGACGTATCGGACAATAGCACAATTGAAACAGTCATTATGGTTGGCAACCAAGTCACAAACATTGATGAGTACAATAGATGAACGGAATCGACGCCCAGCTTTGAATGATGGGCATGAGAGAGCGAGAAGCATTCATGAGAACTGCACAGGATTTACCCATGCATGACTTACCACTGGTCAGGTCTCTTTTGGGGAATTGATGACTTCCGATAGGGCTCCTGGCACTCCTTCTCTAGTCACCGTCACATATCGACTCTCCGCCCTCCTGACCTACTCCTGAGTATACTGAAGAGTAACATATAACATATGAAGATCGCATCCTGCGAACAGCAGTACCTTGCTTGCCCACTGGGGAGTTTTTGAGGACAGAGAGGTTATTCAACTGGCACTGTTGAGATTGCACTTCTCGAAATACGAGGCACTGTCCTCCGCCTTTAATGACACCCACTCCGTACGAGGTTGGACAGAGTCAACCAGGTGGGCCCTTCCCATACGACGTCCGCGCCGAGGTAAGTAGATTGGTCAGTAGCGCTGAGGTAGATGAGAATCAGGATTTAAATACAAGACAAATCCTTAGGCAGGTCAGAACTTGAAAACACACGAGACTGAGATTCCATGCGTTGAGAGTGAAGCATTGTGCATTGTATAAGAAGGGAATTCACGCGTCGAGTTTGCGACGGGCAATTGCATAGTAGAATGTATGAACATTGTAGTATCTGAGCCTCGATAAAGAAGTCAGTCACATCACGCAAGGACCCCGACTTCCTAAAGGACTTAACCACGCCTGTAAACCGTACCCAGGAGAAGAGTTGGGAGCAACTACATCCATCAGTCACGAGCACGATAACCAAGTTCTCCGTGTTATCATTAAGACAGGGTCTGGGACATACCAGCCGTAACAAGAGATCCCAGACATTAAGATAACCCACTTGCAGCGCACGACCACAGCCTTGCGATCGGCTTTCCCATGCCCATACTCGGGAAGCACTCTGTCTCACTGCCATGGACGCGGTCAAAGCGGCTCCATGGCTCCTATTCTCCGATATCGTCGACTCAATGCAAGGAAGTTTTTGCATCGGTGACTAACGGAATATTTGCAAGCTCTCACCCCGTGCACGTTGTGAGTAGCTTAGCTTAACGCCTCTGGCAGAAACAGAAACAGAAAATAATCGGCGTTTCATCTGGGCGCGGATATGTTGCCGGGATCCGGAAGCCAAAGCGGATTTACATTCGCCTCCGACGCTTGGTGATTTCGTTCGGTCTACGCAGCCGATGTCATGTAAGTAGTTGTCCGAGCTGCGCCGCCAGCCAGTCGACTTACGATACGGGTGATGCATGATGGTCACTAGCGCTGCTCGTGCTTCCGTTGGTGATGACTAGATGAAACCACTGACTAGTCGGGCTAATGAGCGAGCCGTCGTCAGCCCTCGCCACACGCATCATCTCGAACGTCGATTCGCTACTCGGTGGGATGGTTCCATTTGGGCCGTCACTTCAAATGCGCCGCGAACCACACTACAAGATCTCTAGAATCTCACTAATATACGCCTTGGACTAGACACGCGTAGTATATGCAGTACTCGAGCTATACGTGCCTCTTGGATCTTCCTCGCAAGTGTGCCTCATTCTGAGCTAGTCGACGCCACCACCGTGGAACATCATGGTATTGCTGTGTAGTCTCACCGAGTCTAATCCGCCTGAATACAGCTAGAAGCCTAGACGTCGATGCAGATAACAAATAGCTCATGTGCTTGAATCCAACAAACACTACGCCTACATCGCGACCGCCACTCATCCAATCGTTTCAACTCCCTATTATCTGAGACCTCTCAGAAAGCGGAATCAAGGGTAACGGAAACGAAAGGGACTCGACACCTACACCCGCGTACACGTTGCTTCGAGTGCCAGCTGGAATCAACGTGAAATTCTCTTTCAGTTTTCACCTTCCCAGTCACGTTCTAAACCGAATTCCGAAAATCCCAACACAATCCAATGTCGGAATATTTCAACGGTCCAACGCTTGATAATAACGAGTAATGGTCGCTACAGCCAACAATACAAGGCCGGCAATGACTCGAGCGAGGGATCGTTCGAGGATGTAAGCTGCGTCGTAATTCATCGATCGTCGTCCTGACTCCGGAGTCCGACGACTGTCTACCCGTAAAGGGAATTGCCTAACACGGTAATTTTGCGCACCTTCAGACTTCTCCGCTGCGCCCACGCCCACACAACCCTTGCGTGGCACAATGGCCACTCACAATGGATTCCGTACCAAGCAGTCTGGAGCGCACCGTGAGTCCCATGGCAAGATGACGAGGACCCACCTCCTTGTTCACCGAGCGTTCCCGCCCTCAATTTCGGCTATTGCGTGCTTCCAAGCTTCTTCTTCCCCTTATGAGTTCTCCCTTCTCCACGATTCAGGAATCAGGCATCAGAATGCTCAGCGCGGTAACCGGTTGACCCACCCAGAACTCCATATCCAGACATTGTTCGCAAATGAAAACAATGATGCCATGTTGTGCCAGCTATAATGGGCGAGCTAAGCGTTACGCATCGTGCGTGGAACAATGGTATACTCGAGCTGCTGCTGCGCAGAGCCCAGACAATTACTTAGACGAACCTACGGTTACGGCGTTGCCTACCCCGCCTAGGATGGGCAAAATATCTGAGCATCTGAGCTAAGTGTCTAAACTATCACGAAGTGGATTGATTCCGACGCAGGGCTGCGTACACGAACAAGTGTCCTGATAAATTATCATTAATTACACGCCGGAGCCGCCCTGCCTACGGTCTGAGCACTGAGCACTCCCTTCTTGAGTTTCGGTTCCCCAGCTGTCATTCGACGAACAATTGGAGCCTGGGACCCACTCATACACATACAACAATGGCGAACGCAGCACATAAGATCTAGTATGCACGCCTGGCCCTTGGGTTGGTGACCATCACTTCGAAAGCTGGAACTTCTTCACAAGCGTTTCCAGCGCGACATGCGAACAATGGATACATCAACAAGCATCAACCTGGTCCGTTTCAACCAGCTGCCACAACGGTGTATGTGCGTATACTGTACGTACAATAGTATGATCGCTGTAACTGACCCCGGCCTCGAAAGGTTGAATGAATATTGGATTTCGGTTGGCGTCGCTACTCGCCGATGGCGCCATTACATATTCTCATCTCATTTCCCGAGTGTCGATCACCGAGTCCTGAGCGTCGGTCGATCGATCGTCTCATTTACTTACACGAACGGTGCTCATGTTACCCCTTATCAAGAGGGTAACGAATCCCAAGTCGTACTCCTCGTGGTTGAAGCAATGGCCAACTCTTACGATGCGACAATCTGTAGCGGACACACACGGGGATCATGATGATTTACAATAACATGATCTTCCGCATCTCGCACCCGTTCGTTAGCAACATCATGGCGAATCAAACATACAGTGATACACCGACACGGTGTACGCACCCAACCCAGCGGATTGGTGTATCAGGAATGTTGAGGGAATGAACGTGAACATCGTGGTTACCGCCAGGCAACAGCGTGATTGTAATGATCAGGCGCCTCGATGCGTAGGCGTAGAACTACGAATATGTCAAGCTCTATCCTGATGCCTCTTCGACGTCCATCTGATTATCTGCCGTGATGGCCTATGGTAGGTCGCATGAAATACCATTCCGCCAGTCCAGCTTGACCAACGGCACTAGCTGTGGTAGTGAGATCTATTCCGTGGAGGCGAGGTGATGAAGCTGCTCCAAGGGGCTGTCCTGGATAAAGATAGAGATAGACTCTATCCATTCCTCACCATGAAAACAGCGGATAAGGGTACTGGGGATAGCCCAGCTGACGCGTGTCACTTACGGTAATAATCTTGTTGGTGTATGAGTGCATGGCAATCTTCTTGACGATGATACGATGATAAACGCTTTACCGTCTACATCTCCTTGAGCGGTTTCCTGGGGTATCAGAAGAGCCACCGTCAACAAGGTTTCATCCGCTGGTCCTGCATTGTCACAACAAACTATGCACTTCCTCAACGGCCATCCATGCCAAGCTTCCCAGGAGGGATCCAGGATCAACTCAGCCGCGGCGTTATTATTGTCCTACAACGTACTTCATCTGTGCACACTGCACAAGGTCAGACGTGGCCGTATTGAAGATGCTCAATCGATGTCGAGGCCGGCAGATGCCAAATACCTTCTTGGATTAAGCTCGCCACTTCGAATTCGTGGTGCCTGTGGAATTGTGTGGGGTGGGGCTAAGGTGGTGGTGGAGCTTTCCTAACGCCGCCAGTCCTGAGGCTGTTCGCGTTTGCATCTTTCTGCCCCAAGAATCCCACCACATCTGACCAATCATCGGAGAGAAGCTCCATGTTTATGGCTGATGGACGGATTTGTGCTCTAGAAGCAATTGAAGCACAGCATGCTCGGATAACAGGTCCAGGACTGTCGTAATGCATAGTTCGAGGAGACTTCGAAACACAGCAGTTATGACCCACCTAGGACGCCTAATAATAGTGACCAGTGATGGTGTTTTGTTTGTCTGTATAGCTTGATGTTCCGCAGTCTAGTAGCTTGATCAGTGCCGCAGAGAATGCTCGATTGCAGTGGAGACAACAGCGCTTCTAGCTGTGCCGGAGTCCCAGCGATCAGAGTATTTGCGTACTATGTAAGTTAGTGGTATCTTGTGACATGGATATCATTCCGAACAGACCTCGATCGTATAACCCGCGTAATCTTCACGTTCGGTATGAATCTCTGAAGTTCCAGCATCAAGAACGTCATGCCCATATGCTTGAGCTTGTCCGTGTTCCTATGTTACCTTCCATTCACAAATCATCACCGCTCGCAGTCATACGTATATTATGGACCATGAATCATAGACTCGCCTTTAACTGTGACAGTCAACCTTCCATGTTGACGTTCATTGCGGGCGACTCGTTGCACGCGACACGCATTCTATCGAAGGGACACAGGAACCCAGCTCTTATCGCTGCCTTTCCACAGGCACACACCTTCGAGTGTTAGGTACCCGTCGGTCGCGACACGTTCTTGACATAAACTGGCAACAACATGTGAGATGGGCGGGACCTTATGGTAGTGTCCGCCCGTGCCTCACGACACCATTCCTTCTGCCATTCTACCATGACCAGAAAGCGGCTGCACATATCGTTCCTCGCAACGGCGTGGCTGCCACAGGATATCGATATTCATGTTCCTAGGTACAAGGTACCTACTACGATGAGCAATTCAGCTCTATTCAGCCTCGTTCGCAGTGAGGATGCAATGTAAAGTTTCCATTTACGAAGGCTCGAAGAAGCCGGAACACTCGCAGTTCAAAGTTCAAGCTTGGTTCCTTGTTGATTCCATTCCATTCGATTGACTACGGATCATGTGCATGAGTTACTAAGAGTGAGGCTTTGCGAGGCTTTCATTACCGGAGACTGTCGCCGTCTTGCCTAAAGCCTCAATATGCTTTGAGAATATCACAGTATCCGCAGGATGTCAGAAATAAAAGTCGAGTCTCCAAAGGATAATCTTGTTTTGAAAGCGGAGCTCAAGTATGAGCCGGAAATGGTGATGGTGTTCGGACGCTGAGCCTGTGTTGCAGACGTACTCGGAGGTGTCAAGCTCCAGAGGTACCGTTATGTACGATTGGGTGTGAGATAAGTGGCTGGTAAGGTTTCCAAACTTTCGAGCTTGTCGAATCTGATCGCGCCGCTCAGAGAAGTACTTTCCATTGTTATCATTGACCTTGAGGAGCGCACCGATCTTCGTGCGGTGTCGGGATCTCACCGCTTCAACTTCAGCCCAGGAACCGCGCCCAATCGACCTCAGTACCTTACGCCCTTGCCAAAGGGTTTTGGATGATGGAAATGCCGAAATGTGCCGAAACTCGCTCTCCGAAATGGGGAAGTTCGTGACGCCATCCTCATCAGCGAAGATTCTACGTACCACAGCATTTCTGTTGGAACCCACGGGTGGATTAAAGGTTTTGCGGAGGCTTCGAGTTGAGGGAACGCTACTCAAACGCTACTGGAGTATTGCGGCGGATTTGAGAGCGTACGCAGCCTGGACTTCCGAAGGTTGATCAAACTGCAGTGCGTATGCAAAGTAAATTATGTGCATTCAAAGTCCAAGTAAAGCAAAGGTTTAAGCTATCTTCATAGCGTCCGCCAGATCTACTAATACTTATCATACCGGAGCCGTATATATTATTGTTGGCGATTAGGAACTTTGAGGATTGGCAAAATGGCGAGATAGTTGTGTCAAGCGACTGATTATGGGTTTATGGCATACGCCACAGTCTACCGTCTATGGAGCAAGCAGCATCTTCCTTGGGTCTTCAATGTAGTCGCGGACTTTCACTATAAAAACAAAGAACCCAAACCGTGTTAGCATCAACGGTGTAATTGAATGATGTGAACAGAAGGCAAGAAAGAAAAGGCAAGATGCAGGAATGGGCCGACATCTCGGAGCCTGTAATGATAGGCAAAAGCTGGGGATGACGGAGTAAAAGCACCGTCACTTGATAACATATGAACCCCATAATGCCACTGGGTTGCTCCGAAGGATCGGAATCGAAGTGCCCCTGTTGACGAGGGGCCAAAGCTCCGTTGTTCGTCGACTCCAAGTGCTTGCGCAGAAGAGGTAACCATCGAACCCCACGTATCAACCGTCAAAGCCAGGTAGCCATGGCACGAACGGGACAAGGCAAAGAGGAAAAGTAAAGAGATAGAGATGGGGTTGCGATGGGGGATTTCGAAAGGCGTCGATGGAGACGTCGATGGAGACGTGAAATAGGCGAAATACGTACCCAGGAAAGTGACTGCTTCTCTTCCATCCAATAGTCGATGGTCGTAAGTCAAGGCTACAACCATGATGGGTCTGATGACGATCTGTCCGTTCACTACGACCGGTTTGTCCTTGATGGCGTGCATGCCTACGGAGGTGCCGGTCATCAAGCTAACAGATGGAAGAGTGAAGTGAACGTACCAAGGACAGCAGCTTGTGGCAAGTTGATGATGGGTGTGCCATACAGAGAGCCGAAGACGCCGCCGTTGGAGCTTTGGGCGCGAGTTAATGGCTGGATCAGGCGGAGAGCATTGCGACTCACATGGTGAAGGTTCCACCAGCCATGTCTTCGAGCGTCAACTTACCGTCCCTGGCCTGAAGTCACACATTCAGTCCCAGACCACGGACTCGCGAAAAAATGACGACACATACCTTCTTGCCTACTGCTGCGATCTCCTTCTCAATTTGGATCAAGCTCATCCCCTCTGCGTTTCTCAACACAGGCGTGACCAGACCCTTTGGCGTGGCGACGGCGACGCTCAGGTCAACATAGTCGCGATACACGATTTCATCGCCCTCGATGGAGGCGTTCGCTGCTGGGACCTCCTTCAACGCCAATGTGCAGGCTTTCGTGAAGGCGGACATGAACCCGAACTTGATATCGTGTTCTTTTTGGATGCTGTCCTTGTATTTTGACCGCATCTCCATGAGCGAGGACATGTCGATTTCGTTGAAAGTCGTCAGAGAGGCAGCGGCGTTTTGTGACTCCTTGAGGCGCTCCGAGATCCGTAGACGCATACGCGACATTTTAATCTACGCGACATGGCGGCGTCAGTCAGTCCATATTGAACGGTAGAAACGGACGCACCCGTGTCTCGTTGCGGCTGCCGGGTACAGACACTGGTGCAGGGGAGCTGTCCTTGTCCTTCTTGCTCTTCTCTGACGCCTTCTCCACATCCTTTTTGCTCTCTTTGGGAGCTTCAGAAGAAGGTTGTGTGTCGCTCTTCGATGGTGGCGGCGGTGCGGGTGTCCCCTTCTCAACTTGCTGGTCCTTAGGCTCTTCGGAATCTTTGACGCTGCTCGCTTCCGATGCCTCTTTACCGCTTTCGCTAGAAGACTGTTCCTGAGGGACGGGGGATGCTGCGTATCTACGGTTAGCACATACGCAAATCGAAATTAAGACACGTACATGCACCACCTTCACCCGGCTCAATGATGAACAGGTCCTGCCCTACAGTCACAGTGTCCTCTTCGTTTGCGAGGAACTTAACGATCTTGCCCGCCATGGGGGCGTTGACGGAGACATCAATCTACCTCGCGCGTCAGTCGAGGCCCGGTATCGGAGCTTTCGAGCTCACTTTGTCGGTCTCAATTGTGGCAATCTCTTCGTCAGCTGAAACTGTGTCTCCGACTTGTTTTGACCAACTCTTCAGCGTTCCCTCTGATATTGATTCAGCCATCTGCGGTACCTTGACCGTTTCGGCTATGAGAGGCCTATGAGCATCGCAGTGTGTTGTATTCGGTGTGATTACCTTGAATTAACCGCGTCGAGTGGAACTGGGCTCGTTGTGCTGCCATTCCAGCGAGCTTCCTGAGTGAAATCGGTTGGAAAAGCAGTTTACGGAGTTCGTCACACTTACCATGCTCGAGGCGTAGAGTGCAGTAGCCCACGGCTACGTGCAACGGCGATAATTTGTCTCGAAAGCATCAATAAAACGAGAAATCCAAGGGTGACGTAGAAGTTTGAAATTTGAAGCGTAGTAACAACAGAAACAACAACATTTGTGACTGTGAGAAGATTACTGTGACCGTGCGAAGACTTTCCGTTTGTTCCGTTATCTGGTTCGGGACGACAGACGGAGTAAGAGTCCGAGGAACCGTGACAGAACGGATGAGCGAGGTGAACCAATGAAATCGATGACATTGCGTCCATACAGCCTTTTAACGTCCATCGGGGTTCCGTCCATAGAATAATTGTCAGTTCATCGTTCACCTTTATACCTAGTAACAGGCTGGTAGGATATTATTGCTTGAAGTCCGAGTCCATGCTCTTTTTGAGAGTATGACGAGAGTGAAAGTATATTACTCTTGAGTTGACCTTGCTTGAACAATGACAATATTCAGGGATTCGTGCGGTCCTTGCAATGTTCTGTTGGATTCTGACAATCTAGGCGGTACAGGGGTTACAGGGGTTCACGTGACTACATAGATAGTCCGCGCGTGCATGTATACTTTTTCTTCATGCGTTTGTGGAGTCCCAGCCAAACGCAATACATACCTGCTTGCTCACTCGGAATTCGCGCGACCTCGCCAGCTTATTTCAACATGTTCTTGCCTCACCATGAACATCTGAGACTACCAACAGTGTCGTTGATAGACAGTCTGCAGAAGCCACCGTGTCCACTAACCATGAGTAAATATCACTGTTGTTACGATGCCAGCTTTCTATATTGTGATACAAGTGCTCTGTCAACAAGGTTACTTAGATTCGAACTTCAGATAGAAGAAGAATACTCACCCTTTCTCTCCTTGACCAAGCGCGAATCACATAAGTGCGATTTACTTGACTTGTTAATTTCCTTCGTGCTCTCAGGAGGTAAAAGGGGTGGTGAAAGGGGCTATTCTTAAAATTCAAACGTTCTTGAAGGAGACCTTTGTGTTGGAAGGTCACCGTCCGATGAGATACCAGATACCTTGACGGTGTATCAGTATTCCGCTGGCATTCGTTGATGAAGAAAGGTAGTACTTCCATCACGCATCAACACCACGGCTCACAACATGCGCCGACGCGTGAACACGGTAGAAGCAACGATGAACGCGGAGATACATGCTGCCTACTTTGTCCGCCTGTTTTCAGCGCCGCGCAGTAAGGGCTGCTTTGCTTCCGGCCCCGACCACTCCCTGACCGCGACGTTACTGTAATATTGTGCCAGGCGGTAATGTGCCCTCTTTCAGCGATCCTCGCTGCTTCCTTCCTGCTTTCATGAACGATTGGGTGGTGGGACAGTGAGGACGCATGGACGAGTGGACGTTAACGTTCAGCGCTCAGCTCTAAGCGATATGCGACCGCCAGGCTAAACCACGTCGCCTGATTGTGCCCGCTCGCATGCCGACATTACATGCATGCAGAATCATGGGTCTGAAGGAACCGCGATGCCTGAGGCTTGAAGGTACAGCGGTATTTGTGGTTTGTGGTCTCTGGATTCTACTCTGTCAAGGACCTTTCACTGTCCGGCATCAACCGTGATGCAAGTTTTGCTTGAGGAAGCACTAGTGCTGATACGAACATGAGGAGGTCCACCAAGTGATCGACCGGCGAAATCTGTGTGGAATTTTCCAAATCCGCCCTTATGGAGTTTCGCCACGATGGTACCACGAACCTGAGGCTCGAGTGATGGCCTTTACTGGCCTTCCATTGTAATAAATTCACTTTACATATCATTCACGGTTACCTTGAGCGCTTTCACCTGGGATGACACCACGCCGTACGTTTATTTTAACTTCTGAACCGTAACTTTGTCATTGACCCTCTTTGCAGCGCAACTACCTCCCCTTGCGCCCACCGACCCCATCATGGAGGCCAATACGACCCCCTTACGACAGGCAACGAGCTCCAACCGGAGAGAGACGATAATGAGTTTGGTAGAGATGTTATTGCGAGGAGATGAGGCCAGCATGCCAGGTATGCAATGCTTTTCTTGGTACTCTTGGAGATGAAAGATCTTCAACCCGGAATGATAGGTTTGAATTCACAGCCAAACTTTGAGGATGATCGTGATGTCCGTGAGTGAAGTTATTTGAGACATGCGGGCATATGCATTCAATGGGGGATGTAGCGACTGTGGACGAGCACCATCAAGTCTTGGGAGCGGAGACGTTCAACAAATTCCAAAAGTACGCGCGGTTTTCATACTCTGGTGCAGTTTTGCTGATGCGCAGCAAGACGAATCCTGAATTTGGATAAGGAGGTGCGCAATTGAACGCGTCGGCCCGTTTGACCACGCAACTGATCATATATTCGTTTCAGCTTCGCAATTTCGCCAATGCCGCGCGGCAACTTGGAAGCTCTGTGGCCATACTCTCGTCGGCATTCCACCTGCGTGTCCGGATAGCGCAGATACTTTTCCTGTTTAGGGAGAACGCCGCCGACCTATTTCCACGCAAGATAGCACGAAAGGAACGAGAGACGCCGATTAATCCAAACCACAAGCTCCTTCAGCGGGGCCGGCGTCTCACGAAGCGCTATAAGCCTCCGCCGAACGTCGCTCGTCCAATCATCAAAGAAGATTTAGATGTTGAAGATTTCCCTCATCAGCTGGAGAGTTTGGGGGTGGATGTTACAACATTTCTGGATTGTTTGAACGAATTCCCAGAGTTCACCGACGAAGCAGTCAACGCTAGTATTCTATCATTCGAAGCAGATTTGAAGGTGTGTCTTGGACAGTATGTTTACCAGGCTGTTCAGCTCACGAAAATCAGTACTGGGCTTCCTGTCTGAGAGAATACCAGGGTATGTCCTCTATGCAAGTCATGCTATCTACCGTACTGATCAGTGTCACAGGCCAGTTCAAGTTCCCAGCAGTACAGCGGTATATCCATGACCTAGCATCCGAAATGGGCGAACATATGGACAGCATAACTGCCACGCTATCGATGTTTATCGAGATCGGTACGCAAGCCTTACTTATCGTGAACTCCAGTGGTAACAACCCAGTAGGTGTACCCACCATTCGATTTGCGCAGAAGCACGGAGCTACGAATCTTCTGAACCTATCAACAGTAGCGACCTTCTTCTCTGCGGTGACGGCGACGACATTGCAATTCTCTTATGAGTTGCCTTCAGAGGACCCCGTAGCAGTCTCAGTCAATTGCTTTTGGTTCCTCAGTATGGTCTTCAGCATTGCTGCGGCTGTCAACAGTTTACTTGGGCTCACATGGAAGCAAGCTATGTAGTGAGTGTGATGCATGGATGCTTCGGTTCTGCCCACTGACACAGGTAAATCTTAGTCGTTCTCCCGGCCACCGAGTACCCTGGTGGGTGCTGATCTGGATCAAGCGTTCGCCTTTGGTATTCTTGGTTATGTCTGTGGCCTGCTTTTCAATTGGCCTGTGCTGTTTCGCGTATGCGTCAAAACAAGTGAGTGTCATCCTCCTCGTGGTAATGGGCTTAGTCTCTGATGGTTTGTAGGCGCATGTTACTTCGACTATAACTACCGTGTTCACTGCTATCACCTCCTTTGGCCTGATGGCTGTATCGGCCTGGTTCGCCTCCGAGCGATGGATTTTCCTGCGGCACAAAGGCAGAAAGTGGCTGGGGGATGTCTTGATCGAAGTCAGAGATCAGTTCTACCAAGCTCCCGGTGTCGTACCTGTACGCAAAGTATTCAAAGGAATCAGAGTCCGCATAAGACGTGCGGGCTCAGCCCTTAGGCGCGTCAGTGAAAAGACCATAACCAAACTGTCCATGGCAAGCCAGACGAGCATAGCGGGTGACGGTGCGGACGATGTCGAAGGCGGTTCCCTACCTACTGTACATACTCATCAACGTGCACTATCGCCCACGAGCCATCCGCAGCGCACATACTACTCCTCAACGCGGACGTCTAACGACAACAACAATACCAGCCCGATCACGGAGAAGCCATTTACGAGTTCCCCGTTCCAATCCCCTACACTGTCGGAGAAGAATGGTGTGGTGACGACGCCTACGGATGGCACGCTGGCTCCTCCAACATCACCCGCATCGCTTGACGCGCCGTCTCGGGGGAAGCAACTCTGGAGGAATGCTTTAAGGACGGTGAAAATGAAATCCGCCATGTCGGCAGCGACGATGGGGCCAATGCCTCGGGCCACACCACATCGACAACGCACGGCCTCGTCGGGTGGAGGCTCAGGTACTGGTGGGAAATTCAATATGATGCACGAACAGATGAAGCATCCCATCCTCATGCGCTCGAGGCTTGCGAGTTTGGTGCCGAAGCTGAAATGTTTGGCACCACTCCAGGATTTGGCTGCTCATCAAGCATTAGTTCGCCATTTGCAGTTCTCACCTGACGGAAAATACCTTGCTACTTCAAGGTGAGAGCGATACGTCTCGACACCGTCGTTTTGTGCTCACTATACCTTTCTCTAGTTGGGATCGAACATCAATCATCTTCCGTGTCGCTGTAAGACACCTGATTCAGCTTTCACGCCGTATCTAATCTGAGCATAGGATCCAACCAATAACCCGCGAGTACTTGCTCATCCAAAAGGCTTCGTTGGACAAGTAGCTTGGTTAGCGTCACCCAACGCTCGTTATCCTCTTAGATTGATCAGAGAAACAGGTCCCCTAACGGAAACTTGCTGTTGACCAAGTTGACGAGCGGTATCAAAGTCTGGACGGAGGTGAATTATGAATTACAGTGCTTGGCAGAGCGAGTCCTCATACCTTTTGCCGACCTTTAGGACGGGGTCTGCAAGAAGACCATCGATAGAAACACTATGGTAGAGTCTATCACTTGGTGTCCCGACGGCAAATGTGAGTATACTCTGGGCTTATTGGCGGTCACTATTCAATGCGCATTCAGCATTCATGTCGGTGGAAAGTAGCGAGGTCGTGAAATTGGTAAGTTCCCTGTTTCTGTCATTTTCCTTCGACTTTGTCTGATCGAGTCTATTCAAAGAATCTACAAGGAACCGTAAGTGCCCTTCTGCTCTAGGAGCTTCTCACTACCAATTTCCATCAGATTCTCGACACGTATCACTTCGGAAACATGAAACTGCATGATGTCGGCGTCACACAGGATAGTATCCGACTCATAGGTGTTGGTCCCCTACTTCAATCGCCCACCGGCTTGAGCCCAAGTAAATCCAGGGTAGAAAAACGACTCGTCGGTACGTACCTCTCATCGTTCGTCCGCTTACGCCGTTGCTCATGCAACTTTTAGTCTACAACATGCAGACGCAGTCGATTGAAAAGTAGGGCGTTCGCTTCCTAGTTAATTTGCGACAATGAACAACTGACTATGTCTAGCCAAACACCTGTGTTCAACGAGGTCCGGGATATCACGCTCTCTTATAATGCCAAACACGGCACCGTCGCATTGATAAGTTACGAGAACAAGGTCGGCCCAGAGACTACTTCATCTATGCACGAGTCCTCTCATATCATCTAGGCACCTCCTCAACTTTGGCGATTGAAAATGATCAAGGACAGGGACAATACATCAGTCGTCACCGCAAGGCTCGAGCTCAGGTGAGATCAGTAGGCATTTTGTAAATGAGGTTGAATACCTATGCCGTGCCAGACACACATACATGCCTAAATGTCCTGTCGATTTTGCTGGTCCAAGTTATTTCGGTGGCAAGAAAGACGAGCTCGTACTGTGTGCTGGGAAAGGTAGTCTATTCGATTATGAGATTACCCCATGTACTAATATGTTTGCTCTAGCGGGGGACATCCATATATGGGACTCGGAATCTGGCTCGCTGCTCCACCATGTTCGTGCTCAAGTCCTCGGCGGCGATTTGACGTGCATAGCTTGGAACCATGCTGCTGACGATCCCTTCATGTTTGCTACGGGAAGCCACGATGGCGCGGTTCGACTCTGGTCTCAACATCCTGAGGCTCCTCTGGATCAAGAGCATCTCCCTGACGATGACTATGACACCAGACTAATGGACGGCACATTACCTCGCAGCTCTTCCCCTCTTGAGTTCGACCTGGAACGCCCGGATAGCCAAGCTACACATCACGACTACGACAGTCAATACACGTTTGATAGTGCATTCCCACTCAACGATTACGGCAACCTTCCGAATGGGTCTGGGCACGTCGCATATGGAAGCGAGCTTTCCCAACAATCTAGGGAACGTATGGTCGCCTTCGCGCCAGCGCCAGCCAATGGTCCTCCTACACGATCCGCGACTTTGGATTGAGTCCATGCATGAAAAAGTATGATAATGCACATTTACGAAGACTTGGAGACGGTATAAATATTGCTCTGAACGATATGCACTGATGATTTACAAGGATTTATGTATCACTATGGATGTATATATGTGCGGCCAAAGAGGCTCGAATCATAAAAGCACGGGGTATTGGGCTACCTAGTCCTACGTTTCTTTAGCACAAGAGCCTATCCTGGACAATGCGTCAATATGACCTTGTGAGTGATTAAGAACTGCCTATATCTGACTCATGTATGATTATTGTCAGAACTGCAAATACAGTTGTATAAGCGGGAAACGTTTGAGTAAAACCTAGGCCTAAGTGCTAAGTACCCGAAGCTGCTGAATGCGCGTGACTACGGCAGACAAGGCATGAGAATCCGAGACACCTTCCATATGATGGATTACGGCCCATTACTACCTCTTCTTGCCGCTAGGATGGTCGCTTTGTGCTTTCCGGCGGGCCGAAGGGACAACCTCGGGGTCGTGACGAGAAGTACTTCTTGCTTCGCATCCATGGCCCGCGCGAACTGGGTATCCCCAACTACAACTATATATAACATCCCAATCCCTGGAATCCGCTCGGTAAAATATCATGCCTCGCTTCACCCTCTTCGCTCTAACTTTGACCTGCCTGTCAATTTCTAGTACGTTGGTCTCAGCACGGCCTTCATCTTATGCCGTCTGGGCAGCGGACTCGGCCATCAAACGCGGTCAAGGCAATGGACTAGACTCCAGCGGGAAGGCGTCGGTATCCTATGAGCACGGGGAATTGCAATGGGGGCTACGACTACTTTTCGAAAGGACTGGTAATCAAACCTATTACAACTATATTCAGAAGGGAGCCGAAAACATTGTGTTCCCGAATGGGACGGTCCATGGAAACTACAAGTGGGTTACCCAACTCTGACTGTCAACTACAACCTGATTGTCCCATATCCGTTAGGCTTTCTGATTTTTCGTTAGACCCTGTCAGGTGATTGAACTTCGCAACATACTTGCAATGATTATCTGAAGGCAAAGTCTAGGACTGGACCGACCTTCTTATACCTGTAGTGTCTCTCATTTCTAGTGCGACTCGTAGATCTCACGTTTGGCATGCAGCTTAAGCAAGACGGGTGAAACGAAATACAGGACGGCAGCCGATACTTTCCGCACGCAGCTGAATGGCCATCCTCGAACCGCCCAAGGTCAATTCTGGCACAAACTAAGATACCCCAACCAAGGTTCTAACTGCATATTCCGCCACAGGGTGAACATACGGACTGATCGTCGCATCATAGGTTGGCTTGACGGGATTTACATGGGCGATGTATTCTACGCGCAATACACCAAGGATCTCCAGCCCACTAATGCTTCAGCATGGGGTAAGCTCGACACATTTCAAACCTTAGCGCGAGGTGGACTAATAAACTGCAACAGCCGACATAAACAACCAATTCAACCTTATGTTCCAAAATACCCTCCAGAATTCTACGGTACCAAACTCAGCTGGGTTGTTGTATCACGGCTACGACTTCTCGAAGACGACCGTTTGGGCATCCGCAGACAGAGGGCATTCACCTGAAGTGTGGGACCGGGCGCTGGGCTGGTTTATGATGGCTCTGGTCGATGTCCTGGATATCATTGGTCCTACTCCCCCCGCAGCACAGCAGCAGCTTCAAACCTCACTTTTGCAGATTCTCAGAACGTTAGCGCCTCGGGTCAAGGCCGCTGCTGATAAGGACAGCGGTGTATGGTGGTTGGTCATCTCCCAGCCGGGAAGATCCGAGAACTACTTTGAAAGCAGCGGCTCAGCAATGTTTGTTTATTCGTTACTCAAAGCCGTTCGAAGAGGGTATGTGTCGGATTCAGATGGAAGCATTGTAGCTGCTATGAAAAAGGCATACGAGTACATGGCCAATAACTGGGTGGTAGCCAACAGTGATGGGACGATGGGATGGACAAATACGGTTCAAGTATACGCGAATATGCTTCTTGTTTGACGATGCACTAAAGTGTTATTTTTAGGTTGGGAGTTTGGACGGTGCAGGGGACTTCAACGTACGTGATATCGACCATTTACTCTTGTGCATACACTGAGTACAAGCATTCAGTATTATGTCGGTGTACCAACGGACCTAAACGATCTCAAAGGTTTGGCGGCATTCCTCTTAGCAAGTCTAGAGTACGAGACGCTGAGTTAAACGGTACATCCTTCCCTGTTGCCGAATGTGTGTGTTACCTACGTGTTTTTGTAAAGATCACTGTGCCATACTTGAGCAAGCTCATGAAATGAGGACTAGCATCGTTCCGCAGTGGCACTACGTTCGTAAGACACAGTACGATACAAGGAGGGTCCTGAGTAGCAACGGTGAAAACAGACACTTGACATGCCGTCAAGGACAGGCTACCTGGTATGTAAGAGAAGTATAATAAAGTCCAGCAAACCTGAAGTCCAAAACATGGTGCAACTATCACATCACAACTAAGAGTCATACCGCGTTTCGAAAACGGGCTCTACAAACTGCGAATCCCCCTTCTGCAGCTTCACAGGATGATAATTGGCCGGAGCGGACTTTCCGTTACGGCCACCTTTCGATATACAGAAGTAGAGGCCCAGGACACATATGACCACGAGGATTAGCAGGTTTCCTGACAAAAGCCCAATCACGACGGGGGCATATCTCTGGATCGCGCCTGCGGCTGCACCTTCGATGTGATCGGCGTCATCAGAGGTAGCGAGGACACCAGATATTTTAGATGCTTCATCGATTGGCGCATCGGGATGATGATCATCGGTGTTGTCTTGCATTGCCAAGATACGCAGCTCAGAAGGGGCGAGTTCCACGGTGCCTTCCAGGGCTTTGGCACGGATGGCAGTGAATTCGGCCCATGCCTCCTTGGAGTTTGTAGTAGGTAATAGTTGAATGAATGGCTGTTCGGTGAGATGTCCTTGATCATCGAATGAACCATAGTCAAAGCTACGGTGGCCTCGAGGTCAATATCTCATTCCTAGGAACATATAAGAAACACCTACGAGACATATACATTCTTGAGAAAAGCATCGCCCAGGATCATATCGAGTTCACCACGGCCAATCTCAATAGACTGGTATGTGTTAGCACAATAGGTCACGTTGGTACCATTCACAAGTTTCGTATCAATCGCAGTGAGGTCAAGGGGATGTACCGGAAAGTCTCTCCCCCTAATGTTCGGAATCAGCACATGAGTCAGAGTAACCGAGAAATCATACAATACCCAATGGAAAAGGAAACCTCTGTTGACTGATTACAGGGAATAATCCAGCTGGCGTTGAAACCTGGAACATCTGAAATGCGCGCGGACCCTGGTATCGCTCCATATATTGCGTCAACCATTGCATATGGAAGGAGCGAAAGCGAGGTCCCCGAGTCAAGGACTGCGATCGCTTTTCCCTGAGACACGGTGGCTACTGATGAGTTGAGAGGAAGTGATCGACCACCGACTTTGAATTCATCCACAAGGACGCTCCAATGATCAGGGGTTTGGATAGTTAATTTGGGCGTGTCGCCGACAGCAGAGAACTCGGAGATGTATTCGCTAACGGTGAAGACACCCGCTCGCTCGTCGTCCGGGTCATCGGTACGGCCCAAGAGCAGAGTGAAGAAGTTCGGTAAGGTCATATTTTGGTAGAAGATGTTGGCGATGGGCGAACGACCCAAGGTGGTCGTATTGCCAAAAGCTTGTTCAAACTTGTCGGTGATAATAGAGTTGGTTGCGTCGAATCCTAAACCCAAGATTCCTGACGCGCCGGTGTCAAAGATAGCCTCCATGTCAGCGGTCTAGGATGAAGCAGATGAGCATACTATGAAGCTAACCGGCAAGACAGTAAGCCATACCTGCGTTACATCGATGAAAGCTAGAATCGTCACCAACATCAGCCAATGGTCCGACTGCGAATGGCGTCGAAAATGAACGAGTACCTTGTGAGGGCACTGAAAACCCGGCGAACTCAAGTGCTGCAAAGTTGATAGGGCCTTCAGCAGATCCGGAAGCGTATGTCAGGTTCCCTACTATCGAGGTTGAATTTGTAAGCTGGGGCTTCTGATCGGGAAGGTACACCCAGAGGTCGGTCGAGCCAGTGTCAAGAATGACTATGACATCTGTGGGTGCAATTTGTTAGTCTTCAATCGGCAGCCATGCGTCGTGGACAAACTTTGGCCTCCTATGGTGATGTTGGCAGCGTACTGGAATGGGGGTCAGTAGAGTGTCAAGAGCACACTGGGATGAGACATCACAATAAAATCCTGCGTATTGTGCAGGATGAAGGCGTGTTGATTACTAGATACATCAACCTCTCGAGGAGACACTTGGCGTCCCGTGAATGTCATGACATCTCGGCGCCATAGTGGCAGGCGTAAGGCTGAGGATTGAGAGATCGAGCAAGCTAACGCTGCTAGAAGGAGTGCGCCTTGAGACCACATGATGATGGCTTCACCATGGTTGTAGTTGAGACTTTTATATATCTCAAGGCGCCTAGTATATGTGGATCCTAGCGACATATATTTGATGCGGTCAGATTGGCGATGCAGGGTGGACGACGAGGCTGGACGAACTCTGCGGCGCCCGATCATAAGCTGAGCATCGGGCGCATGATGAGCTTGTTAGCAGTTGCGCTCTGCCCATCAAATTCTATAGCATCTCACGTATCACGTCGAGGAGATGAGTACACGCTAAAGCTGCAACCGGACATTGTCAGTCACCATAAGCAAACTAGAAGAGTGCAGAAGTCACGTTGGCTGGTGTTCGAATCTCGCCAGGAAGTAATACCAGGCTACAGAACCATACCGGTGATCGCTCAGCGCCTTTAGTAACACTGATCTATAATACACACACAATCGCAGTGCCCGTGATCTTTTCGTTCGGATTGAAACAGACGCATGCATCCGAGTCCAAATTACCCGCCCCACCGCGTGTGTCAAATAGAAATCTAGTTTTAGAGCTAAGTTCGACGGAATCCATAAAACACGAACTTTGTCATCTTATCACAATAGTGATGCCGGGCCTACGCCAGTTGTAGAATTGTTCGGATCGGCGAGAGCTCTGCTACAGCAATAGTTGCCGCCGACAAGGGACCCTCCGTCTTCTGTAATCGGACACACACCCACACACCCACACACAGGACCAGCACATCATGCGCCAGCGGCGGTTTCACCCAGGGACGAATCGTTGCCCGAGATCATATACTTTTACGGACCCATCGTAGTAAGAAACACTCACCCACTCCCGTTATCTACCTCCTTCCCTCGCCTGGAGGACGAGAGGTAATCTTCACGAGTACCGGCTTCCCAAAGTTGCATTATGTACAGAAGGGGCTGATATGTCCCTATGATAATATACCTGAGGCCTAGGGCTGAGATATTGAGAGCTGAGCGCTTGGTAGGTTTGGTAGTTGTATAGCCTGTACGATAGGACATAATTTAAACCCTTTTGCTTTTAGACACTCACCTTGCCTCACGGACGGACCCATGCGTATCGCATGGAAGTAAATCGTTTGACCCAGTGTGACGTTTGCCAGTGCTAGTGAAGCATGGATCTTGAGAAATGCGGTACGATCATACTAATACAATACACGAATATTGATTCAAGTCGCATGGACGTTTATGTGTATACCCTAAGAGAAGCGAAGTCGAAAAAGGCGTTGCTGAAACTTCCAGGGTTGTTCTCAACAAAGTCTGCACGGCAAGATACTTTTAGACATCTTTGATCTTCGGGTGGGAGATGTAGATTACTGACCGTTGCAAGTAGAAGGGCATCCGGATTGCGCATAAACGGAGCCGGCCCAGTCGCCACCTTTATCCACGCCAATAAGCATGGAGCGAACAAACGGGAGGGTGAAAGGGAACGCACAGAAGGTCAAGTTGATGATGATGTTATGTTGGTTGAAATGCGACGCGATATCGCATTGCGTATTCGGGAAAAAAGCCGCAGGTGTCCCCTGGCTCACAAAGCACTTGAGTATCCATCAAACTTCACCAAAGGACTGCGAACATACCCATGCATCGGTGTTCACAGACGAAGCGCCGTTGCGCACATCAGAAGGCACGTTCCCAGCGTTTCGTCCCCAGAACCAGACTTTGATGAACGAGTTCGTCCGTTCGACTGTGAACCTAAAGAGCAGATGATTTAGCATATTGTTTTCATTATTAAACAATGGTGAGAAATTGAATTACCATCCGCCGCCATTGCTATTGAAGCTAGGGCCATAGCTCGCAGCATCATTTTGTCGAACACCGCAACCTGTGTTGCCGTTGACAGCGACGTTGCAATCGTTCTGTCCAGCCGTTCTACAGACCTATAATTAGCTAGTTGTTTTGACCATCCATGCCCTTGCGTACCCAGTTTGAGCACGAGATGCAGGCATGGTGCAGCCTGGGAGCAAGGCAAACTAGTCAGGATATACGTAAGCAGGCCTTGATATTTCCACATACCAGCGCTGGTGTGAAGAGTGACTGCATTAGGTGCTTGATCATTGACGCCTTCTAAGATGTCTATTTCACCCTGAAAGTCGTTCAATTATCCCCCTGTGAATTGTGAGGCGCAAGCAAAAATACTTACACCATTGGGCCAGTTCCCTTCATTAGTTTCCCATACCTAGATGGTAGTTATTCTCCGTAAATGGATTGTCGTGCTGGCAAAACGCGATACATACGGCAGGCCAAGTACCGCAGCCTTGTGGCATGTGGCGCATATTGAAGCTAAGAAGTATTGAGTACTCTTTCGTCAGGTAGTGTCCAGCAGACCTACACGGCTACGTGGGTAGTGTAGACCTTGTTCGATCGGATGCGCACTGAATCACGCCCGGGTCCAGACGCAGACAATCTTGTCGTACTATCTGCGCGAAGAATAAAAGTGTCACCGGACGCAAACGTGAGGTTCTTCGACCGCGCGGTATTGGCATCCACGTAGTTACTTGACAAGCGAACATAAGCGAGAGCTATCGGTTAGATAAATTGAAGAACTCACACTCGCCCATGAGTGGGATCGCTGATAGCCTCGAAATTGAACGTGTTGAGGAAGGCAGAACCAACGATATTATCGCTGAGTTGGTATGTTGCACCCAGGACGGGGCTAACAAAGATCGCGGTCGCAGCGAAACTCGAAAGCAGAGCGAATTTCATCGTAAAGGTATCCTGTGGAGTGTACCATGTTTGACATAGTTTATATACTGCACGAAATATGGCAAAGATAGAAATAACATATCCACGTCGGTTTGAGTTGATGGACGTATAGATCCTCTTGGTTCGACAAATACCCGGTCAGGCCGAATGGATAGGATACGTATGTCGGCTGAGAGTATTGGACGCATGGTCGTTATGACACGCGGTAGAATTGGACTGCCACATCCAGCGAGTTCCGCTAGTTCTGCTAGTTACTCACTCGCGAAATTGGAAATCCTCGGGATATATATCATGATTTGAGTTGGTCGCTAGGAAGAATGCCAGAAATGGATCTTCACGTGGCCCCTCCTGGTGGATCATACAAGAGTGAGGGCGTATGGATACACTTCTGCGCCGGGCTCCCGTGAATGCCTTGTGGAGCCTCACGGTCGGAAGGTCGACAAGGATATTGAATAGGCGACTGGGTATCTTACAACGCATGTGCATCTCTGACGTGGCTATCTTCCTATTAGCTATGCGAGGCAGAAAAGCTGCACCGGGCTTACCAGGCGAGTAGGGCCCATATGAGCATCTTGATCAACCAACTGGGGCACAGACATTCTACCGTCCTGAGTGTGTCAGGTTGGGCCGGCTACAAATCATCCTGCTCCAATGTGGATTACGACCATGGGTAAGGAAGAATGTGAACTGGAGACGTCCGCGTGGCATACCCGTACCGGTTGGAAGAGAGCGAGAGACAGAGATGGTGGCGCAAGCAGAGTTGCCTGGGAAGAATTTCCCCTATTGTATGGCATAGTCTCGTTCCCAGCGGCGAGAGTAGGTGGTGTGCGAACTAGGGATCGCCCAACGGCAATAGACATACCTTGCTTGAAATTGTGTTTGCAATGAGACTTTATGAAGGACACCGCGTCGCTCAACTGTCGATCGAACTCACTCAATGGTTGGGAACGAAAATTGAGAATAAGTGGATTCCTGTGCCTACACAGCGCTCAGTGTAGGCTACCGAAAGTCCGTGCCGTTTGTCATTCTTGGGGAATATCGCAATGTTTTGGTGGTAAGGCGGAGCGGCGTACATCTTTTATCAACCGAATGGTAATATCTCCGCTCAAACGCTTTGCGTGAAGTTCGATGAAACAAAAGTGCAGCACGCAAGTACGGTGAGGGTCAAGACTCACGGGCCGCCAGTGTCCGCGATCCGAGCTCACGTGCTGCCATGTGATCGAAGCCAGCGAGCTGAACAAAACACAGCACTCAGTTGAAGCCGTAGCAACACTTCTAACAGAAGTTGTCCCCTTCGGGGTGACATACGAAAAAATTGGAACGATACAGAGAAGATTAGCATGGCCCCTGCACAAGGATGACACGCTTTCCCGGAGTGGTAGACCTACGGGTCTCAATATTTATTTTGTTGCCCCTCAGTGAAACTACTTTGTTTCCTCGTTGCACGTTGCTAGACGAAATGGATTCTTAGATACAGATAATATGTAGCACGTTCGTTTTGTAGTTAAAGACAAGTGTGTCGACGTAGTGTGTCATGTAATACCCGAGTTGAATTCTGTCACTCCGCATCCCCCAAAATTTCATGCAGCTTCTTCCTGAGGTCCGCAAGCTGAGCTTCAGTTTCCGGCTATATGGAGTCGTTAGTGAGGGACATGATGCGCGTCGTAGCAGACGCTTACATCTTTTTGGGATAGCACGACCGTCGCCTTGGAAAGCAATATGCCAAGATCGGCATCGCGAACCCTATCAGACTCAGGTTCTCCTCTCTTCAGTTGTAGACCAGGCTTCGAATCATCCTGTGGGTGGGTGTGTTAGTCTGCCCGGTGAATGAAGGGGTAGGAAAACTCACGCAATTGTTTTCGGCACGAAGAGCGCGCAAGTTGCATATCGTGGTCTTCTTGCATTCTGCGTCGCAGGCCTGGACTTTAGCACCGCGGCTTTGGAACGTGTTCCACATATCGAAGGCGGTATTGTTCCTCTCAAAGCCTTCTGTCACTTTGTGCCAAAATGCGGGTCCCAGAGAGTCAGATGCCTTCAGTCCGCTGACCAGAGGTCCATACGCTGCCCGGGCGCTGTAATAGAGCTTCCAGTTCGCTACGTGGAGCAGGAGTTAGTCATGGTAGACTGGTTTCACCTCGGAGAAACCTACGTGTGGTTTGGAAGCCAGGTTCCTTTAGATCAGCTGCGAAAGTCCTTGAATCAACATATGTAAATGGAATAACGATGTCTCACTTACTCGTATACACGCGGGCATCCATAATTTCATAGGTATCAGGGTCAACATCGTAGATCTTGAACGCTGGATTACCGCCTGAAGCGTGTCTGTTAGGTTTGCGTTGCTTCCGTAGTTTGGAAACCCTACTTCGAGGTGTGACGGCAGGTGCGATCCAACCCATGCTCACTGCGTTCTCTGCTGTTCTCTTGTTGTAATCTGAGTAAGCCAAAGCAAATTGGTCCTGAAGCGCCGTTAGTCTACCAGCTAGACATTTCAAACTGCGTACATACTCTGTGGTCATGGCCGTAGAATTGGGCCGCAATGGTGTTCTTGTAGCGTTGGATGACTTGGTCGAAGTAGTTGGACTGTGGTTATCGCCTGCATCAGCGTTTGTCCACAACTTTAGCAAACTGACCCACTTGATCATTGAGAGCATCTTGGCGACCGGGAGGCATATGGGCTACAAGCCATACACGTTGGCCGGCGTCTTCAGCTTCCTGGAGCTGCTTGACAGTGAACGCCAAGATGCCGTTAGGATCAGCACTGCAAACAAGTCCGTAAGTAGGAAAGGATTCCATACAGAGATGTGTGCTTACGGTGCATCATCGGTATCGTACAGCCAGTAGCTACAATAGCTTCAGCGTCTGTCAGTTAATGCAGGAGTGAAATACCCTTACTTCTGTTTGTACCAATACACAGTGTTGATGGAGACGATTCTGAATGGCAGTTAATAAGTGCGACAAATACGAACACGCAGACTCTCTTACCGAAGGTTGGTTCCCGGGACCACCAAGGAATAACTTCCAGATGTCTCGGCGGCTTGTTTGACGCCTGCTGTGTTAAGCCATCGCTTTAACGACGATTCAGCACCCAAGTGGTTTGGTGGAGTGGAGTAGAACTTACTGCCCACCCCGCACTCTGGGTATCGAATATCCACTGTGCATTGGCAACGGCGGTGGTGTCGCGAGGGAAGGCATTAACGGGCGCCGCTTCACTAAGGTCAAGGTCAGACACCAGCCACCGAATAACCGCGTAAACGAGACATACTGGTTGCCTATTGGATGCTTTCAGCAAGCGCGACAATGGTACGAGTCAATGAAGTTACCCACCGATAGCGGGGTAGACGGGCGAGTTGAGTCTCGAAGCCATTTGGTTGTTGAAGGCCTCAAGATCTTTGGTCACAGTTGGCTTTGAAAGTTCCCATATCGCAGCTGTGTTGATGTTTGAAATGTCAGAGACACGCAGGAAACGGGCCTGGAAAGGTCGTACCGTCGATCACGTCACCAGTGAAGATGGAGAATTTATTGCCAGGGGCTACTCGGCGTATGGCATCAAACATGGAGTCGGCCAAAGATGGTGGCGTGTCGCAGTTGTAGTCACCGTTTGGACCTGCTGGCTGCGCGGGTGGGCTCGTCTGACCAGGGTAGTTCCGGCAACAGAGAGGCTTGCTGCAAATAGCGTCGGATCCGGGCTAATGACGAAGTCAGATCTTGTATGGCTGGTCAAATACTGGTGAGGTCTTACAGTGTAGCGTCTATCGACATGGACATCGCTGAAATCTAGTTGAATCGTGTGAGACTACACAGTCGTTCACCCGAGATTGAAAGACGCACGAGCGACCTGGAAGGGCGCTTTTCCAGTGGACTTGAAGACCTTCGGGTTCGTCGGAGCAGCCTTGGGGAATGGGACTCTGTATGGGATCACCGCGGGTGGTTGACAGAGTCCGAAGACAGCATCGCAAAGTTTGTCTCCCATCTTTCCCCAGATGCTGATTGACCGTATGTCGTATGCCAAGGTGGGGCCGTGCTGGCCGATGGCGCCTTCGCAGACGTCGTCGTCAGAAAGCTAATTGAGAGACATCAGTACGAAGGTATGGAATGTCATAGAGGTCAAGATGCGTACATTCAATGTTGTGCATACGGCGGTGATAGCTTTGGTGAACGCGCCATCGCCCAGGTATGCCAGTCCTTTGAGGGGGACGAGGAGGGTATGGCATGACCCGCAAGTGGCAGCATTCTTCAAAGCGTCGATGATATCGTCGACCAAGCCAGCATTGACCACCGAGAGAAGCAACCAGCTAGTCAAGGCAAGGCCACGCATCTTGAGCTGTGGATCTGAGGAGGGCGGGATTGTGCTGAGTATTTATATACAATACCCCACTTCCCCATCATGTATCGGAAGCAAACGTTCCGTATGGTGCTCGAGGGGCTTCGAACGTGTTCTCCTGCCAAACTTTATGTCGAAGCTAACCTGACTGCCATTAGATCTCCAGAAATGGCGGTTTTACACCTCACCACATGGGCAGAGGTCAACCACCAGGCGCTGTCACACAGGTGACTTTTGCCAACCTTGCCAACGGATCCTGAAGCTTGGGGAGCATTCGTTCAACCACGCTTGTCAAGAGAATGTTCATCACTTCAGGATCGAGTACGGCATTCTATATGTAGCTCGTTAGGGCGTGCTGGGGGGAACAGGGGCACCACTGGGGAGCACCATATGGTCAATTTGCGATCATGACACGCGAACAATGTGAAAGACAGGGATCACTGTATCAATCGTCTTCCAGGGTCGCGACCTTAATCTCGCGTTGTGACCTCACCAGGTGCGCCCTAAGTTCCAACGTGCATGCTAGATTACGCTCCAACGCAGCAAGAACCAGGGGACCAGAAGTCGATAACGATTGGGAACATGCTGGACAGCTAGGGATGACCATGCAACTAAGGAGCTGTAGTCTTAAACTGCTTAGCAACGATCCGAGAGAAGATAGAGCTGATACTAGGTCCTCCACACTCCGACGCGCCACGCGTGTTTGAGTCATCGTTCACCCTCCTTCGTAGATTCAACCCAGGCGTTGGCGAATCCTGGATAATTACTCATTAGTTCTCTGTTATAATCCCCCAAGCGAAGTTCCATACACAATTGTTCTCAGACCGGAAGGCTGACATATCACATATAGTGATATTCTTGCACGCCGCATCACAGGGAGACACGGCGCCGCCCCGACTAATCCGAGTATTGAACAGTTGGAACGCCGTCTCGTTAGCCCGGAAAGCTTCTGTGAGTTTGTGCCAGAAGGCGGGGTTCAGTGGTTGATCTGGTTGAAGGTCCACCAATGGTCCATATGAATCGCGAGCGCTATAGTACAGGTCCCACTGAGCTGAAGGAGAGAAACGATTTCAGTAAGTCGCCTTTCTATGAATACACATAGATCGAACTGACGCTTCGATTGAAAGCTAGGATCTGAGATATTTGCTGATCGAGGTGAATGGATATATGGGTGAGTGCATATCAAGATAAAGGTATGTCAAACTCAACTAAAATACACGCGAACGTCCATGATCTCATAGGTGTCAGGATCAACGTCGTACAGTTTAAATGCAGGGTTTCCACCTGTCATTCCGACTTAACAAGGCAGGTTGGTTGATCAGGAGAGGTAGACATACTGGTAGGCGTGAGTGCGGGGCCAATCAATGCCACGCTGACGGCGTTAAGAGAGCTAGGATGGTTATAGTCGGAGTATGCGATCTCGAATTGATCCTAAGAAGTTGTCAATTATAGAAAGAGTTTTTGAGTGGACAAGATGGCGAGCTAACCTTATGACTATGTCCGAAAAACTGACCGGCAATTGTGGAGTGAAACCTTTGCACGATTTGGTCGTAATAATTGGACTGGTGAGGGGTTAGAAGAGTAGATAAATCTAGTTAGGCTGGAAGTACCTGATCCTCAACAATATCCTCCTTCCCGATCGGAATATGCCCGATTATCCAAGCCCTTTGTCCGGCACGCTCTGCGCTAGCTAGTTCGCCTGTAAGGAACTCCAAGATGCCGTTCGGGTCTGGTCTGGAGATAGAAGAATTATCCACGGGCTCAATAGTAACAAAATGTAGACCAACTGTGGTGCGTCGCTATCATAGATCCAAAGGCTTTGAAATGGATTATATATCACTATACATGCAGAGGGCGAGCGGGGCCACTTGCTTTTGTTTATACCAGTATTGGGTGTTGATCGAAATCACCCTGCCAAAAGCGAGTTGGGGTCAGGGGAATTATGGAGCCTATACTAACACTTACTTGAGATGGCTTCCGGGAGCAACCACGGAGTAGCTTCCGGATGTATGTATAACTTGCTGGGCGCCCTCGGGATGAACCCATTGCTGTTACGGCCATGTTAGATTCCAAGTCTTGCACAACTAGCAGGACTTACAGCCCAGTCAGGGCCTTGGGTATCAAACACCCATTGCGAATCGATCGTCGTATTTGTGGTGCTGCGAGGGAATGAGTTTACTGGGGCGGAATCACTGGATGGATATTAGATTATAGCCGTGCTGACTAGTGGAGCAATATACTGGTTTCCTAAACGACGAATTAGTACACTGGCGTAGATTCAGCGAGATGAAACTACTCACCAATAGCAGGGAAGACCGGAATACTCAGTTTTGACGCTAATTGGGAGTTGAATTCATGCAAATCGTCCGTGACTTCACTGTACACGGAAAATATTAGGGATAGTTAAGATGTTGTTCTAGGGAACTGGGCTCACGGCCTGTCCACAAGCCAAGTCGCGCCTGGTGAATGGCCATTAACATACGGTGCGTGGCACATGATTGGTGACTTGCCTTCGACGACGTCGCCAGTAAAAATTGCAAACTTTACGTCGTCATTCAACTCGTTGATGGCTTCCAGCATAGAGTCCGCCAGATCGGCTGGGGAGTCACATTTGGAGTTCCCGTTGGGCCCGGCAGGTTCTGTAACTTGAGGCAGGGAGTCAGGGAATACGCGGCAACATATGTTTTTTGAGCAATCTGCCTCTGCCCCAACCTATAAGTACATCTTTTTAGTCTGCTCTCGTACAGGAAGTAGCCGGGGTAAAATTACGGTATACTCGCGATCAATATGAACGTCGCTGATGTGAGCCACTTGGAATACTTTCTTGCCAGTCGGGAAGCGCTTCGTCGGACCGTGCGGTGCGGGAGGGAGGGGGACCTGAAATTCCATCACCGGCGGAGGATCACACAAGCCAAAGACCGCGTCGCAGAGTCGCGTTGCCGTACGCCCGTCTGGTGATATCTGCCGCACATCGTGGGCAATTATGGGTCCAACTGCCGAGCTTATTCCTGTGCAGACATCGGGGTCTTCTTCCTAGTCATAGACACTGCATTAGGGAGGCGACCAAAGATGCATGGTCGAAAACATACCCCGGACTGGATACAAACTTGGCTCAAGAGATCGACGAATGCGTCATTCCCAAGATGGGCCAGAGCCTGCAATGGGTGAAGCAGCGCATGACACGACGCACAGTCAACAGCTTTCTGGAGAGCATCAAGGACATCGTCCACGATAGTACCTCCGGCAAGCCCAATAAACAGGAGAACAAGAGCAGCAGGATAGAAACGCCTATACATGAAGGATTGATTCGGGAGGATATCTTGTTCCTCAAGCTGATTTAAATAGTTCGCGACTCCATTGATATAAATAGGCTTGGTGGGAGGGCAAACTGAGATACTTGAGAGTCCTTGAGCTATATGTAGTAGCAAGGGGTCGTGTTTTTGACCGTGGGCTGCAGCGTCCCCTCCCCGCCAATCAAAGGATGCATGTTTGCGGAGAACTAGAGACTTCTCAACGATGAGCATGCTGCGTCCTCTAGGTCCCTCATGGAGAGAAGTTCAGCACAATCGACCAAGCATTCCACTGAGATATTCGAGACGTTGTAGTGGTCGGAAGTGAGAGTTATCATGGTGGTGTGGTTGGCAAGACTGCGAGTACCCAAATCAGGGAGGATATCACGCCGTAACGACACGTGCTCATTAGTCACACCGTGTCCGACGCGACGCGGCGTGGCATGACTCTAACGATTTAACCTCTCTCATTTGACTACATCGCCAAAGTCTTATTCAAGATGGATGCCACTGCTATGCCCACCTTTTATCGCAGAATATATCCGTACAAATCCATCTTTCTGTGGCTGAACCACGAACACAATCCCACCAAGCTTTTCACGCATCGTGAATTTGCGTTCACCTTGCCGGGCGATGTGTACCTTCGCTACCAGTCCTTTGCAAACGCAGAAGAGTTCAAGAAACAGCTATGCTCTATGACACCGACGCGCTTCGAGATCGGACCTGTCTACAGTGGCAGGGTGCGTTCTTTTCGTACTTTCGTGGGACCATCTCCCGAATGAGACAATCAGCCCAGAGACAGGAAGACTCTACGGCCTAGCGCATTTGTCCCCGTGCAACGCGAACTCGTCTTTGATATAGATATGACGGACTACGACAACATTCGGACATGTTGCTCTGGCGCTGCGATATGCAAGCGCTGTTGGGGCTTCATCGCTGCCGCAGTCAAGGTCCTCGACAAAGCTATCAGAGATCAATTCGGCTACCAGCACCTTCTCTGGGTGTACTCAGGTCGTCGAGGTATTCATTTATGGATATCAGACCAAGAGGCTGTCGATTTGACGGACGATCAAAGAAAGGCAATCGTAAATTACCTCACAGTCGTCGCCACGTCGAAGGAGGCTAGTAAACACCTCAATGTGAGGTCTAACGGTGCCCTTCCATCTTTGCTAAGGTGAATCATATTTACTCTTACTGACGATAGTCTGAGCCTTTCCGATAGCAATGCCCTCCTTGACTTGGGCACTATTTTCGATTCTTTGATTCTCAAGGATCAAGATCTATTTGCGGGGGAACAGGCATGGTTGGCACTTCTCGAACTACTTCCGCAATCAATGAGGGGGACCCTTGAAGCCAAATGGTCGTCCGGAGAAAAGAACTCCTCTGCAAAATGGGACGACGTGAAAGGAGTGATTAATGGCTTGAAGTCGCAATCTGTGAGTCCTATCCTAAGAGGAAGAGCGTAAGCTTACTGACTTAGTTGTTAGCCTGCGGCTTTCAATACAGCATTGGCTGCTATGGAAGATATAGTAATTAGTTATACGTATCCACGCCTTGATGCAGAGGTCTCTAAGCATCGGAACCATTTGCTCAAGGCTCCTTTCTGCGTCCATCCTGGTACAGGCAGAGTCTGCGTGCCAGTCGACCCCAGCGAGGTGGACATGTTCGACCCTGCTGCGGTCCCAACGATTGGCCAGCTCTTACAGGAATTAGATACGATACGTGAGGGATCGTCTGAACTTCCTCAGGAACATCACAACGGTAAGTCCACGATTCATATTTCTCAGAGATCAGGCATCTTTAAACCGGTGATCAGACTGGGAGAAAACATCACTCAAACCATACGTCGACATGCTGGACAAACATTGTTTACGCCTGGTGGAAGAAGCCCGACACGCTCGGCGCGGGGCCCCAGGCAAGTATTTGACCGTGCTTTTCGGGCGACCTTACTGACAGATGACTCATATTGTAGATCTAACCTGGTAGAATGACTAGTTTTGCGTATCCGTAGCCTTCCCTAGCCTTGCGTATGATTGTATTTTAACGCTCTCCGTGCCTCGCTGTGCCTTGGTCGTCGGAACGCCACCACCCTCTTGTATTGCACGCAGATTCGTCATTTATTGCTTGCACTCACGATCAACATGCTTAATTGCGCAATGCACTATGTAACTTCGCGATGTCCGCTGCTGTAGGAAGGAGTTGAAATGAAAATTGTTGACCAGTGGACTTATCTTCCGATGCCGCTCGGGGTTACGGATGACGCCCACATGGCTCTCCCTTGAAAATAACACACTGTACTTCTTGCGGTTCGATCTTTTCTGTCACTGACTCGTTCGACCTTTGCGCTCGGGGCCGTATTCAGGACTCTTAGATCTTATAGGCGAGGCGGTGGTGCGGCGCACATACAAAGGTTTGACGTACGTTGAGATTGCCAGCGGTATCCCCTACTCCCTCGAGTCCTCCATTAGCGCGACGCATTCCTTTTTATTATTCGCGATAACGTTATGCCTCGGTTCCAACTAGAAGTGGCTGCTGCGTTGGTGGCCAGTGCTCTACCAAGTTTGGTCGCGTTCTATATTCTACGACCAAGGCAGGGCAAAATTCAATTGCCTATTCACTCCGAAGGAAATGGGGTTGAAGCTCACGAACACGATCCGTTCGACGTATTGACGCGGGAGGATGTAGTTGAAGGCGAACCAATAGACGAGGCGGCATTCTGGGCGAGGGTATGCATTTCATTGATGTTCTCAAGGATATTCAAGAGCTCAACGATTCTATGTGCGGCGTGCAGATGCGCCTCATTAAGTTGGTTATTAGCTGTCTCTTTGCGACTATTATAGTCCTGGAGGCCATTTCCTTGGGGTACTACGCAGTGCTTGAAGTCAAGGATCAGATTCCTATCTACATCCTTCACCTCTTCTTCGCCCTTTACCTCCTCGCCCTCTCTGTGCGCGCAGTGAAGCAGAACGATATCAGCTATCATTGTGAATCGATCCTCCACTTATCTACATTGACGGCACTGGCGAACGGCTTACTATGGACCACCACAATCCTTCCCGCTACTCCTCCTCCGGTTGCGGAGGCTTTCGCGGAAACGGAGCCAGTCTTAGAGGGCTTGTGGTACAGCATTTTGACGCTGTATCTCGTCGCCTGTGTTGTATGCTTCACCACTCCCCAAGGACCAACGTTCTATTATCCACCAGAGAGAATTTACTCTGAAAAGGTTGTTGCAAATATAACCAACGACGACCGTGAAAACGTTTGTGGAATCATTGGTACGGTCCTTGCTGCCCATTCCCTCCTTTATCTAAGGTTCTCTCCATCCTATAAGGTGCTTCATCATGGGATACCCTCTTATTCTCGTATACCACAAAAGTCGTCATGTTGGGCAACGTCGCGGAAAGCCTAGATATCGGGGATCTACCAATAGTTCCCTCGAACATGCGAGCCACGGTTAACTACACCAGTATGAAAAACGCCTTGCGCAATATCAAAACTCGGTTTCGCCTATGGAAGCCCAAGCCTGGTTCAGGATGGTCATTGTTATACCGTCTCTGCCGTATCAACGCAGGACCTATCATAATGGAGATTAGTCTCGCCGTCGTTGCCGCGGTTCTTTTCTATGCCCCAGCCATCTTTTTGCGTCAATTCATTCAGTATCTCGAGCTGGATCCATTGAGAGAAGACAAGGGGTGGGGTTGGGTTTATGTGGTCGGTCTATTCTCCTCAAATGCAATCGCCTACCTCGGTATGCAGCTTTCTGCCTATAACTCTCCGCAAGGGAAAATAACTCACAGCATACAGTTACCGGACAGTTGTGGTCACTAGCGACAACAATTGTCCAATGCCGACTCCGCCTTCAACTCAACAGTGTCCTCTTCGCAAAGACGCTTATTCGGAAGGATGTTGCCTCGTCGGCCGCCACGGAACCAGGGAAGGCAGATGCCACCGAAACGCCCCCCAAAGAAAAGGAGGACAAGAAAGACGAAGACGATTTCTCCAGCAAAGCCCAAATCATGACGCTCATGACTACCGACGTAGACAGAGTCAGCGACTTCGCCTGGCACATGTTCTCTCTTGTAGGTATGTAATCCTCATTTTATATGACTGACTGGTACATCATGCTTCTATGTCAATATAGATGCTCCCATCGAAATTATCATCGGCACCATCTTCTTGTATAAATTACTCGGTAAATATCCTGACTGGCCGTTATGTGGAATAGGGACTCACTTGTATACGACATAGGTGAATCCTCGTTCTATGGGTTGGCAGTTACCTGCCTGTTCCTGCCCTTGAATCACTTCGCCGGAAAAATTGTGGTCGGGGCACAGGACAACCTAATGAAGGCTCGTGACGAGCGAGTCTCTCTTATGAACGAGGTTTGGACTACCGTCTCCCCAAATGATAGATTCTGACATGTCTACTCAATAGATTCTAGGAGGTATAAGGATGCTCAAGGTGCGTCCTTTCCATCAAGGCTAACCTATCCAGTTACTGACCTACAACCTTCAGTTCATGGCATGGGAGCGTAGCTTCGAAGCTAGAGTCCTGAAAATACGGGAGAAGGAACTCAAATACCAAAAACTCAACTACACCATTGAGGTATGTTTCGAATGCTGGTCGATCTCGATATCTAATACTAACCTTGAAATACTCCTAGACACTCTGGAACGCTATCTGGTAAGTCGTTGTATACCAACATCGAATGCTTCTTTTGACCGTAACTTCTAGGAATGGATCGCCTATCTTGGTCACTCTCGTATCTTTCTGGCATTTCGCCGTATATCGTCAACAGATTTTGACGCCGTCTATTGCTTTCACATCGGTAAGAGTGTCTTAATTAATAGACGTTGATACTATGGCTGACCCCGTTACGTTAGTTATCTAGTAATTGCTACTCATCTCACTCGACTCCCTTCACAGACTGAACTACCTTTCACTAGTATTCACGGAGATGCGGTTCGCTCTGAATGCACTACCAGAAACCTTCATCAACTTGCTACAGGTTTGCATTTCTTCCTCCCTCCCAGGCTGGACTACTTACTCAATGGTACGCCATAGACATTCGTGTCCCTCCGTCGCATAGAGAAATATCTAGGTGGATCGGAAGTGAAGCTAGTCCCACCATTAGAACACCAGTCAAAGACGATCGCATTCCAGTCTGCTACAGTAACATGGCCTCAAGAACGTGGCCAAGCGAGTCTTGCTCCTTCGGCAGCCCCGACCCCCCGCCACAAGTTCCTACTGGTCGACCTTAGTCTACAATTCCCGCCTAATGAATTGACGCTGGTGTGCGGCAAGCTTGGATCGGGAAAGACCCTCTTGCTTCTCGGTAATCACCTCTCCTCATTCTCACGAGGTGTATTGGCTAACACAACAATACAGGCCTGTTGGGAGAAGCAGATATACTAACGGGTCAAGTACTTTGCCCTCGTTCTCCACCAGACTCATTAGCTTCCTATGCTGGCAAGTCGATACCAAAGGAGGACTGGGTCGTGGAGGGCGTTTGTGCCTATGTCCCTCAGGTTAGTGATCACTTTTCGTTGTTCCATCCACTGCTAGCTTACGCGACCTCCACTACGCAGGCTGCATGGCTTCGCAACGCTTCCATCAAAGGCAAGATTCCTGTCGCGAGTCCACGATACGTGCTAAACCCTCATAGATAATATCTTATTCAATCTACCGTATGACGAAGAACGCTACCAAAAGACCTTAGAGGTGAGGATTAGTACATTTTGAAGCTATCTCCGGCTCATCACTCATTCTTCTAAAGGTCTGCGCTTTGATAAGTGACTTACAAATTCTTGAAGATGGGGACGAATCTGAAATCGGGGAGCGCGGGGTACAATCGTTCATCCTATCTCCTCTCAATTACTTACGTCTTCTTCGCACCTAGGTGAATCTCTCAGGCGGTCAGAAGGCACGAGGTATGTCGGGTGATGCCCAAGGCATGCGCGCTTACTAAAATTTGCCCTCAAGTATCTCTTGCGAGAGCAGTTTACTCCCGAGCATCAATCTTACTCTTGGACGATGTCCTTTCTGCAGGTTGGTTAGCTCTTCTGCTATGAGTATCAGTCACTGACAAATACGGTTTGAAGTTGATGCGCACACGGCTCATCATCTATATAACGAGTGCATCACTGGTCCCCTGATGCGTGGCCGAACCGTCATCCTGGTCTCCCATCACGTTCAGCTATGCACCCCGGGCGCCGGCTATATCGTTGCCCTTGAGAATGGCCGGATTCAATATCAGGGCGACCGTAAAGGTTTCCAAGCCTCAAGTGTGATGCAAACCCTCGTTCAGTCAACTTCCGAATCAACTGATGAAAAAGAAGAGGCTGCCATCGAAGATTTGAAACCTTCATCCAGCCAAACCCCATCTGAGACTCAGTCAACTACTGATACCACTGTAACAGCCGTTGCCACCCCGAGTTCGGACAAAAAAGCACCAAGAAAACTAGTTGAAGAGGAGAAGCGAGCGGTTGGACGTATTAGCCGCGATGTCTGGTCAACTTATATCCATGCCTGCGGGCGTTGGCCATTCTGGGTAGCCTTCCTACTTATCTTGCTTCTCGCTGCCTTGAGCCCCGTGCTCGAAAACGGCTGGCTAAGGCAAGTACAGAATCTCCGTGCGCACGTTATCGCTGACCGTCCCCGCAGACACTGGTCTGGATCTGACCAAGTCGGCGAAGGATCGCGGAGCCCTCTCTTCTACATCACTGTCTATGCTGTGGTATGTCCTATCATAGTCTCACTTCTGGGTCAGTTGATTGAGCTTCCCCCAGATCACAATGACAGGTGTGTTTCCATCCCCGAGGCCATGCTAATTGTGCTAATTATGTCTATTTACAAGGGATCGTCATCGGAACTGTCCGTTGGTTCGTGCTCTGTACGTTGTCCATCGTTACAGACCTTCTCCCAGCGTCATTTAACACCTGTCAGATCGCGGCTCTATCAACGCATCAATCGTCCTGTACCAACGTTCGTGCCCTCTCGTTGGCTCTGCGATTGGCATTGATGCAAATCATCCCCCTAGGCCTACTGGAAGCGGTTTTATTTGCTAACATCAGATTCCATGACACTGTCTCGAGAGGTCGACTTCTCAACAGATTTGGGAAAGATTTTGAAGGTGAATTTGCTCGACTTGCTTCTACCATCTATCTCATATTTCCATCAGGTATCGACAGTAGCTTGGCAGATAACTTCGGTCGTAGTATCATCAATGGCATGTCCGTCGCAATCACCGTCATCACCGTCAGCGCCGTGGGCGGGTTGCCTTTCATTATAGCTGTGATGATAATTGGGACAATCTATTTCAATGGTAAGCGTTTCCTTAACAGTTCCTATATTTGAACTAACGATTGGACCGTTTAGTCGCTAAGGTATGTGCTGAGGCATACGTTTATTTCGATTGTTACAATTTCAGTAAACAGGTCTATGGGCAAACGTCGCGAGACATGCGTCGCCTTGGTGGGCTCGTTCTTGCTGACTGATTCCAGTAGTGATTGAACGATTTTGTTTCCTACAGATTCTGTCACTCGATCTCCTCTCTACTCCATTTATGGTGAAACTATCTCTGGGGTTACCATCATTCGAGCCTTCGGTGCCTCGTCCAAATTCCTGCGCGACATGTTGCGTTTTGCAGACACGGTGCGTGTATTCCATCCCACTCACGTAACGCTATCCCTGACGTCTACTGATTAGAATGCTAACCCATACTACTGGATGTGGGGAGGTCAGCTTAGAACTTTCACTCTAGCCCTAGATTTCAGGCTAAAGTTGTTGTCTAGTGAATCGTTGGCTGTCCGCGCGATTCAACTTGCTCTCCAGCGCGATCGTTGGAGTAACTGCCTTGGTGGCATTGATAACTCCGAGGATCGATGCCTCGCTTGCTGGCTTCGCACTCGCTTTTGCTTCGTCTATCTCTGGTGATGTGAGTACTAACTACTCTTGACATTGATCAGTATTGACGATTATCATCACATAGTTGTTGTTCCTGGTGAGCGAGTCGGGGCCTATCTGAGTTCTTCACCTAAAGTATCATAGGTTCGCAGGTTTGTGGCGCTAGAGCAATCGATGGTCAGCTGCATGTGCCGAAGTCCACATCTTCAGAGTTTTGACAATGATATAGGTTGCACTTGAACGCGTCAAAGAATACACTGACCTTCGCCGGGAGCCGCCCGAGTTCATCGAACCTCGACCCCCATCAGAATGGCCCCAGAAAGGTGGTATTAAATGCGAAGGACTTGTAATCAGATACGCTGTGCGTATAACTCCATTTTTCTTCGGAGCTCTGGGCTGATATCATTCACAGCCTGAATTGCCCAATGTTTTGCACAACCTCAACTTCGAGGTCTATCCTGGGGAAAAGGTAGCAAATTTCATCCTGTATTTTCAAATTTCAGGAATTGATGTCGGTTTCCAAGATCGGTATCCTAGGCAGGACTGGGTCAGGCAAGAGTACGCTTGCCCTTTCGTTTTTCCGGTTTGTCGAGGCAACGGAGGGTAGAATCCTCGTGGACGATATTGACATTGCCAAAGTCGGCTTGACCGACCTCCGGAGCAAGTTGACAATCATTCCCCGTGGGTCTTTGAATGAGATGTATCCTTCCTATTTTAATCTCGTACCTAGAGGATCCAACTATCCTGAGTGGAACACTGCGAACCACCCTTGATGTCTTCGGCGAATACGAAGATGCTGAAATTGTAAGGAAGTCTTTCATACTCGCGTCGCCCCATATCCTTACGCCTCCTCTTCGCAGTATGAGGCATTACGCCGCGTGCATTTGATACCCTCTGAAGATACACCAGAAGAGGCTGCAGACACGGTCAATGCCAATGTATTTCGGAACCTTGACTCCCCCGTATCAGAAGGAGGGGAGAATTTTTCCACAGGGTAAAGGCTCCAGCACGCGTCGGATATTTCTTTCCTGACACTTCCCCAACAGGGAGAAACAACTTCTCTGCATGGCCCGAGCAATTCTAAAGCGGTCTAAGGTATTGGTGATGGATGAGGTACGCGCCACCTGCCTAAAGTCCACACACGTCCCGTATTGATCAGACTTCATTCACAGGCTACCGCGAGGTGGGGAAACTGATGGTCTCAGAAAGATTCATGTTCTCATACTTCGAATTCCAGCGTTGACTACGCCACAGATGAACTCATTGGAAAAACTATTAGGCAGTGCGTATTGTTGTCATTCCCTCGCTGTCATTAGCTTAATTTGATACAGCGAGTTTGCTGAGGGCACTATCCTTACCATTGCCCATCGGCTTCGAACGGTGATTGATTATGATAGGGTGAGCTTCCCCTACCCTTCTGTGGTTCTGTCCGCCTCACATGTGCTCCCTAGGTCATGCTACTGGACGCAGGTCGCATTGCGGAGTTCGACAAGTTAGTCCCCATGCCCGACGCTTGACCACTTTCGCTCACCGTTTCCAATCCACAGACCTGCCGTGTTGCTCAATGACCCGTCCTCGAAGTTCTATTCCCTATGTAAAGCCACAGGGAAGGATGAATTCCAAGTGCTCAGGAGGTTGGCGGGAGCGAATTGATGCTAGGCACTCTTAGGACGTTGATTGTGACAATAGATTTATGTATGTCGATTCTACCCCAGCTGTGTGGTATCTTCACGTCATCAGGGGAGATATTTACTACATAGTTCACCATTGTGCGAACTTCAACTTGGGCCTCTAACGACGGTGAGAACGGTTGAGGCGTCTAACGTTGCACATAGTTACAAGGCACTTGAGCGATAAGGCTACTTCTCTGCTCCATTAACTTGGGTGAGTCTCCTTGCTATGTAGATGAATTCAATGAGGTAAAAAAATTCACTCCAAGCAGTAGCAGCATCTACCACCTAGGATTATACGCAAGATCGGCCAGTGGGTTAGAAGTACCAAAACGCAACCATATACGAGGCGAATATTCCTTCTGTACCACAGGGTCCGACTCCGATCACACATGGAAGGCAACCAGGATGGACATAATCCCTCCGAGCGGAGTCTGCATGACCGCAAGCCTTGCATCGACTGGTGCGATCTCTTATGTTTTCCGACTCGCCCGAGCTTTCCGCAAGCATGGGTCAGCCTGCAATATAAAGCTTTGGTGTGAGACAATACTTCCACTTGATTGCCATCCTTTTCTGTTCTTAACGACGCTGGGTATCGTCTTCGTCACCTCACGAGTTCGACGTAAGCTGGATCCTCCCCTCTCTCCCTTGCGCTAGTGAAATTGACCGAATGAAAGGTTGATCGTCCCCTATTTATCGTTGGCGCGACCACCATAGGATTGTGATGTCGACGGGTTCAACGCAACCCAAAGGTAGCATCCCCCTTAGCCGTCTTGGCTATTTTGCTCATACATTGGTGGCAAGTAAGGGCGACGCTTCGGGTTTAGATATTCGTACCCCAAACATTCAAGGACTAACGCTTCGCGACAAATGGCTCCACGTCTAAAGAGGGAGGAAGACCCCTCAAATGACAAGTTCGGCAACCGATTCGGATGGTCGAAGAGTAATAGCGGTAAATTCGGCGAAGTTGACAAGAAGGGGAAAACGCGACTGTCTTCTGAGGGCGATAGTCAGTCCGACGATACCAAGAGCTCGAACTCGGGCTCGAATTCGGACAGCAGCAAAAGTTCGGGATCCTCAAACGGTTCCGACAGCAATAGATCGTCGTCTTCCAATAGTTTCCCCAACAACAGCTTCGGCGGCGGCAACAGTGGCGGGAGCAGCGTCGAAAGCAATGGATCAGGGATTGACAACAGCCCCATAATCAGCACTCCTGCTGCCGACACTCCGTCTAGTTCTTCGGATACAACCTCGACGTCATCCCCAGCTCCCACCTCTAGCAAATTCGGCAACCCATCACAGGCGAAAACCCCGCAATGCTTCTCGTGTATTGCTGACAACGATGCCAGAGTGCTGTATTCAGGTCCGTGGACATTGAACAGTGCCAACTTTTCCACTAGTCACAGTACGACGACACCTGGATCTTCACTGTCGTTGGTATTTAACGGTATGCTAATATCGTATATAAATTTGTGTGTCAAGCTCTGACCTTCCTCTGCAGGAACAGGGATTGTTGTTTTCGGTACTGTACCACCGAGTAACAGCACGCATCCGCCTCCGAGCGCATCATATACCATTGATGCCGACCCTCCCTTCACCACCAACGAACCTCTGGCCACTGAAACGATCCGCTTCCAGCCACTGTTCAAAGTTTCCTCCCTTTCCGCCTCAGAACACCGAATATTCATAAATGTGACCGGCGCGGAAACTCCTTATACTATTGACTCGTTTTTCATCGTACCTGGTCCTTCTGCTGCAGGGCTAGCGGACGCTAAAGACGGTGCGGGTCCGACGGTTTCATCAGATCCTACCCCAAGCACGCCCAATGCACCATCAATTCCCTCGTCATCCGACCTCCCCCCTGCCAACTCTCACAATACAGCCCAAGTAATTGGGGGTGTCCTGGGCGGGCTCTTTTTCTTGGTTCTCCTTATTGTCTTCGGTTTTTTCTTGGAGCGGCGTCGGCGACGTCGTAGGCAAGGAAACCCATCAGGAATGGCTTGGTTCGACAAATATACTCGACAGCACACGGTGCCTGGTGCGTTCACATCTTCGCATGTCCTTCCGCTATCAACTACTAACGATACGCTGTAGCGCCCACTATCTTCACTTCGACCGAATCGATCATGCAGGCCACGCCGAGCAGTTTATGGTCGACTTTTTCGAGAAGCGACAGACAGAGTCTCGCTACTTTTTCTCCCAAAATTGTCCCTAAGGTTAGGGACCCGCCTCCGCTCCCACCCAAGCCGCGAACGCGGCTATCTCTTCCTATTATTGGTGTGGATCACCAGATACCTTAGACTTTGACTTACGATGGGACAATTGTTCAATATATATATATCACTTCTCGTAGCATAGCATGGATATGACCACTTTGGCTGTAGCAATAGAGTAATTTATACAGAAAGCGGGACCATCAAAGAGTTTTAAAGCACTTTCACACTGTTCCCCAGAATCGTAGCCTGATTGACGACTACGCGCTTCGCTGTTCCTTAACTGGGCTTCTCAATTGTTGCCTAACGACAACTGCAGCGCGCCCCCTCAAGACGATGCAAGGCTTGTCATTGCTATTGGAGGGCGAGGGGTATCGTTCAGGCCAGTGTCCGAAGTACTTGTCATTAGAAGACATCCTCTTATTATATTGATCAAAGCAAGTTACAAACGAATTCAACGGTGAACATAGCATGTAAAGCATATCATTGAACCTATTATTACGAAAAAAAACTTTCATACTTGCGGCTGCCACATCTTGCTAGCGACGAACGTAGCGAGATCGGCATCAGACATTGAGCGAAGGTCTGGGGAGCGGTCGACGCCAGCTTTCTGCGCAGCTCGGATGACGCTAGTAGCAATGGCGACACTAATTTCTCGGACTGGAGATAAAGGTCAATTCATCGGTATTCGCCAATGCAACGAGGAAGTCTCACTTCTCTCAACCTGTGGGTAGAGAAGACCCATGGCATGTTCTTCAGGCGTCAGCGAGTTAGCAAGGCCAAGTGACGATGCTTCGACCATGCTGTCGGTAACAGACGAAGCCCGACTGAGAATAGCACCCATGCCGAGCCCTACGTTCCCAAGCTGTGAGTTTTCAGATATATTAAATGAAGAAGGTACTCACCAGGGAAGATATACATGTTGTTTCCTTGACCAGGATACAGCATCTTCCCGTCGAAGTCGATCTCGGGGAAGGGCGAGCCAGAGGCGAAGAGCACTTTCCCTTGTGTGTTCACCACGGCATCCTCAAATGAACATTCCGACAACCTTACGGGGTTCGAAAGAGGGAATACAATGGGCCTTGGATTCAGAGCGGCCATTGTCTGTAGAACTTCTGTGCTGAAGGCACCCTGGAAGTTTATCGTCGGTCACAGGCGCATTAATGAATGTGAAAGAGAATAGAACGGACAGAAATAGTGGAAAGCCCAAGCAGCGCAGTTGGCTTCACGTAATCGAGGATATCTAAAAGATCCGTCATGGGCTCCCCATTGTAGTCGTTGCGGGCAAAATCTGTTTAGGTTCTTCAGTTTAAATTTCAACGTGTTCGAAATCAGGTGCAAGACGTGATACAAACATTTCTTATGCTCAGCAAGCCGCCCTCGCGCCGTATACACCATCCCTTGGGAGTCCACGAACCAGATACGTTCACGGGCCTCTTGTACCGAAAGCCCTTGCAAAGTGAAGAAGCTCATCAGCTGCATCGCAACTCCAACGCCTGCGGAGCCCGCGCCGAAGAAGAGGATGCGATGAGCTGTCATAAGGAGACCAGAGGCGGCGGAAGAGAGCTTCGCAGCATTGAGGAAACCGCTGAGCACCACTGCACCGGTACCCTGGATATCGTCGTTGAACAACGGGTATTTCTCCCGGAAGCGTTCGAGATAAAGGAATGCCTTTTCAGTCGCGAAGTCCTACAGGTGATGACCAGTGAGCACCCGAAATCCGTAGACGACCCTGAGAAGTAGGGACAGACCTCAAACTGTATCAAAAGCTTAGGGAACAAGACCGACATCTCGTGCATAAACTCGTCCATGAATTCTGTCATTTCAGCTTCCGAGACTCTCTTCTGGCGAAGGCCGAGGTAAAGAGGATCTTCAAGAAACTTTTCATTGTTCGTTCCGAGGTCAAGGCAAATCGGAACGGTGGAGGAGGGTCGGATTCTACAGTTCACTATCAGTCATGTGTCCCTCCTGAGATATACTTACACTCACCCGGCGCCTGCTATGTACAGGGAGAGTTTTCCGATTGAAATAGGCATGCCGTTCACGCCAAGGTCTCCTAAACCTAGATACGGCTATAAGGCTTCTCTCAAATACCGAATAACTTAAGTAGACATACCCAGGATACGAGAACCTTACATCCAAGTCAACGGATGTTCACTGGCGGCAAGTCGATTAACGCTGCTCACCATCGGTCACCACACTGATTCTAGCTTCGTTGATCCGTGGCCAATTCTTCAACACGGAGCCAATTTTGCCTTTGTCCTTGTACGAAATGAACTGAAGACGAGTCAACGGTGGAGACGTGTAAAGCGCCCTTAGTCAACTTACAAGACCTTCGGGACGCCTGTAGTTCTGAGAGAATTGGATGCAAGCGTCTCCAACAGTTGGAGTATAGATGAGAGGCGTGAACTCGGCCATATTCTCTAGGCAAAGCTTGTAGAATATATCTGGATCGGCGTCCTTCAATTGGGTAAGGTAGATGTATTTCTCGATATTTTTGTCCTTCGACCGAAGCTGGGCTAGACACCGAAGTGCATGGATACTGCCATCCAAGGCAGGCGGTGTCAGGCCATGCGCGGGTTTTGGGGGTGCTGCGAACAAGATGTCAGACCAAATTGGATACCAACTGAAGCAGACACGTAAACACGTACGCTGAGGTGCCATTCTGAGTTTCTGGACACCATTGGACCAATAGGGCGTAAGGACGATGGTCATTTTAATTGGAAATTAGAAGGAATTGGGAAATAAGATCTAAGAAGAATGAGGTCGTCTATAGTCTAAAGAGGTGGAGGAAAGGGAGGAAGTTTTTTGGGGGACAACTCGTTAGCACCTCTTTAAAATATAGTTCCGTCCATAGGAACGCCCCGCGAGAAAATGAGACCACCGGACAATGCTCGGTCCTCCATTTGTGTAAAACTGGACGCCGGTCACTCAGTAAAAGGTGATTTCATCAATACGATGATTGATGTTTGATGGCTACCAGCAACATCAGTCTGAGACACAACTTGAGGGCTTGATATTGCCTTGATATCAAAGCCAATCGAATACGCTCTGTGACAAGATTGGTTTAGGAACTCGCTGTACCCAGATGCACAGTCGCCAAGGAAACGATGTGGGGAGCAACCATGATTGCCAGGAACAAATTCCCACCATTGAGCGCCCGTGCAACCAACGACGCCGCTCGGCGTCAATACTATTGTAGCTTAAATTCATCGCTCAACCTACCCCCACTACGCTGTGCCGTATGCTTGTTGCCGTACTACGCGTTTGAGGTATCCTTAGGTCGCGAGTATATTTCACCATCACCCGGGCCATTGCATGAACGAATCCCGGAAAGTAGTTGAACACTAGGCCATCAGAATCTGGCGCAAGCCTGAGCTCACGACGCGTAGCGACCACTTCCCTCTTAGACAAAACTGGGTCGGGGGCGTTCGCGCAATTTTGATGGATTTCACCGTCTGAGCAAAGATGTGTACTAAATGAAGGCAAGAGAACTGTTTTATCTTACCCAGGTTATGGACATAATGTTCCTATCAGTATTGTCGTGCTAGGTGCTAGGTTGGGATGGGCCATTGCCGAAGGCACTCGCAGTAAGGCTATTTCTGCTTAGTGCCCGTGAAACATAGACAAGAACTTGATGATCCATGATGTCAGAAACTTAGGTAGAACATATCATTTTCCCTACTTCCTCGCGCTTAAATCACAATTCTACTTTCCTGATAGGTACCATTGCCACTTGCCTCTGGAAAGACGAGGCTGACGGACGCGGTGGGGCTCGGCTGCACTCAACACTAGGCTTCATCCAGATCCGTAGAATGGTGTAGCCGTATCACCAGTATGAGGCTACCCCACTAAGTATTCTTCTGCCTTTCGCTCTTTGACAAGGATCACGGAGATTACTACATGAACAATGTGTGCTAGATGATGCACAAAGCCAAAGAGTCATGGACGCCGAGATCCCGAGAGTGTCGGACACGCAGTAGGTTTACTCTACACGCGACAGGTATAGCCTTCGCTTCTAGGCTTATAGCACGTCGCTGATAGCTATCCCGGCAGGTGTTCATACTCTATGCTTACGGTAGAACTTGTCCAGAAGTTGAAAAATGCTCGAATTACCTTTGCCTCTTCCATTGACTCTTCGGAAGGCCTACGTCTGGACGTTTGCAACTCCCTGCCTACCCCCTTTCCTCGCCGTTACATGCAGTCTTCTTGCTGGCTATTTCTAGCCTCGACGTCGGAACTTTCCGTTAAGCACAACACCCAGGTGAGCGTAGAGTGTAGCCGGTCCTTATCTCTGAGACTATGAATTAATTGAACACCATTCCACCCCGATTGGCCCTAACAGATTCGTCACCCGACAACCACAATTGCACCGCCCCTCCGATGCGGTTAGCTGTCAGTAAACTATTCTCCGCCTGTGAGTAATTCTGAATTTGCAACCTTACCTTCTGATCTCACCGGTTCGCTGCGCCGAAAAGTTTTTGCCTACTTGGCTCAGCAGATGATTCGTTATTGGGTCAATTTGGTGGGCTCTCTTCTGAAACTCTGCCCTGTTTCTCGATTCCCAAGTTTACACTAAACGTTAAGCGATATCGATGGGCTACCATGAATTATGTATCGGTACGTCGTTTTCCCTTACCTTTGGAATGAACTTCGCAGAAGGTCCCCGGTTGCCCGTGGACGGATCATCGCAATGCATTTTATCTGCCGTAAACTCCATTTACAGTACATCTTCTACTCCCGAACGCCGACTTTGGTCGTTCTTTACGCTGAAAGGCATCCGAGTCCCCGCGATTAGGTTGTAAGAATTTCTACAGCTCAATTCGTATTTCTGTCTCGCCATTAAATGCCGCCGTGCACATGCCTCATACGCGTGACCAACTACCTTGGACTTCCTTCTTCCCAGGTAGCTGGCCTTCCTGGTACGCTCTCAGATTAGTCAACGGGACCTTCTCGCTTCTTGCACGTTTCGGATCGATATGACAGCGGAGTGGCTCCCGTCCCTCTGATAAGCAGGTCGACCTCGTCGGTCCCATCAACCGTCGAGACCTCAAGTCAAGTCATTCTCGACTGCATACGTACAATGTTCCAGGGACTAGTCCCTCGTCGGCCCGGCCGGTTTCCGTCCAAGGTCGATGTGCGATAGCGCTGACAGTCTAGCCCAGTACAGTACCCCCGCTGACCGTGTAGCGGTGTCACCTTTCGTCTCCGCTTTCCCAGAAGCTTTTCTTCGTGGTAAAGGCGCAGTTGCTGTCTTCTGGGTCCGTCTCGCGCGTTAAGGCGGTCTTTCTTCTTGGAGGCTCTCTGGGAACGTTTATCGGCTCGCATCGACCGGTGCCTGATTACAGAAGCTCGCGGTTATCTCAGCGGGGGAGTGTTTCCGTCAGCTACAGTAGCTTCTTTGGTGGTGGTGGGCCCTCGAGTTCCTTGAGCTTGTTCTTCGTGTTCAATTGCGGATATTCCCATGTAGTTGCTGAAGGTATACTCCAACTTTATCTTCCTTCGGATTACTGAGTATCCATTTCAGGTAGACAGGCTCAATTTTCTCTATCTTACCTTCTTTTTCTCGCTCTAACGTACACCCCTCTCTCACACTGGTCCAAACAAGCGCTGATTTAGGGCCGCGGAATGTTTAGACCACTTGGTGTCCTCTATATCTCCTCAACGTGACCTTCGTTATAGTCGTTTGACTTGTTCTTTCCGGTTCTTTTCTCCCTCGCAGCTGATCTAATCTTTCTTAGACTGTTTCAATTTCTTGAATGGGGGCGTCGGACCGAACGCCCCAGACACTATCCACAAACTTGATACCCATGATTCAAGGTATGTGTGGAATTTACTCCCAGCACCAAAAAACAACCGTTATTCTTTTTCCGAGGTTCTCTTTCCTCTTTCCTCATTTTCTTCTATTCCGCTCGACCACAAGGCCCGCGCCCCCATGACCATCTCATGTTTGTATACGCGGCTCCTGTGGATCTGAAGCGATGCATGTTTACTCGCGGTGTTGCCACTTCTTCTTTACCGACGTTTATTATTGGATGAGGGCTTCCTGAACTTCGATCCATTCTTCACACATGCTTATTTGCGACCATTCAAACCGCGCGAATATGGCATTGCTAGGCGTGTTAACTCTGTTAGTAAGGTGAGTTTCTAGGGCCGGACGGACCCACCCTCAATCTTAGATCTAATCACGCATGCCAGTACCAGCGGAATCCATGGTCTGATGCAAAACCGACTGCCGTCCATGTCTCCGTGAAGAAATTGATCTCTCACATTGACAAGCCAGATTTTCGTAACTTTCAAACATCGCAATGTGGTGATCTCGATCTGCTAGATTAGAATGAACGGGGCATAATCAATAAACATATGGAGCTCCTCACTTCGGAAGTGAGGTCCGGGGCCCATGTCTCGCATTGATCACCCACATTTTCCCGCTGCAGAAGATAGCACAGATTCAAGGGCACCCACCCGTTCATATGTTTTCACGGTGTCCTAAACGGGTTGGCATGTCACTTTGCACTGAATTGAGCGCCACTGCTTTGGTAAGTGCAATTTTCGAGGCGTGCCGTAAATTGTGGCACCGACTGATCAAGGTTTCTCATTCAGATGTCCAATAAGCGGATTGAGGCGAGTTGATGGCCACATTCCGTCGAGTCTTAGCGATTAGTATGATCTTATGAACTTCTCGGTCGATATGCTCAAATGAGCGACGGTACGTAGCATGTTCGAATACGCGTAAACGAGGACTTCCAACGTTTAATGGCAGATGGCCACGTCGCACGTCCGGAGTAGACCCATCAATTTGGTGATATCCATCGAATCTATCCTCGCTTCGGACTCTGGGAGAAACATCGTTCGTCGGACGGAGATGACGATACCGCAAGGGCACTTGTCTTCGAAAGCATAACTCGAAGAACTGAGCTGCAGATAGATGTCCTCCGCGGTATTCTTGGTGTTCGCCTGCCAGTGTGTGCATCCTTCCGCCTACGTCTGACGCCATTGCACCATATGAAGAGGCACCCATAAGGGGAGCGATGGCTACGGAGTTGTACTGCAGTAAGCGGTCGGCACGATTCACCGTTGTACCTCGTGCTCTGACGTATCAATACTAGTCATAGTGAAGTAATCCTCAATATGAGGACATGAAGTGCTGCCTACTTGCCAACATGACTACAATTCGAAATACGATACGCCGATACCGTATCGTGACTTACGGTCACTTACATACCTCTCGATCAACCATTAGCGCTTTGGCAGCTATTCTATAGTGGCATGACCGATCCTCGTGTCCCCGCCGCAGGGCCTCCGCGTTTATTGCGCAGAGTACAATCGTAATTTAGTAAGTATGATAATACTAATGTCTCCTAAGATTGTATCAAATGCCTTCACCCATGACTCCACGCCCTGCGATCGTCCTCGTTTTGGGGTTCTAAGTAAGTTCCGGCCCTACGAATGCGACATACATCATAGAACGCCGACATGGAATTTGAAGGACCTCTGTTTCACCTCGGAAACTTGACGTTATCGGGATACCGATGGTGCTGATCAGGGTGGATGCTGTATCTGCTATCTACTCAGGGTGCGTAGGGAGAGATGCTTTCAATACAATCGTATGCACCAATTTTTCGTGGTGTCTATGATACGTACTTTTGACAACAGGACACCGGACATCTTGTGCTGATTTCGGCTCATCTGTCCATATGGACTGAAGGACCTCCTTACATCCCTCACACCCACACCCACGCCGCTCGTATCTGGCCTCTTCAATTCAGTACGAGCGCTTGCAGACTTTAGCTTACTTTCTAAATTCAAGAAAATTTCCATGTTCGAGTCCAGTATCAACGCTAACGTTGCTGTAATAAACCCTTCTTAGGCGCAAGTCATCCAAAACATCGGACGACCCACGCAACGAGCGCACTAAATACTTGAATGCGCCCTGGCCGTACTGTACACCCACTCCACAAAAAGAACGAGAAAGAACTTTCGCTCAAATTGGCTTGAGCTGCTTGTTACATCATATCACTATCCTATACTACAGGCTGCTTGTCTCCGTCAGTCAATGCGTCTGATAAGCTCTCGCAACGAACGAAACAACGGACACGCACCTCCCCCACAACGAGCAACACCCCTATGCACCCCATGTGGCTTAGGAGAGGTCCAAGGGCCAAGGCACGTTTCGGAATATTCTACGGAATTTTCCCCACATTGTTCCTGCTCCGCTTGGACCCTACGTAGGGTCTCCCGCCACCCCCGGCCCGTTCATGATCGCGCCCGTCCATTTGGTATACTTCTGTTCGGTATCGCGTGCCATACATTTACACAGATGAAGCACAGCATTCAGGATTTCGCATACATCAAAGGGATTGGCGGACATAACAGATGTAAGTACATTGATGGACAGATACTTTCGTTTCACATTCGTACAGGCACAGGCAGCAGAAGCAGGAGAAGAAAAGAAGAGTCTAAGTTGTTGATGCGCTCCCAGCGAGCGTTTACGCGCACGCGTTTAGCGACCCATCCAGCCCTACGTAAGCGCCTCATGCATCAGTAAAAGTCGAACAGAGACAATCAGAAGAACCCGCATGAAAGATAATGGAAGACACATAAAAAACTCATGTTCCAGAAGGCCCAGACAAAACACCAATATCTCGACAACAAAAGATTCGCGAAGCGAGCACTCACCCCGTCAACGACGATCAATTCGCCAGAAAGGTATTGACTGGCTTTGGACGCGAGGAACACGGTTACGCCTGCGAAATCGCGAGGTTCGGCCCAACGGCCTGCGGGGATGCGCTCCGAGATCTGGCGCAGCCGAGTAGGGTTGTTGAGCAAGGCTTCGTTCCTGTTATGGTGGAAAAACAAAAGGTGAGATTATGAGCAGACAGTGAGCGTGAGAGTGTTAATTGTTCAAAGGAGGAACGAATGAAAGGAAAATTGAAAGGATCATAACAATGAGGACATGAGAGAACGAAGAATGAAGAGCGGGGAGCAATTTTCGCCTCTCGTAAGCCAGAATGATGAACGACGTGGATAAGATAATAAGAATAAGGTGACGAAAGTTTGAAAGTGGAATAGATCGACCGGGTGGGCTGGCGATGAGGCTGTGGATGGTCAGCTGGTGTTACATCTGGTATTGTATCGATATCGATACTGGTAGCGAGATGCGGTGGCTCGTGGGATGCTCGGATTGGCAGGCGAAGTGGTGCTTGGTGCGGGAGGTATGGTGATGCGTGGGGCGAGGAGCGTCTCCGAAAGGAATGATATCGACGAATTATCGTCGAACGAGCATGTGGTAGGGTAGTAGGGGTAATAGGGGAGGTCGCTTAGGGAAGTCGCTTGGTGGCACAAGTGGAGGGAAGGAGTGACGATGTGTGGGGACGAAAGAAGAGGAAGCGG